CTTAGACTCTTAGGTGTTCTTTTTTTTCTTTTTCTAAACACCTTAGACACACCCAGGTAATCCCCAAATCCTGGACTGGTAGGGGGTCCTGAGGACTAACGTTGAGAACCCCTGCTTTAGCACTTGGCGTCTGGATGATAGTATCCTTTCAGGAGTGGAAACTCAAGAACATATCAAAAGTTTAAAAATAATTATACTTTAAGGAAAATAATACTGAAGGAATGTCCCACTCAATGATTTGGTGCGCTTGTAAAGCTGTAGTAAGAGGATTCTTGATAAAACTTAAAAGTAGTTATCTATAGAATATTACAAATTATAAAAAAAAAAAAGGAAACTAACGAAATGATAAAACAGCTCAGTGAATTAAAAACAAAAATGAATGCAATAGAAACTGAATGAAAAATGAAAGTGAACTATTATCATGATAACAATAAAATAAAATGGTTAACAAAGAAGCTGAAAAGGAAGGTAAGGAACAACTGGATAACATGTATTAAAAAAGATCAGATAAAGTATAGGACTCCAGAATGCTAAAATCTTTAATATCTACTATGAAGAGTTATATTGCAACCTGAGGGACAGCAAATATCTAATTACTTAAAGCAGGGCTTCCCAAACTTTTATGGGCCAAGACCCACTTTTCAAAATGGTAATTTTTCGAGACCCACTTGCTTTTAATGCATAATTTAAAAAGTGAACACCATGGCAATCAGCTTTAGAGGCATACAATTGGCAAACTATAGCAATCCGCTTTAAATGCACACAATTGGCACACCATGACAATTACTTTTAGAGGCATAAAACTGGCACACCGTGACAATCAGCTTTACAGGCATACAATTGGAACATTATGTCCGCTTTAGATGCATACAATTGGCACACTATAGCAATCCGCTTTAGATGCATACAATTGGCAAACCATGGCAATCAGCTTTAGATGCATAAAATTGGAACATCATGGCAATCAGTTTTAGATGTATAAACTTGGCACATCATGGCAACTTTAGGTGCATACAATTGGCACACCATGGCAATCAGTTTTAGAGGCTTACAATTGGCATACCATGGCAACCAGCTTTAGAGGCATAAATTCAGAACATCATGGCAATCAGTTTTAGAGGCATAAAATTGGAACATCATTTAAGCATGCGTGGGATAGGCATAAGGCTATCCTAACTATAAGATAAGGCCAGGGACTAATGAAAGTATTTAGAAAATTGGGCAGACTAGATGGGCCGAATGGTTCTTATCTGCCGTCACATTCTATGCTTCTGTGTTAAATACATAAACTTGGCACAGCATGGCAATAAGCTTTTAGATGCATAAACTTGGCACACCATGGCAATCAGCTTTAGATGCATAAACTTGGCACATCATGGTAATCACTTTTAGATGCATAAACTTGGCACATCATGGCAATCCGCTTCAGAGGCATACAATTGGCATACCATGGCAAACAGTTTAAAAAAGCATAAAATTGGCACACCATGGCAATCCGTTTTAGATGCATAAAATTGGCATAACATGGTAGTTTTAGAGGCATAATTCTGGGATATCATGGCAGTTTTAGAGGCAGAAACGTTGCACATCATGGCAATCAGTTTTAGAGACCTACAACTGCTTACTCACAGACTCAGAATCAGAAGTGCTGTGTCCTGCTCTTTCATCCAGGCACCCCACATTGATTATCCCAGTGGTGGAACTAATGTAGAGAGTGCCCTGAGTGCAGAGTGCAAATATGTTTTCTGGGCCCCCCTCTAGTGCAAGTGTGGCCAAAATGTAGATCTCCATCTGTCGGAGAACTTCAACAATGCTATACCAGATGGGGATCTGCCATTTTCTTATCATTGCAGGGTTATATTTGTAAGCAGTGTTTGAGCGTTTGAATGTAAGCATGTTTTTGTATGAAGTATATGTGTGCATGTATGGGTGTATTTGTATGTACTGTTGCCATTGGAATGTAGTGGTGTACTTGTTTGGAATGTTTGCGTCTGAATGCATGGGTGTTTGTATGTAGTGTAGGACTTTAAATGCAGGTGTGCTTTTTGAGTGTTGGTGTTTGAATGAAGGGGTGTTCGTAGATAATTCTAGTGTTTTAATGCCGGGGTGTGTTTGTATGTAATGTTTGCGTTTGCAGTACGTGTGTTGTGGATGCAGTGTGTGTGTGTGTAGTGGATGCAGTGTGTGTATTGTGTTTATAAAATATACATATACACAATGTGTGTTTGAATGTAAGCATGTTTTTTTGTATGGAGCATGTGTGAAGTGTGTACAGATATACACACACATACAGAAACACACACAGACACACAAATACACACCCTGACACAGCAATACACACAATGACACCTAGTTTCCCACACATAGATACACAGACACTCATGTACACAGATACACAATACACACAAATACACACACAGATGCATATACACACAGAGACAGGAGGTGAGGGTGACAGTGTGTGGGAGAGGTGAGGGTGACAGTGTGGGAGGGAGTGTGTGTGCTGGTAACAGTGTGGGAGGCAGTTTGAGGGCAAATTGAGAAAGGGTTACAGTGGGTGGGCAGGGGGAGAAGGGGTGGGCAGGCAGGGGGAGAAGGGGTGGGCAGGCAGGGGGAGAAGGGGTTACAGTGGGAGGGGCCAGGAGTGAATGGGTTAGAGTGTGGGGAGGGCAGGGAGTGAAGATGTTACAGTGTGGGGAGGGCAGGGATTTAAGATGTTACAGTGTGGGGATGGGGGCAGGGAGGGAAGGGGTTACATTGGGGGAGGGCAGGAGTGAAGGGGTTACATTGGAGGGATGGCAGGAGTGAAAAGCTATATTTGGGGAGGCATGGAGGGAAAGGTCACATTGGGGGAGTTGTTACATTGGGTTACAGGGCAGGGAGTGAAGGGGTTACATGTGGGGAGGGGCAGGGAGTGAAGGGGTTACATGGGGAGGGCAGGGAGTGAAGGGGTTACAGTGTGGGGAGGGCAGGGAGTGAAGGTTACATTGAAGAAGGGGTTACATGGGAGGAAGGGCAGGGAGTGAAGGGGTTACATTGGGGAGGGCAGGGAGTGAAGGGGTTACATGGGGGAGGGCAGGGAGTGAAGGGGACATTAGAGGGCAGGGGGTGAAGTTACATGGGGGAGGGCAGGGAGGAAGGAGTTACACTGGCGGAGGACAGTGAGTGAAGGGGTTACATTGGGGGAGGGCAGGGAGTGAAGGGGTGACATGGGGGAGGGCAGGGAGTGAAGGGGTTACAGTTTGTGGGGAGTGGGGGCAGGGAGTGGAGGGGTTACATGGGGGAGGGCAGGGGGTGAAGGGGTTACATGGGGAGGTGGGGGATGTCTGGGGCTGTCAGTCTGCTTGCCCAAGTCCGCTTGCGGCCCTGGTTGTGTGGGTCAGCGTGACCCACTGGGAATCGCCCTGCGACCCACCAGTGGGTCATGACCCACACTTTGGGAACCGCTGACTTAAAGGATGTAGAACTACCTAGAATAATACAAGAACAAAATAAAATCCTAAATGCTCCTCTAACTAAATTGGAATTTAAACAGGCTATTGAACAACTAGTACATTTTAAGACTCCTGGACCAAACGGTCTGACTAATGGGTTCTATAGTGTTTTTAAGGATATATTGTGTGAACATTTAGTCAGTACTTTTAATGAGATTGTTGAAAGGGGTTCTGGGCCAAAGGAAATGCTATATGCAAACATATTACCGATTCTTAAAAAAGATAAAGACCCCCAGGAAGTTAAAAACTACTGTCCGATCTCTCTGATAAACGTAGATTCTAAGCTGTTTTCGGCAATTTTAGCAAAGAGGATAACGTTAATGCTTTCCGGCCTGGTCCATGAAGACCAGATTGGTTTTGTTCCCACTAGACAGGCAAGTTCCAACATGAGGCGTTTGATTAATATATTGTACTGGAGAGAGAGATCTGGGAATCCCATTCTGACCCTGTCACTGGATGCAGAGCAGGCTTTTGACAGGGTCGGATGGGGATATATGTTTGGGGTGTTAAGACAATATATCAAAATCCAATGGCTAGATTGGTGGGAGTAGATTTATGCTCCAACTGGTTTGCCTTGGGCAATGGTACCCGTCAGGGTTGTCCTCTTTCACCAATACTATATCCTGTCCATGGAGTCTTTGGTTGTAAGGATAGGGTCAAACCTAATCATTAGGGGGTTCCCGACAACCTCAAATGATTTGAAGATGTGTATGTATGCTGACGACACCATAGTGACCCTGACTGATCCCACTACTTCTGTTGTCAAATTAATTAATGAGATACTCCAGTACAGTTAAATATCAAATTATAAGATAAACATAGATAAATCTGTGGTTATGTTTAAAAATTGTGATCTGGATATTAAAAAAACAAAAATTGGATATGTATGATTTTAGAACTACAAAGCCGTGTTTTAGATATTGGGTGTTGTGTTATCGGACAAAACAAATAGAATTGAAAAAGCCAAAAAAAAAAAAAGTGGCAGAGAATGAAGAGGTTACATGGGGAGGGCAGGGAGTGAAGGGGTTACATTGGGGGAGGGCAGGGAGTGAAGGGGTGACATATAATAATTGGTGACAGAAGTTGTCAATCAGGCAGCTCTAGAATTTCCACTTTAGTTAGCTCTACAGAGATAACAAAAATAACAGGGGGGCTGGGCAAGCGTGTGCTTACTGCCCCTCCCACACCCCCTTCGCAATAAACTGGATTTTGTGACTCCAGCACAGTGTCTTCTTGAAGCGGCACTGCCACTCCCCTCCCCCCCCCACCCATTTAAGCTCCTGCTGCAAAATTTGTATTTTATAAAATAAAATCTATATGAAATATTGAATATTTTTCAACCCAGTCAAAAAATATACTGCGACAAAGTAGGGTATTTTTCCATGCCTGAGCTACCGTAGTCTAGAAGTGTCAATCTCCCATCCGTCACCAGTGGCAGCTGAAGAGATATTAGCTGTGTCCTTAGAGAAGCATACACGCTCTCTTTTCACAGAACTCTGTGTTAGAGTGCAGGACTGGCTGAAAGGAGATGGCAGCTTACACACGGAAAAGGTTCAGCTAATACACCTTTCCCTGACGCCTCGCCTCTGATCACTGGACCACCAGCAAGTATGTCACATTCGGGTAGTCTTTACAAATAATGCAAAGTTCCCAGACGGTGACAATGCCAATTTAATAAGAAGCTTCTTATTGATGTATTCTCTGGCACAGAATTTCATAGAGTGAAGGGCTTGCAAATGCTGCAGACATCAGGTGTGCAGCTTTTGCTCAGAATAAAATGGTTATTTAACCATTTACATCGCCGGAGGTCTGTTGCCGCCGGGGCAGAGGAACACGTCCATGTTGGGAATACGTCTCTGTATTCCTAACATTAATGTGTTCCTTTAAATCCAGTAGTTTTTTCTTGTTTTTTTTCTTTCTTCAAACAAGTTCTGTTATATGACTGTGATTTATATCAGACAGTGTTCTGTATAAACGGATACTGAGACTTTCCAGTTTCTATGGATACAAGTGTTTTGCCTCCCACTTGAAAACGTACTATTTATATATAATATACATGCATTTATACAAAGTCCCTGTTGTGCATCACCTGCATATCTCAAATTGGAGTTTGTGAAGCCTGCGTTGGGCACAGAAGTTCAGAGAAATCATATTTCAACAACTATCCCAGAGTTCTGAGCTTGACTTTCAGATAAGCATAGACAAATGTATTTCTGCAGGACTTATTAGAAATGAAACACTGGGATGGGGGGGGGGGTTAGGTTTAAAAAAATAAAAAAAATAAATTGGATAAAGCATATGTTTTCATCCAGAAGGACCTAAAACCGGCCATGGATTGTACAGTACAGCTCATTTATACATCAAGCTTTGGATACATGATTTCTCAGAAGTTCTGCGCCCAAGGTAGACTTCTCAAAGTCCATCTTAAATGAACACTATAGTACCATAGTCAATATTTACATTAGGGTGCCCCCAAACTGCAATACAAATGGTTTAAAGAAAAAAAGGTTTTACTTACTTTGTTTCCATCGGCAAGTCTCCCTCTGTGTTGCAACTTGCTCCGCCTCCTGCGACATCATTCGGCAGGCGTCACGGTTTCTGCAATTGTCCAATCCAGTTTTCATCATAGAGGAGCACTGGGGGCGCGATGCACATGCAAGGCCTGTGCTACGCTTGCATCCAATTAAATGCGTCTCATGTGAAGGCATTTAATGCAGTTATTTCTTGTAAGCTGCATTTGGTCACATGACCAAGTTCTACTTGGTCTTTGTAGAAGAAAAGCCTCTAGTAGCTGTCCGGAAGACAGCCACTTGAGATGTGTTTTACCATGCAATGAAATGTTGCTGTTTCTACAAAACAACAATGTTTTACATTACAGGGTTGAAAATAAAGGGACACTGCAACCAAAGTGGTCTTGGTGCATTTAGTGGTTCTTTAAGATAAGCAGGTGATACACAACAGTAATTTTTGCATTTGCATCAAACTGTGCCCTCCACAGTTTACAGTTAGATGTTGGATAAACCTGTTCTAGAGGGTGAAAACGTGATCAGAACAGGCAACTTTCATGTCCCTATTGAAGGCACTTTTGGCAGCGGACAGGGGTCTTAATGGGAACTCTGCCCGGTGTGCAGCTTTGCTGTCCCGTATGCAGCAAACTGCAATTCACTGTGTGTTCTGACACCTTTCTTTGACTAGCATTAAGTTTTTCAGCAATTTAGTAGTGTGTGTGTCTCTCTCTCTCAAGATGAGGACATCAAATATAAATATATCACACCACCACGATCATCAAGTCCCAAGTGTTCTACCATTTCCCTCAGTATTCTCATAATAAATTCTCCAAACCTGTGTTTCAGTTAAAGTTTAGGGTTTGACATTCGAAAGGGTAAACTCAAGTGCAGGCATGCCTCACTAATACAGCGATAAGGTTCAAGGCCACTGTTGTAGTGAATTTAGATCATTTTTTTTCATTTGTGAGTGCATATAAATGCCTTAAAACAATGTTGTGTGTATGTATGTATATGTAATGCCGCCATCATTAATATTGCGATGTTTAAGAGAGAGTCAGTAGTGGAGATTTATCATTTGAATATAATTGAAATGGGTTGTATTAGCAAAGTACTGTAATACAAAGTATTATCGATGACCTCTATTTTATTACTTATTCCAAAAAAATAAATAAAAGGAGTCTCCGATTTTTCAGTTACATTTCTTATGTAATACCCTGTTGTGTAGCAGTTAAGCTACATGTCTCCCACGTACATTTAGTCATATAAAAATAAATAGAAAAAGCACAGGTAATTGCATTTAAGTACCTGATCTGTGTTTTAACACCCAAAGCTATTTTTCTCAGTCGTTTTCCTCTCTATCTGAGATATTGTCTAAGTCATAATGCCTCCCACAGCTTCATCCTGATTACACTTGTGCTTCAGGGCCACAGGGGAGACAAACACAATGCTGAATGCCCAGTGTATTTTTTGGCTAGCAGTAATAATCAACCATCACAGTTAACTCTAGCTGTCTAAAGGCAACAGGCATCTTCTGGTCCACTATAAATCTTATTACCCAAATCACAGTGAGTGGAGAATGGTGTAGGGACATTCATTGGCCGTGAATAACTACCTCATTGTTCAATTAATGTAATTTACATGTGTGTGTGTGTGTGTTATATCAGTGCTGCAGGCTTTTATTGTACGAGATAGAATGTCATCTCGTACAATAAACATACCAGGCACCATTACCACTGCAGCAATCTATAGATGTTATGATGCCAGGAGTTCCCTGGAGCCCCGCATTGTAAGTAGTCAAACCTGGGGTTCATTGGGGGACCGCAACCCACCATCACTACTGAAGATAGAGAGCTTGAAAGGGGAGAGCAGGGCGAGTGACAGCTTACTGATATGGTTATGGTGATTTGAGTGTAACTTTTAAGAGTCGTTGTTTTAGCAGGCACTAAGAATCGCTTCAAACACAGAATGAATTTACCAGAATGAATTAGTTTTAAAAATCTTTAATGAGGGTAGTGTACCAAAAAAGAAAGTGTAATATTTCCACAAATAGTCCAGGTACACAAAGATAGCTTGAAGCAGACTTTGATTGGATCATATAAAAAATGACAAAGGAAGGAAAAATATTGGCAATTCGGTGATTTAACAAGTGTCCCTGAATAATAAAACTGGATTCAAACCCCTAGGATTTAATTATGCCATGCTCTGGGTTTGAACCCCTCTATTTTAACTTTTATAATTAGTTACTCATTTACCACAGTTTGCTATTTAGGGAATAAAATATTTAATTTGTGAAAGTAATATGTTAATCTCCAAATATGGTCTGCATGGATTTTCTGAACATATGACTAATTGAACTTTGGTAGTGAAACATTTTGCATTGTGTATTTACCTCCCTGTGGGAAATAAAGTGGAGAAATAAAGTTTATGTCATGCTGGCCATACAGTAATATATCTATAGGCTTTTTGTTCTAAATTACTGTAAGTGCAAAATCAGTAATCCTTTACCCAAGAGTACATGATCTGAAAAGCCAGCCCTTCATGAACTACAGTTTCTGTATGTAATGTTCTGAACAAAATTGCAATACACAGCTACACTTTCATGAGGAAGATCAAAATAGAGAAAATTTATGACAAACTTACCGTAATTTTCTTTTCCTGGCTATTTCTCATGGCAGCATCACTTATGGGTAGCTCCTCCCTTAGTAGTCACAGGACAGGAATTAATTAGATTAATTAATCAGACTGATAGGTATAAAGAGTCCCTCCTCCCCTTACACCTCAGTCCAATTATAAAGCTGAAATAGAGAATGGGCGGGAACCCTGATGCTGCCATGAGAAATAGCCAGGAAAAGAAAATTACGGTAAGTTTGTCATAAATTTTCTCTATTCCTGGCTAATCATGGCAGCATCACTTATGGGTAATACCCAAGCTTCACAAATCTAGGGTGGGAAATAACGTAAAAAATTACACCAAGCCGAACACATGCAGCAAAGAAAGTTTAATATCAACTGGATAAAGAGACCGTAGAGAGGACACTCTTCCCAAAGGTGGTGGAACGAGACTCCACATCAAGTTTGTAGTGCTTCATAAACGTCATTGGAGAAGACCAAGTGGCTGCTCTGCAAATATCATCGTATGGAACCTCTGCCCAGCTAGCCCAAGAAGTTGATAATGCTCTAGTAGAATGTGTTTTTATCACCTGTGGAGGTGATAGACCTTTAGAGACATACGCCTTCTTAATTATCAGAGAAATCCAACGTTTCAACGTAGATAAAGAGGCCGCCTCACCTCTCCTAGCTCCCAACGGCAAAACGAAGAGTTGGTCCGTCTTACGGAAAGACTCAGAACGTCTAAGATACGCAGACAAGCAGCTCATGACATCCAAACGTTGCCATCTAACCTCTTCCTGAGAAGAGGGGTTGGGGTAAAATGATGGAAGAACCACTTCTTGAGAGAGGTGAAACTGAGAAACCACCTTGGGAAGAAACTCTGGCTTAGGTTTCAGACATACCCTATCTTGGTAGAATTGTAAACAAGAAGAAGATGTAGAAAACGCCTTAATCTCTGAAATCCGTCTTGCGGAAGTAATCGCCACCAGAAACAAAGTCTTATACGTCAGGAGAGTAGTATCCAAACCTTCAAGAGGAAAAAACAGATCCTCCGTGAGATAATTAAGCACCATAGGAAGGTCCCAAGGAGGGGTAGTAGACCTGGAAGGAGGCCTCAACCTGAAGGCCGCTTGAAGAACCTGGAAATCAAAGGATCCGAAGCCCAAGAGATGTTGCACAAAGCTGAGAGTGCCGCAGACTGAACCTTTAAGGTGCTGAGACTAAGGCCCTTGTCCAGGCCCTCTTGCAGAAACTCCAAAACTTCAGTATTGCTAGGATGTAGAAAGTCCACACCATTGGACGATGCCCAAGACTGGAACACATCCCAGACCCTATGGTAGCATGAGGAAGTGGAAGCCTTTCTAGAGAGCAGAAGGGTATTGATCGCAGCCTCCGAGAGGCCTAGTACTTGGAGTCTTTCCTTCTCAAGATCCATACCCCCAGGTTGAGGCGTTCTGGATGAGGATGGAATACCGGACCCTGTGTAAGCAGATCCTCCATCACTGGCAGAGGCCAAGGCTGTTCCTGGCTCATCGTGGTCAATAGGGGGAACCACGGTCTCCGAGGCCAAATTGGAATTACGGCAATGACTTTCCTGCCTTCCGACCAAACCTTCCTCAGGAACCTGGGTATCATAGGTAGGGGAGGGAAAGCATACCCCAGATCGAACGACCAAGGGAGAGAGAGAGCGTCTTGGCCCAGAGCCTGACGGTCCGGGTGGAGAGAGAAGTAATTCTCCACCTGGTGATTCTGAGATGATGCCATCAGGTCGATCTGGGGCATGCCCCACCGATGAACAATTTCTGCAAAGATCGCCGGGTGAAGATGCCATTCTCCCGGAAGAATTTCCCTTCTGCTGAGGAAGTCTGCTGTTACGTTCTCCGAGCCTGGGAGATAAAAGGCCTTTAGACCTTGAAGAGACGTCATGGCTATAACCATTAAGGGAGCGAGTTCTTCCAGCAGCAATCTGCTCCTCGTGCCACCTTGGTTGTTCACATACGAGGCCACCGCTCGGTTGTCCGTTTTGATTAGGACCCAAGAGTTCTTTAGCCTCGGTAGGAACCTCAAAACGGCCTTGTAAACCGCTCTCAGTTCTCTCAAATTTGAGTGTAGGCGACTCTCTTCTTGGGTCCACTTCCCTTGAGTCCATACCGAGCTGAAGTGGGCACCCCATCCAAAAGAACTGGCATCTGTCGTAATAACCTTCCAAGGGGGGTCTTCCAACGGGAAGCCAGTCGTCAAATTCTTCTCGCTCCTCCACCAGTTTAAGGTTTTTCTTACCGGAAGGGGAAGATATATCACCTGTTCCCAATTTGCTTCCACTCTGTTGAACTGGAGAAGGAAGCAGTTCTGAACTGGACGGAACTTCCACTGGGCCCACTTCACCAAGCCTATTGTAGACGTCAAGGAACCTAGGAGGCTCATGACTACTCTTGCAGGTGCCGCTTCGAGATCTTGTAGTCCCCTCACTTTGTCTCTGATCTTCTCGACCCTTTCTGGAGACAGGAACACATGTGCAGACACGGTATTCACTACCGCCCCCAGGAAAATAATCGTTTGCGCAGGAACGAGGGAGCTCTTTCCCAAGTTCAGGAGCCAACCATGGTCTTGAAGAATGGACATTGCGACTAACGTATGTTGAGCCACGATTTCTTGAGATGGACCCAGGATAAGAATGTCGTCCAAGTAATGGAATATCTCGATACCCTTTACCCTTATAAAGGCTATTAAGGCAACCAGAACTTTTGAGAACGTTCTTGGAGCCAGACTGAGGCCAAACGGTAGACCCCGGAACTGGAAGTGCCTTCCTAGCGCCCAAAACCTGAGAAACCGTACATGATCTTGATGTATCGGAATATGATAGTAGGCGTCCCTTAAATCTATTGAGGTCATCCAGTCTCCTTTTTTGACACACTTCAAGATGGTCCTCAAGGATTCCATTTTGAACGTCCTTACATTGAGCAAGGAGTTCACGCCTTTCAAATTCAAGATCAGACGCCATTTTCCTTGAGGTTTTGGGGCCAAGAAGACCGTGGAATAAATTCCTTGAAACCATTCTCGTTTGGGAACTTCTTCCACCACTCTTTGTTCCAGGAGCACAGAAATGCAGGATCTCATGGCCCTTCGTTTGATGCCTACCGGCACCTTTGATTTTTTGAAGAATGCAGTTTTTGGTTGAGATGAGAATTCTATTCTGTAACCTTCTTTCACGATGGAAGTGACCCATAGGTCTGAAATATTGCTGGCCCATCTGGGGTAAAAGAACTTCAGTCTTCCTCCCACCATCCCCGAACGGGCCTGGGGACCTTCAGAAGTTCTTTCCTGAGGTTCTAGGACCCCTTCCCCTGGAAGCTTTATTGGAAGATGAGTGTGGATAGGATTTCCATGTGGAATTCCTGGAAAACTCCCTACCTGGCTTATAGCTTCTGCTGTCCCGAAAGGACCGATCCTTAAAGCGCTTGGTCTTCCAGGAGGAGGGAAAAGTCTTCCTGCCAGATTGAGGTAAGAACGCCTTCTTCCCATCAGCAGCTTTTTGAATAGCATCTTCCAGAATCTTTCCAAAGAGGAGATCCCCTTGAAACGGAAGAGCACAGAGGGAAGCCTTAGAGGCATAGTCAGCACCCCATGAATGAAGCCACAAAGCCCTTCTAGAAGCCACAGACAGGGCCATGCTTTTAGCAATCATGTGAGTGATATCCAGGGAGGCTTCTGAACAGAATTCCGTGGCTAGGTTAAGGTCCTTGAGGCTTTCCAACAGATGTTCCCTTCGGACACCTTGCTCAATGTCATCCTTCAGATTAGTGAGCCACACTTTCAAGGCTCTGGAAAGAGTCGTCAGTGCCACTGCCGGATGAAGAGCGGACCCAAGGGCCAAGTAGGCTTTAATTAGGTCTCCATCCAAGCGCTTTTCCATAGGCTCCCTGAGATATGCCATAGAGTCTATAGGCAGTGTAGTTTTCTTAGCCATATGGATCACTGCCGCATCAATTTTAGGAACAGAGTTCCACAGACCGCAATCCACCGCAGAGTATGGATAAACCCTCGCAAACTTATTTTTTAAGGTGGACTTCTTTTCAGGCTTATTCCATTCTTGAAGGATCATATCCCTGATTGACGTATGTACTGGGAAAGTAGGTCTGTTAGGCTTTAGGTCCTCAAAAAACCTGTCAGCCTCCTTCAACTCAGATCTTTCTTCTGTGAGACTAAGTGTGTCTCTAAGAAGGGTAATAAGTCTATCCACAGACCTGGAGTCCAGAGACCTGGAGGTATGATCAGCTTCCTCCTCACCATCATCTGATACCTCCCAGACATCAGGGTCCTCATCAGAGCTGGAAGACTGAGGTTCCGCTCTGCGTCTCTTACTCGGACCACTAGTACCCGTGGTGGCCCTAAAGCCCTCAGCAATAGCCTGAGAAATCCAGAGCTTAAGGTCATCTTGTGGAGAGCTCCTACTGGGGGCATCAGCGACTTCCAACAAGCATTCCCTGCAAAGGTTCCTTCCACTCGGAGCGGATGAAGAACAATTAATGCATTTATTTGACTTATCCCGAGATTTTCTTGCTGGAGAGTCCAAATGAACGCTGGGGCTGGAAAAAAGCCATATATGACATATATTACAGGCTCAGTATGGCACTCTTTTAATAACCCCCCCCCAACACACATAATAAATGACTCACCTATGTTTTCTAGAGAGGGATCTTGCAGAGGCAGAGGGAGAATCCATACTACAAACAAGAAGCAAAATAAATTCAGGACCAAAATTCCCCAAAGGGAAAGAGGCCAGCTGACCAGCAAAACTTCAACAAAAGCAAGAACCAGCAATCCTACCTTAAGAGCAGAGCACCACTATGCATCCAAGAAGCAGACAGAAGAAGCTGGCAAGACTGGAATTCCAAGCTTTTAGGTGAGAAACCAGAAAAGAGCAGCATCAATAGCACGAAGGGGGCTGTATTAATCCCCTTAAATAGGTCCGGGCGGCGAACAGCTGACCGCCCGGTTCGCGCATGCGCAGAGCGGTGGAACGCACGCTATGCGTTCCACTCGCTCGCGACCGGCAGAACACTTCCGGTTTCGCCGGAACTGGCCGCAAACAGCCGGCTGGAACGCAAATGCGTTCCAGCCCCCAAACCCCAAGCGCAAGAGGGGGGCCCAAGGAGAAGGGAACCCTGGGGCATGTCCCAGGAACAGAGCAACATACCCCCAAGCCAGAGAACAGGGAAGGGGCAAGAAGGAGGCAACAAGATGAAGGGAGAAAGCTTTCATCATGGATTCCCCAAGAACTGCCTACAAGGTATGAGGGGGGGGGGTATATAACCCCAATTAGTAGGGGCAGGTAGTAAACAGGGGAATTTTTAAGGCTTAACCAACCCCACCATAGACCAGAAGAATTAGTGTCTCCCTCAAACACTTACTTCCCACGGTGCAGTTCAGTACTTACACTGAACCTGACCCAGTTAGTCCTGCTCATGCAGGCTGTTTACTGGGCCCTTCAAATGAAGAGAGGCTGAACTTCATTTGGAACGAACCCACGACAAACGCAGGAAGGTGAGCCATAAAACAAAATTGTAAAAAAGTCCTGTAGAACCTGCTAAGGACAGGAAAAAAGACTGAGGTGTAAGGGGAGGAGGGACTCTTTATACCTATCAGTCTGATTAATTAATCTAATTAATTCCTGTCCTGTGACTACTAAGGGAGGAGCTACCCATAAGTGATGCTGCCATGATTAGCCAGGAATAAACCATTATCTCAGACTAAAAAAAAAAACACTGGAAAAAGCATTAAACAAATAGTAAACAGAATCCAGAGTTATATATCAGAACCTTTGATTAAACTCCATAACAATATCATACTTCAACTGATCACATCTGGCTTAAATCAGATCTCACCCAACCTTTCCTTTACAGAATGTCTCCCAAATTCCATCCCCTTTGTATGGAAGCTTATTGGATAATCGGTCTGATATGATTTTTATTGTCTGTGATAGTTAGCATGACAACTGCAAGAATAACAATGTAGAAGCAGTGTTTATATAGATGCATAAGTGCAATGTAGGTCTTAAGTTTTGAAGTTGGCAATCCACCAACCTCGGCACTTTTGATTTGGTTTTGGTTAGTTTTACTTATGCCCTGTTTCCACTGAGCGATACGGTTCGAGTCGGTACGGTCTAGTACGCTATTTTGAGTGTTTCCATTATGAAAGTGGACCATACAACCGAACCATACCGCACCAGTCCTGGGCCCTCCTCAGATGTAGATCCTTAGGAAATGGTACGGTACGGTTGGGGCAGAGCTACTGGCGTCACACTATACGATCCATTGATTGGCGGACAGTAAAATGTCAATGCTCACGACAAATAACATGCTATGCATTTGGTCTAAACCCCGCATGCCCACTGGCGGTCCGACTTGCAGTGGAAACGCTCACCTGAATAGGCTGGACCATTCTAACCCTTCCAAACTGTACCGACCCGAACCATACCCCTTAGTGTAAACGAGGCATTAGTTACTTTTGTCTAATTAAGGATCCCATTAAACGGACGGTCTCTGTACTTGTCAATTGTACATACCTTGGCACATTGCTATATGATAAACCCATAGTTACCTAATATATGGGAATGTACATTGGGCTTTACTGCACCATTTGAGTATAGTGTGATTGAACACTAATCAAGCAATATACTACATGTAGATTAAAGCGGCACTGTCATGCCGTACTTCCTCTTCTTTTCCTCTTTCCTATATTTTTTCCCCATAGGGGCTACTTTGTCTAATATATTTTTTCTACGGATGAGATTCTATGACACTGTGTGGAGCTACCATGTTATTTCCGATGGCTGCAGGGAATTGGCTTTGTCTATGGAGAATGTGTGATCCTCCAAAGACCTCATTGCTGTACTCTCACACATGTGTGATAATACAGCAGTGACGTCCGCTAAGAGGACACACCAGATGAAGATGGTGGTGCCCGCAAGGGGCAGGTTCAGTTAAGTATACCTCACCAACCCCCTTCCCACATCCACTGGACTTCCGGAGTGGATGTCTCCATCAGGGGTCTTTGCAAAGTCCAGAGACTGTGACATTGCTGCTTTAAATGTAGGATAATGTGGCTGGTATTTAGTTAAACCGTAATAGAGAAAAAAGAGCTGAGATTCCTTTACAAGCCAATAATAGATCCAGTTATCGCTGTGTGCCAGCTATCTAGGCCCAAACTGCCTTTATGTTATATTATCTACGTTACAAGGGAAACCTGGGGATCTTTTTGATTGTAAAATAAACTGTTTTACATTCAGATTTCCTTGTGTATTTTACTTTATTTAATTTGTCAAACATACTGTAAAATCTGCAGGCCTTTGCCAGCACTGCTCTGACATGAGGTGTTACACTCAGCATTGTTGTACTTGCTTGCCTCTACTTAAATAAAGAATTAAAAATAATAATAGTAATTTGCTCTTGCTGCCCAGTCGCTGGTTTAAATATTTAGCAGACATACATGGCAGGTGGGGGCATAAGGAAGCTTTAATACCACTTAAAGTAACATGGGGGTCTTCTTGCCAAAGGCGATTTACCTTTTGTTTAATGTGGCGGCAGGCTAGCAAGTGCTATTAATACTAATTACTAAATTAATACTAATTAGCTTTGCAATACAATATTATCCTTTTTGCTCCAAAAGTACCGCTGTGCAGTGTGTCTGGTGGGAGATTTCTGTGAGTTGTAGAAATCTGATGTTTGAACTGCAGTTCCCAGAATAATAAAGCTGGATTCAAACAACACTTTTTATGGAAAATGTTCAAGAATAGCAAGGTTTTTTTTTTTCGGTTTTCATTGTAAATTCAGCAAAGTTTGGATTTTTGCAGGGACCTTAAATTATATATATATATATATATTTTTTTTTTAAGGACCACTAAGACACCCAGACAACTTAATCTCAATGAAGTCGTCTGGGTGCAGTGGTTGTGTAGTTTTAATCCTGCAATGCAAAGCATTGTCATTTAGTAGATACATTTAAACATTGCTGCATACCTGTCAAATTCGGTTCTCACAGCTAACCTCCAATAGGAATGAGGTGCTGCCGCACATGTACTTTTCATACCCAGTGCTCCTTTATTAAGAGCATTGAATTGGACATTTAGAAGCTTCGGCATGTTATCGCGGGAGGCAGATTAAGCGGATGCATAGACTCGTTCTTCCTGCTGTAAAAAAAGGTTAGCAAAACTTTTTAATTTTTTTTTCTTATTTGAGAGGGGAGGTGGCTGAAGATAAATAAAGAGGACAACACTGTAGCGTAAGGCATAAACATTGATATTCCTAGTATTCCTTTAACATTTTTTCTAATATTTGTAATACACTAACAATATTTTGTCTAATTATCATTATAATGCATTACAAAATAAGAATGGGTCAAATATAGCCTGGGGTGGATGATGCATTGATTAGAGAGAACCTTGTCATTATATATACTGTCCAGTTTATATTTATTTAAGTGACATAATCTCAGATAAACTTAAATGTCTCAAATGAAGCTACAAATATGAAGATTAAAGTGTTAATTTGCATATATTGCATGGCATTCTGGGAGTGATGTAAAAGTGCAGTTTTTTGGAATTGCTCCATGTGGGGTTTTATTGCACCCCAGTGAAAGTCAAAGTGATTTTTAATAAAAACTTTCTTTTAGTTTTTCACAACTCTGCTATATTTTTCTTTATTTTGCAGTTTAAATTTTTATTTCACAGCTATTTATATTGAATTGAGTTTGGTCATTTAACCCTTTGGGGTTTTTTTATGTCAAATTTTCAAATTCCAGCTCTCTGCTGAAAAGAGTCACAAGGTTCCACTAGTGAAAAGCAAGACAAATGTCACCTCTCACTTGAATGAACAATATTTGTATATGTTTGACTCACTGATGTATGTTGGTGGGTCTGATATGGTGTTTGCTGATACTCCGATATATTTGGAAAGTACAGAATGCCAAGAAGATAAGCATCAGGGACATTTTGTGGGGTAAACTTTTAAATCGTTTCTGAGAATTTGTTTCACTGGAATGAAACTGTTGGGTAGATGGAAAATACTGCATTTTTATCTGCTCCTTCAAGGGAGAACTTTCCTTTCCTCTTTCTTCAAAATTGTCCATTCCTTTCAGTAAATTTGAATGTTTCTGTTAAGTGGAAACGAAATATTTGGGTGAGTACTCTGGTCAGTGGGGCTGGAAGTAAATCACACTCGTCTTTTCAATAAACCAAAAACTTAGATGTTGAACTGAGCAATTACTGACTTCATTTTTTTGTGTATAATGAATAAACATAGTGTGTGTGGCCAAAATACTGGCTTTCCTTTCCCAGTATCTCACACAAGCAAGAGTCCAAAAAAACGGAATAGAAAATTAGCAAGACTGGGGAATATCTCATAGATGGTCTTGTGCTACGCAATAAAATGAGACCATAAAAATGTATTGCATAGTACGCAAGAAGATACCAGCTTCAAAAAAGGTGAATGGTGGAATTCGACCCATTGAATTTGTTATTGCCATTGCATGTTTATATTAACTACATAACGTTACTAGATTCACAGTATAAGGGGCAGTATCTGGTTTAATTACCTTCTAAGATTGGTCCTGTTCTAATTCAGAGACTCCTGGTGAAACCAGCCAAATATATCGGATTATGTTACCGATGTTAACCTACTTGGACACTTAATATAACAACTTTTATAAATTGTTACTACCACATAATTGGTTTTCTGTTTCTTGATTTTAAGAATTCTCTTGTACACATTATCATTATGTATGTGAAGAGTAGGGAAATAAGTGTTCAGTATAATTTACCTCCACTTATAATCTTATTTTCTTATGTATTTAAGTTAGAAAATTTCACCTTATTGTATATTTTACTTGAACTCTAGGGTGGTTCTTTTCATTTGCGGTACACATCCTCCTTTTGTTGAAATAGATTGTTGCTCCTGCATCTAGAAACAATTAAAATAACAGTATATATCCCCCCCCCCCCCTTTACCCTCTAAATATAGAAAAATCTTACCTTTATTCCAGTCTGCTGGTGCTGGCTTTGCCTCTGATCTGCCTCCTTGGTTGACATCAGAAGTGCTCAACTGAGCCAATAACAATGCTTTCCCATAAGAAAGCATTGGATTGGCTGCGATTGCCAAGGAGGTGGTTAAGGGGCAGAGTCAAATGCTACCCTGGCCAATTGGCATTTAGTCAAAGAGATGCGCTGAATCAATGTAACTCTATGAGGAAAGCTCAGTGTCTCACTCTGAGCATCTGTGCAGCACTGCCCCAGGAAGCATCTCTAGTAGCCATCTGAGGAGAGGCCACTGAAGGTGTCCCTATTAGGCTGTAATGTTAATACTGCCTTTTCTCTTAAAAGACAGCGTTTACTGTAGAAAGCCTGCAGGGACTGACAATACTCACCAGAACAAATACATTAAGCTGTAGTTGTTCTGGTGACTATAGTGTCCCTTTAATATCTAACATTTTGTCCTACTGCTAAAGGGGGATGGGAAGGGCAGCAAAGAGCTATTTTTGTCTCAAAGAGGAACTTGCAAACCACAAGACCAAAACTTGGGAGGTGTGAGAAATGGCACGGGTTTTGTACTTCACTCCTGGGCTTACTTTTACTTTTATTTCCCTCAACCTTTCCCTCCTTGTTGTACAGTGGATGAGTTAAGAGGAACCGTCTCTTCTCTAAAAATTATACCACTAAATAATCACTTAAAACTTGTATTGACCTTTTAATGTGAAGTTGTGTTTTCTTTTAAATGTATATTAAACATTTTGCAATTTACATCCCAAGTCCAGACACAAGCAGGTCACACATTAACTTGAAGACGGAAACCAAATTTTTGGTGGTCAAGTGTAAAAATCAGTTTGTTTGTTTTTCATTTTCCTGTAATGCGCCAATATAATCTGGCTTTCTGCCCCTTTTCATTCCTCTTTTGGATTTCGGCTCCTTTTTCTTACAGTGATTTTACCATTGATTAAATTCACAAAATAAGATTGATTAATACAATTAAGGGAGGAAAAAACACACTGCTACTTGAATTATTTGTTACTCTTTAAACAAAAAGGAAGATTGTGAACGATGCTTATCTGTAACAGAAAACCTACCACAGTTCGTGTCGTGAAAAATTGTCAGAAAGAAAATGCACACTTTAGCACCTTTTTTTTTTTAAATACATTAGAGACAACACATTTGTAAACGAAAAAAAATAATAGAATGGAAAAATACAATGGCCTTAAGGAGAATATTTTGACAGAGTAAGGAATATTTTGGCGCAAATAAGAGAATAAACAGGCACGTGTAGAACAATCGTCCGTAAAACAGGAACAGCCTATATAGAGGGACCCCAGTTGTTCTAACTGACAGGTGTAAAGGGCAGCGCTTGTAACTATTTAACACAGGGAGACAAAATGGAGGCACTCATCTCTCAGGAATTTCTACATGTAACTTTATTTTATACGTAAATATAAGTAAACAAAAACAAACAAATTCTAGGAAGGGACTTTTTTTCACTGTAGTGATAGCAGATAACAAAATACCGACAGAACAGTGTATAATTAAGTAAATTCTGCCCCCCGGCAGACTGTTGTCTAAAAACTACAATGAACATTTTATAGTTTTGATTACCGCTTTGTGAGCTAAACACAGTGACAAAAAAAAAACCAATGTCAAGGAATCCCCCGAGGCTTGATGCTATTGTTCTGTCAGCGGCTCAATGAACTAAATATAACTTTATTTGACTTTCAATTAAGAGTCCCTATACTTGGTTAAGCGTTTCTGTCTTTTGCCTCCAGGACTTCGAACAGCAGCCAGACATTGTCGTCCTGCCATACCATGGAGTCATGCGCCCCAGATGAATTCTTCCAGTCCCTCAACCATGCCGAGCAAACATTTAAGAAGATGGAGAATTACCTCCGGCACAAACAGCTGTGTGACGTGGTCCTGATTGCTGGAGATCGCAGGATTCCTGCACACAGGTAAATCCTGCATGAAAATGTTATAGTGACTAATCACATTGCCAGTGGTTGAATATTATAAGAGGTCGCAAGGCGTTCACCCTTTTTATGCAGGATAACATGGTGTAATTTTTCACTCCTCTGCGAAACTTAGCAGCAAAAATCACTTCCTCATAACAAAGTGGGACATTGACGCTGCCCACTGGATTTTTGCAAATGGTGAGAAATGGCACTGTTTACATTTTGCATTTTTACCAATTTAAATGAAATTAATCTATCTGATATCCAATGTCAGCATTTAAAAAATATGAATTGAGTGATTCTCAAAGAGAGAAGCATTGGATTGGCAGATTATGTGTCCTTAATGCTTGTGAGAAGCCTCTAACTGGTCAGAAGTCATCACAAATGATGACTGCACAGGAGGAGGATTGGGCTGCAGTGAGGAGATGTGCTGCCGCTGGCATTGGAATACTGGTAAATTTAATGGCTTTTTAAAAATCTTTATCAGACTGTTGTGGTTTTTTTTGTTTTTTGTTTTACATTCTCATTCTAGCTCAAACTACGTATCTTGAACCAATATATTAAAGTTGAAAACAAAATCTCCAGTTCAGCTAAGCTAGAGATTTTATTTCTTTGTTAGTTTGGTCTAAATATTACAAGCTGTTTGGCAGTGTGACAAAGCTCACTGTTGAGTAATGTTTGTTCGTTTCTGTCAAACCTTTTTTTTTCTAAATGTTCAATGAAAAAAATATATAATTCTTACCAAGGACAGGATGTATGAGCCATAGAAAAAGGCTACAATGCTAATTTTTTTTTTTTTTTTTGTTTGTTTTTTTTTTTTTAAGAAAATAAAGCGTTTGCAATCATTATAATATTTTATTGCCTTGGGGAATTTAGTCAAGTTTTTGAGAAACTGCAATGTTTACATTGCAGTACTAAGACAGGCCCTTCCGGGAGTTGACCATATTTTAGGTCACCTAACTGACCCTGGACGTCCTCACGCTGTGCATGAGGACATCCAGTGTCCGTGAATTCCCCATAGGAAAGCATTGAGGCAGTTTTCCTATTGGGGGGGCCTAATGAGCTCCATGCACATTAGGTCTTTCCTTCGGAGTGCCACCCCAGCGCCAAGGGAGATTGATGTTGGATTTTGGTGAGTACATAAAGTGTTTTTAACCCTCTATGTTCCACGGAAGGGGGGAGGGACCAAAGGCACTATAATGTTAGTAATACAGATTTGTATTCCTAACACTATAGAATCCCATTAACACTGAAATCTGACAATATGCTTGTGCAACCTATTAAACTGTAATAAATCCTATGATTATTCAACTATTTATTAGCCAGCTGCTAAATGTGTAATACGGAGCTGTAAAAAAAGAAAAAATGCATCTCTTCTATGAGAATGTCATGTGAGTATTTGATTTCATTGCTCTGCACTCTGACACTCTTAAGAGTTAAAGGAACACACACTTTAGGCACCCAGATCACTTCATCTCATTCCCGTCCCCTAAGCGCCGCAGTGTAAAACATTTTAGAGAAACTGCAATGTTTACAATCCAGTATTAAGACTGCATCTTGGGGCTACCAGACAGCCACTAGAGACGCTTCCTGCAGTTTCACAGAGTTTGACCCTGTGAAACACCGCTGGACGTCCTCTTGCTGTGCATTAGAAAATACCTATAGGAGAGCATTGAGGGACATGCTCATTAGGTCCCCCCCATCAGTTGAAAAGGAGCCCGTCACAGTGAGGTGGGACATCAGCTTTGTATTCTAACACTATAGTTTTCTTTAAGAGAGCAAAGTGGGCTGTTGGCTAAGTGACCAAGTGACTGACCGTACATGAAAACTGTTATGGCCTGCTGACTACCACATTACATTTAAAGCAGGCTGTTATTAAGACTTCTTAATTCTGTTCATCAGTATGTCACATGTGTGGCTGCTTTCCAGAATCAGGTCACTTGTGGTGTAATGACGGCTGAGAGCAGAGACTTAATGTCACAGAATGCTGGGCCTTTTTGACATTGACGTCTTGCTTCTGTGGATTTAACCACCTGACTGCTGGAAGAATATATACCGTGCTACGAGCAAATGGTTTTGAATGCATTAATTAATGGAATTAGCTGCCTGTAGGGTTTTTGCCTTGTTTTAAACAGGCCGCATTCCAAAAATACCATCATAAACATTTAAAACGTACTCCTCTATTGCAAATAGTACATTGGTAGAAGGATAAAGGAGAATGAGATAAGTTATACTCTTCTTGGTGCAAAATGAACAAAACAATATAGTCAAACTTTGCGATCCCAGAAATGTTTGACAAAATAAACATTTGATTGTCAAATATTTTGTTATTTTGATTTGTGTACTTGGTGCAGAACTATTCGGTTCACTGTACTTTAGCATAAACCATAAATACCAGACTAATACCAGGTTTAAGTTAAAAACAGACTAGAACCAAGCTGATCTCTTTCCTGTGTCTCGCGTTGCACATCTGTAGAACACGGCAGGATTCCGTATCAGAATGAAACGTACATGTCTGGGGTCGCTCTTATTCATGCGATCAATATAATTAATTTTGCAGTAAACAAATAAAGACCAAGACAGGGTGCAGACATAGTCAGAAACACATGGTACAGATATAAGTATGGTTGAAATAATATCGTCCTACACAAGCTATGCTCAGTAAATGCAGGGAATAGTGTGCAGGTTTTGGGTTCTAAGTGAGGGAGGTTAAGAGGAGAAACTGGAAATAATGAGGGTAGGTGAAAGACGTGAAACACCCAATGTGGCGTATAAGGTGTAAGCGAATTGGGAGATGGACAGGAGATGAGTGAGAAGGTGAACAGGCCTGAGTCCAGCAGTACATTTATTAATGAAGTGTTCAGTCGGAGATGTATCTGTCAAATGTAAACTTAATTAATCTTTACATATTGAAATAATTGATAAGCAGCCCGAATGAAATATTTCCTTGTTTCTATTTCTGTTTTCAGGCTGATTCTCTCGTCTGTTTCGGACTACTTTGCCGCCATGTTTACCAGTGATGTCAGGGAGGCGAAACAGGAAGAGATCAAGATGGAAGGAGTGGAACCTAATGCACTCTGGGCATTAGTGCAATATTCATACACAGGTAATGTGCTGGTAATTTGACAATAAATCATTTTAACTGAATATATATCTTTACAGGAAACTCCAATGTTAAATATTATATAGCGTTATCATTTTTGCATTGTACCTTTAACTCTATCCGTGCCAATTGCACACTTCCTAAACTTAAAAAAACCTTTTTATCCAAAGGCGAGTCCTGTCTCTTTCTCCATTCCGCCCCATGAGACTATTTCCCCTTCCTTTCTGGATGGATTCGGCACATGCCAATCAGATGCAGAGATTGACTAATAGAATGCTTCCATATGGACGTTCTCACTTCTGCTTGACCAGCCATTCTAGTAAAGTGAAGTGCAGTTTCCCTCTAAAGCACTTCACCAAGCAATGGTTTGGAGTGTTCCTTCCAATAGTTTGAGTATAATTATCTGAATGCTGATCATACAGCGCTTAAAGACAGTTTTGGCATGTAACCTGTACGTACACTTTCTGGCCTTTTAATCAAAGGTTTTATCACATCTGTGTTGAAACTAAGCACTCTTTCTTTTGTGTAGATAATATATGTATATTAAGTATAAGCATTAAATAAGCGTGCATTAAACAGAAGTTGGAAAAGTAATTTCTAATTCTAAATACTTTTATGGCAACCTCTTGTCTGCTATTATAGCAGAGATTAACTGTAAAGATTTCAGCAACCTTCTGTTTTAGGAAGATCAGCCTGAAGCAATGATACTCTGTGTATAACTGGCACCACTATCATCCTTCAATTTAAATGTATTTAATGTGCCTATTCACTTGAACTGAAGTATTTATTGTATTCTGCTTTCTGCCATAAAGCCCTTATCCATCTTGGTGTAGCTTCTATGCTGTTCTGAACAGATTTACCTTTTCATAACGCCTTATAACCAATTCATCAGTGAAATGGAATTCTTTGTAAAAGTGTGAAAAAGAACACTCCAAGCACCATCACCACTACAGTGTCAAACAGATAGGGACACTGCACCTTCATTGAGATAACGTTATCTGTGTGACTATAGTGTCCCTTTAATGTTAACACTTAACCAACCCACCAACCCACCACCTAACCATATACCAACCCCAAAGCTATGCTTATACTAAGCGTGTAGCTACCCTAATCTTACCCTTAATCCTACACTATCCTAACACTAAAACAGCATTAACCCAAACTCAGCAGTAACCCTTTCTCTAGCTGTGGTGTTATAAATGGCCTTAAAGGGCTCTATGCAGCGTTGACTTTCTGCACTCATCGGTCCATCCCGAGCCACTAAAAGTGGCCCAGCTAACATAGGGGATGCCAAGGTATCCAATAATACCAGAGACTCTCTGGTGTGAGCATGGATTTAACCCTGCTCACACTAAAACTGCAGGACGAGTCCGTACACTCTAAACCAGTGATGGCTAACCTTGACACCATAAATTGTTAATGGACTACATTTCCCATGATGCTCAGCTAGCTTTTAGACTCTAAAAGCTAGCTGAGCATCATGGGAAATGTAGTCCACAAACAATTTATGGTGTCAAGGTTAGCCATCACTGCCCGAAACTAATTAAAGCCCAGTATAGTTAATTAGGACATACTGACATGTCCTTACATCGTCAAAGTGTTAGGAAGTGAAAATAACCTATTTAGGTTAACATGAATAAGTGTAATTGATTTTTATAATCTCATAGGAAGCTGAAACTAAAGCCTAATTCTAAACAACTGTACAAGCTTTGAAAAGAAAGGCATTATCTATTAGGGATCGACCGATTATCAGTTTTACCGATATTATTGGCCGATATTCGGTATTTTCGGCAATATCGGTATCTGCCAATAAAGATACTGATATTGCCGATAATACATACCAGGACCGCTGGGCTCATTACAAGCCCGGCGGTCCTGGGGGGGCTTCAGCAAGTGCTTACTTACCTTTCCTGCAGCTCCTCCAGCTCCCTGTGTAAATCTCGCGAGACCTGCGGCCGTCAGAGCATTGCTACGGGTTACCATGGCAAGGCTCCGCGCAGCACACAGGCTGCGAGATTTACACAGGGAGCTGGAGGAGTTGCAGGAAAGGTAAGTAAGCGCTTGCTGCCAGCCCCCTCACTGCTCAGCCAATGCCGGTGGACATGGGCCCAACAAGTACCACATGGGCATGAAAGGCATTTATAAAACATCCATCAAGGAAATGTTACAACACAAAATTCCACAATTTATGGCAAAAAGGTCTTGGGTTTTTTGGGGGGAGGGGGGTGGGAGAAATGTAAGAATTGAGGAGATAATGCAGCAAGTAAAAGAAGAAGTAATTAGGTGGCTTTCTGCAATTTTCAGACTGCAATTCCTACCATTTTCAGTCAGTCCTAGGAACCCAAAAGGCTGTGTTTAGTTTATCAACAATTACATATCTGTACAATATTTTGCAGTGAATGTAGTGTGTGTGTAGGGAATGCAGTGTGTGTATAGGGAATGCAGTGTGTGTATAGGGAATGCAGTGTGTGTATAGGGAATGCAGTATGTGTAGTGTGTGTATAATGAATGTAGTTTGTGTGTATAGTGAATGTAGTTTGTGTGTATAGTGAATGTAGTGTGTGTATAGTGAATGTAGTGTGTGTATAGTGAATACAGTGTGTAGTGTGTGTGTATAGTGTGTGTAGTGTGTGTATAGTGAATGCAGTGTGTGTAGTGTGTGTGTGTATATAATGTAGTGTGTGTATAGTGAATGCAGTGTGTGTAGTGTGTGTGTATAGTGAATGCAGTGTGTAGTGTGGGTGTGTATAGTAAATGCAATGTGTTTGTGTAGTGTGCATAAAGTGAATTCAGTGTGTTTGTATATAATGAATACAGTGTGTAGTGTGAATATAATGCAGAGTGTGTAGTGTGTGTATATAATGTAATGTGTGTATATTATGCAGTGTGTGTGTGTGTGTGTGTGCATATAATGCCCACACTACACACTCCGCATTATATATGCACACACTACATTATATACACACTACACACTGTATTCACAAACACACTGCATTCACTTTACGCACACTACACACACTGCATTCACTATACACATACACTACACACTGTATTCACTATACACACACTACACACTGTATTCACTATACACACACTACACACTGCATTCACTATACACACACACTACATACACTGCATTCACTATACACACACACTACATTCACTATACACATACTACACACACTGCATTCACTTTACACACCACACACTACATTCACTATACACACACACACACACACACACTCTGCATTCATTCTATACACACTACACAAACACTCACTGCATTAACTATACACACTACACAAACAGACACAGCTCCCCTGTCTAAACACACTACATCCACTACATGTGGCATGTATATTCTGTGCATTTACCTTTAGAAATAGTTTATTTTTTTTAAATGGTAAATGTACAGAATATCAGCAAGTTATCGGCTATCGGCCTGAAAGTTCACCGATTATCAGTATCGGTATCGGCTCTAAAAAATCAATATCGGTCGATCCCTATTATATTTTGCATTTACCTGACTTTTTTCACAAAGTGCAACAAGTGTAGAGATCAAACAGCAGGCATCTATACACACATTTACAATGAATGACATTTCCTGTCTTAAGGTTTTACTGACGTACTTACATCCGGTTTAACAGGAGTTTAAATATTTTAATCAGCTTTTACGGGAAGGATCAAAGTCGTACTATTAACTTAAACCTGCAGGATGCATTCAGGAAGTGAGGTTTGGACGCGGGCATGGGCTCCTTTATAATATTTGGCTCCCTTTTGGCGCCCCATTTTTTTTGGCATCTTTGGTTGTTTGCCACACTCCAAGTGTCTCATAAAGCATGCATTAACAGAAGAAATGTTCTCTGTGGACATTTAAAAAACCTAAGTTGTTGATACAGCGTATTCTTTTAGTGGATAATTTGAGGTTGTGCCAACCGATATCCAGCGCTTTGATCCAGTTAAGAATACACAGCTTGCAAAATGTTACATAAACTTCCAAAATATATATATATTTCAGTAGAGTTCGTATTATAGCCATTTGGCCCACATTTTGCAACACATGTTCTCAATTCACCACAACTGAAGTGTTTACTGCATGGAGTCCTTCACAATCAGACTTATTACTGGTACAATTTGATTTTTGCCTCTAGCTCCTGCAGGATCACATTTTGCGAAATAAATGTTTATCTCCTTTCACTTGAAGGTGGAAAACGTTTGCTAGTGGCTAGCTCAGTGTTATTGGTAAATTAAAGAGACATGTCAGTTAGAGAACCGGGACTGTCCCTGTGCAGATTGCTACAGAAGTTCTATAACACGAGCCAGAAAAGGCCGTGGGTGTCCCCAGTGGTGGGCCACCAGAAACAAATCACAGATTGGCGGGACAGGTTTCCGAAATCAAGACTTTCCTGCAAATCAGGACTGCTGAGAGCTGTGATACTGTTGTGGGAGCAAAATAGGAAGTAAGAATGACTTGGCCAATTGCGGCAAGTCAACGACCTCTTGCCATGTGCTATTTTTTTGTAAACAAATCCCATGCAAGGCAAGCCGTCTGCTTAATAGGAAGTCAGAGCTTTTAGGAAGTCAGAGCTTTTACAATTTACAGATCTTAAGCTGTTTTTATTATGGTTTTCAAAATGTATATTACGTATTTCATTCTAAGCCAAGAACTGTTTCTCGACCCCTTGCAGTTAGTCATTTTTATATTTTGAAAATCCATAATATTTTGTAATTAGAATCTGTGTCTGTGGATGTTCTTCCAGGTCGACTTGAGCTAAAAGAAGATAACATCGAATGTCTGCTGTCTACGGCGTGTCTCCTGCAGCTGTCTCAGGTGGTGGAAGCCTGCTGCAAATTCTTAATGAAACAACTCCATCCCTCCAACTGCCTGGGAATTCGCTCCTTTGCTGACGCACAAGGATGTACCGATCTGCACAAGGTGGCTCATAATTACACAATGGCAAGTGTTAGACGTCTCCCTTGCATGTAGCAAAGACTCATATTGTCATTATACTCTGCTATGGTGGGGAATTGGGGATGATATCCCACAGATGAAAACCTTTAGATTGATCTCAATAGCAGGGAAAGTGAGGGCCGGGTTTATACTGGGTGTTAAAGCATATAGCTTGCCACCACCCCATGTTTCAATATTATGGATATTAGATCAACCCTTTTAGGAGTTGTATACTATTAATGTTGCTATGGTAATAGCATTACAGGTGATACTTGAAAAATTAGAATATCGGGCAAAAGTTCATTTATTTCAGTAATGCAACGTAAAAGGGGAAACTAATATATGAGATAGACGCATTACATGCAAAGCAAGATAGTTCAAGCCATGATTTGTCATAAGTGCGATGATTATGGCTTACAGCTCATGAAAATCACAAATCCACAATCTCAGTAAATTAGAATATTACATGCAATCAATAAAACAAGGAGTGTACATAGAACAATATCGAGCCTCTAAAAAGTATAAGCATGCATATTGACTCAGTACTTGGTTTGGGCCCCTTTTGCAGCAATTACTGCCTCAATGCGGCGTGGCATGGAAGCTATCAGCCTGTAGCACTGCTGAGGTGTTATGGAAGACCAGGATGCTTCAAGAGCAGCCTTCAGCTCTTCTGCATTATTCGTTCTTGTGTCTCTCATCTTTCTCTTGGCAATGCCCCATAGATTCTCTATGGGGTTTAGGTCAGGTGAGTTTGCTGGCCAATCAAGCACAGTAATCCCACGGTCATTGAACCAGGTATTGGTGCTTTTGGCAGTGTGGGCAGGTGCCACGTCCTGCTGGAAAATGAAGTCAGCATCCCCATAAAGTTTGTCTGCGGAAGGAAGCATGATGTGCTCCAAAATCTCCTGGTAGACGGCTGCGTTGACCCTGGACTTAAAGGACCACTCTAGGCACCCAGACCACTTCAGCTTAATGAAGTGGTCTGGGTGCCTGGTCCAGCTAGGGTTAACCCATTTTTTTTATAAACATAGCAGTTTCAGAGAAACTGCTATGTATATGAATGGGTTAAGCCTTCCCCCATTCCCTCTAGCGGCTGTCTCACTGACAGCCGCTAGAGGCGCTTGCGTGCTTCTCACTGTGATTTTCACAGTGAGAGCATGCCAGCGTCCATAGGAAAGCATTGATAATGCTTTCCTATGTGACCGGCTGAATGCGCGCGCAGCTCTTGCCGCGCGTGCGCATTCAGCTGACGGGGAGGATTGGAGGAGGAGAGCTCTCCGCCCAGCGCTGGAAAAAGGTACGTTTTTACCCCTTTCCCCCTTCCAGAGCTGGGCGGGAGGGGGACCCTGAGGGTGGGGGCACCCTCAGGGCACTATAGTGCCAGGAAAACGAGTATGTTTTCCTGGCACTATAGTGGTCCTTTAATGAAGCATAGTGGACCAACACCAGCAGATGACATGGCTCACCAAATCAACACAGACTGTGGAAACTTCACACTGGACTTCAAGCATCTTGCAGTGTGTGCCTCTCCATTCTTCCTCCAGACTCTGGATCCTTGGTTTCCAAATGAGATGCAAAATTTACTCTCCTCAGAAAAGAGGACTTTGGGCCACTGAGCAACAGACCAGGTCTGTTTTTCTTTAGCCCAGGTAAGACATTTCTGACGTTGTCCCGTGTCCAGGATCCGTCTGTGTGTGGTGGCTCTTGATGCTCTGACTCCAGCTTCAGTCCACTCCATGTGAAAGTCCCCAACACACTTGAATGGCCTTTTCCTGACAATCCTCTCCAGGCTGTCATCCCTGCTGCTTGTGCACCTTTTTCTTCCACACTTTTCCTTTCCACATAACTTTCTATTAATGTGCTTTGATACAGCACTTTGGGAACATCCAAATTCCTTCTCAATTACCTTTTAAGGCTTTCCCTCCTTATAGAGGGTGTCAATGATGGTTTTCTGCACAACTGTCAGGTCAGCTGTCTTCCCCATGAGTGTGATTCCTACTGAACCAGACTGAGAGACCATTTAAAGGCTCAGAATTTTGCCTGTGTTATGGCTTGTGTCGAAATGCCTTTTGTCACTGGATTTTTAGGTGTCAAACTGCCCTTTGTCCCTGGCTTTTGGAGGAGCCTGATTGCCAGCCTCCTGCCTCATGACTATGGCCCTGGGATGTATGGATCTTTAAAAACCCTATTTGCATTCATGGACTTTTAAAAGACTGCATTCGAATGGGACTTAGTCGTTTTTTCTATGTAAACTGACTTTAACATTGGAAATAGACCGGCCGCACAGCCAAACTCTGTGGAACTGTTTTGGGCAGGAAATCCTGCGTGCAGTCAGTCGGTCAAAAGAGGCTTCCCTAAAACTTTAACCCCATGGCAAATTTACTTTGTTCGTGGTATCGGAGTGCTGTTCACCTATATTGGGTGCTCAGATCCGAGCTATCTGGGGATAGGTTAAACGTGGGGGTTCGGGGTAATATAATAAGAATTATGTATTTTTATGTGCTTTTATGTATTTTTGCTGTTAGTGTAAAATGTAGATATTTTCTGTACCTGGAGATAATTGAGTTTACTGCAGTTCCTTAAGCCAATTATCTCCAGGATAGAGAGGAGGGATTTCACTGTGTATGTGGGAGTGTTATTTTATTAATTAGTGTTCCCATAGTTTACCACCAGGTCCAGGGGGTGTGCCTCTGTCCTGAAAACTTGTATATAAGCAGTAATAAACGCTCATTAGAGTCAGATCATCTTGTACCTTCATGAAGTTTCGGCTCATGTTTGGGGGATTGGAGAACTACACTCTGGGGATTGCTATAATCACTATACTTCCCAGGGTATAATCACAAAGCTCTGTTCTTTCTCTCTGGAATTCGGAGAGGTTAACCTACTGGAAGCTGGACCCTGGTCTTGGGTCCAGAGTGGGTGGAGACGGCGAGACCCCAACCAAGCTGCTGCGGTTTGTGGGGTCTGCAGTGGTTATGGTGTCAGGTGGAGTGCTTGTAGACCTCGGAAAGCACTGGGAGCATCCGTCAGCACGTTTAGTTAACAGTACCTTAAGTGGTAATTTTGGGGAACTAAGGAATAGCACAATTGTATCTAACCCCAAAAATGTAATCCAATGCCACGTATTACTATAATATTAATATTAATAAGTGCGTTATGAGTATACGGTATCCAAAGGCATTCAGCGACAATGGATGTAACAAAAACCTGAAATGTGTCCTTTTTGAAACATTCATGTAGACAAATGTCACATTCGTGATCCTGAAAAAATGTCAGGTTAAGGCAAATAAATATATATCTTTGTTTCAGGGCTTAAAATTTCAAGCCCCTTGTTATTATCCAGGTCTCAGAGGGTGAATGGACACACACTGCTAAGTGAATTTCTCCTTACCAATGGCTAGGTGTGGTGCCTCCTTGCAGGGAACCAGAGTGTCACTGCTAAGGACTCTCTTTCGGATAATGACTATTGCCAAATGGTAATAGCAGAGGATTATAGCTGTTAAGCAGGTTCACACTAGCCGAGACTTTGTGTAGGGTGAAGTAGAAATGTTTCGTTTTTTGCAACAATGGTCACACTTTTTACCTGGGGCCTCAACCGGAGGTTTCCAGGAGAACAATAGCATTGCGACATACCCGGCACCCTGGTGTCTATACCTGAGCATGTAATCTAATTAACGGCCAGACACATTTGCTTTGGATTAACATTATACACAAAATAAATAGGTTCCCAGGTCCACATCCCCAAACTAATGGTGTCTCCAGTAAGCTCTCTTCTGAGAGCCCACTCTGTCCAAAAAGTGCTTGGATCGGAGTTGGCTGGCCCGAGTTAGCTAGAAGTTTTGACCGGTCCTTGACCATCTTGCAATACAGCGCAGAGTTCCATAGCACTGGGTGGTAAACCCATGTCACCTAAATGATGGCACTTTTTATGGGTACATAGAGCTCTCAAGTCCTGGGTACCATTCGATGCCTTGCCACCTTCTCTATCACAGCTCCAAATAGCGCTCTAATAGATGTTTGTGGGACAGAGACAACGTTTTACCAGACTGCGGCTATTCTGTGATCCGATTAAGAGTCCCAGAGTGAATGGTGGTTACTACCGGTCAGACAAGCCGTGCCTCTGTAACCTTCCTGCGGGTCTTCGATGCCTTTTGGGTCACTGGATGGGTAAACATGGTAAAAATAGCTCTTTTAGAGGGAGATGGTTGTTGGGAGACATGTACCATCCCTGGGTGAATGGCTGTTCTATCACACTAGGAAATTTTCGCCCGCTTTATTTAATTAGGTTTTTTTTTTTCCAATCACCAGATTTCTTTTTAGGCAGAAATTGCCAATGTTGAGACAACTCTGCTGTAGTCCCAGTTTGAGTATTTTAGCGTACTTTTTACAACTCAGTTCATAGTATTTGAATTCACTACAATTTAGTGACTGACAGAGGTTTGTTGATCTAGTTATCTGCCTGCTTTTTCTAGTGAAAATAGAGTGTGTGTCCTGTAGTAAATATATGAGAATTTTGTATTTTTGTATTGTTTTTTTTCTTGGTTGGTTGGAATGGGCATGCTTTGCACCATCTGCATTTTGCTGTGCTCGGGTGATTAGGTATTCATAATATGCTGTCACCAGCTCTTATTTATGTTTCTTTTCTGCAGGAATATTTAAATTAGCTCCATATGACAGAGGGTTTTAAAGAAATAATATGCTGTTCCAGATGGATGTCTCCCCAGGTCCCCTTTGATGTCGTTTAGATGAGTGTTGAGCAGAAACTGAATTTTAATAATAATGAGAATTTTTAAAATATCTCGGCTGGAGAGAAAAGCTGGGTTTTCAAAAAAGCAATCCTTTTCCAGACACGCTTTAAATGTTACTGTGACTTGTACCATTATTGTCCTTTATATATAATAAGGGGATACGCTTTTCAGAGCTATACAGTTACAGTACACACAACTCTACACAGGGTGCAATAAACACTGGAAATTAAGATATGAACAATTTCAGATGTTCCTATCCACAACTTTGCAACTGTACTTTCTCAACTTGAGCAACCATACAAAATTTTTGGTACTTAATTAAGCAGAGGGACCCAGGACATGGGCACATTATTGCAACATTTATGCTTTAATGGACTCTAAGAAGCCTAACCACTATAGCTCGTTCTAGTGGTTATATCACCTAGGAGGTTTGCCTTTACGTGTCAGGTGAGCCTCCAGTTATTTAAATGTGCATAGGGATTTGGGATAGTGTGCGAGTAACTATATTTTTTAAAATGTATTTTGCCTAGTGTGTCGTGGCGCCATCTGCAGGTTTAATGAAAAGCTGTTTAGGAATAGACAGTGGTGGTTCCGTGTGCTTGGGGGTTATGTTGTTTAGAGAGCCCCTTTAATATTACTGATCTGGGATATAAACATTGAACAAACTATCCTTAGTAGAGAGAGCTATGGTCCCCCCTATTCCCACAGCCCATGTGCTTTGTTGGGGTTGGGAGACATAATACTGTTCATGCTTATGGTGATATAATGGTCATGGACGGTGTCTAATTTCTCTCACATTGCAAGTGCAATCCTCATACACAAAGTGCAAATTGGCTGCCCAGTCTGGTGGCGCTAACCGTGAACATACCCAATCCCAACATAAAAGGCAGAGGAGGTACCTAGATTTCCTGGTGGAATGCATAAAAATGTTAAGTAATTAAATATGTACATGATAATCTTCCATAAATTTACTTGGTAAAAATTACTTGATTTTTATGGTTCCTAAATTCACTCATACCCAAGAAATTGCATCTTCTTGAAACTGGAATTCTTAAAAATAAAAACCTTCAAAAAAAACCCAAAAAACTTTGAACTTAAAAAAAAAAAAAAAAATGCACGCACAGACAAAACGGTTATTGCGCACACAGTGGTTATAACATAATCATATAAAGGAAAAACATCATGTTGTAGTATGTAAAATCATGAGATCAAATGGACCACTCACAATATTCAGAGCCTGTTATAAGTTGGCATTGAACTGTGAAAGCACCAAATCACCTTTAATAATAATCATTGTGATTGGTTGTAGAATTAAAAAAAAAAAAAGAAAAGTGGCTTTGTAGATATTTTCAAAGAATACAGATAAATCAACAAATAATTTCATACAAAGTAGAGACACCCCGAATGCCGTTATATTGTACATTCGTGGGAGAAAAATATTTTACGAGCTGAACTTGTTGTTAATTTTGTTTAAAGTATGGAATCTCTTTTTCAGGAGCATTTCATGGAAGTAATCAGGAATCAAGAGTTTCTGTTGTTGCCAGGAGGAGAGATTTCTAAACTTTTAGCTAGCGATGATATGAATATTCCCAATGAAGAGACCATTCTTAACGCCTTGCTAACATGGGTCCGCCATGATGTGGAACAGAGACGGAAAGACCTTAGCAAATTGCTGGCGTTTATCAGGCTACCACTACTGGCACCCCAGGTATGTACTATCTCTTACTATCATAATTATTATATACAACTGGCATTATATATATAAAAACATTTTGGCGCCAATTGAATGCTCGTAATGATCCATTACTGTTGCCCTGGAAGTGCTCTTTTTGCAAGGAATCTCTCTCTATGACTATTTGTCATTTAGGAAAAAAATACATTAAAATGAAACCGTAACTGATGTAAATGACTTTTTTTTAAATTTTTATTATTATTCTTTATTTTTGTTGTGCTCAGTTAACAAACAGACCTGCTTTTCCACAACAGCAAGAGCAAGATCAGTCAAACACATATCATAACAGTGTGGCAGTCTAGATATTAGCACAATTTTTGGTATATAGATAACACAATAATGCAAATGTCAGTGATTCCTATAACCGTAGCAGGCAAAGCTTTAAGTACTGGAACTGACATCTTAAAAGGACACTCCAGGCACCCAGACAACTTCTGCCCATTGGAGTGGTCTGGGTGCCAACTCCCACTACCCTTAACCCTGCAAGTGTAATTATTGCAGTTTTCATAAACTGCAATATTTACCTTGAAGGGTTAAGTCCTCCTCTAGACAGCCACTAGAGGACACTTCCGTGTTCATAGAACACGAAAAGTGTGTTATAACGTCGCTGGACGTCCTCACGCTATGTGAGGACCTCCAGCGTCGCTGAAATCCCAATAGGAAAGCATTGAAAGCATTAGGTCTCCGCCGGCCGCACATGCTCAATAGGTCTCCCCTGCCGGAAGACATCGGCGGGGGAGGAGCGTGGGCGGACCCTGACCCAGCGCCGAGGGTCATCAGCGCTGGAAACAGGTAAGTCACTGAAGGGGGTGGGGGGTGGGAGGGAGACAATCCGTTTTCCTGGCACTGCAGGTTCCCTCTCCCTCCCACCACCCAACCCCCGGTTGCTGAAGGGGTGAAAACCCCTTCAGTAACTTACCTGAGGCAGCGACGATGTCCCTTGTCGCTGCTTCCTCCTCCGCCGCCACTCCTCCTTCTGACTGTGTCAGCCGGTGGGTGAGACTGATCCCGCCCACCGGCCGGGGAGACCTATGCCGCGCATGCGCATTAGCGCTCCCCATAGGAAAGCATTGAAAATGCATTTCAATGCTTTCCTATGGGGAAATGAGCGATGCTGGAGGTCCTCACACAGCGTGAGGACGTCCAGCGACACTCTAGCACAGGTTTCCTGCCCGCCTGCCCAATCTCTCAAAATTAGAAAATCCCTACCGCCCACCTGGAATCCTGAAACGCCCATTAGTGGGCGGTAGGGACCAGGTTGACGACCCATGCTATATATCATATAGATTTATACACATATATAATTATATTTTTTAATTAACATTAACATTTTTTTTTTTTTATTGATTTTACACTTGTAGGGAGAGTACCTGACAGCTCAGGCAGTCTCCCCGTGGCAAATCAGGACCCTGCGGCCACGTGATCGCTCAACAGAGCGGTCACATGGTCACAATAGGTGTCCATGTGTCTGCCTGCAGGGGGACTGTCTGTGCTGACAGGCAGTCTCCCTGCAAGTGTAAAATCAACAAAAAATAAATAAATGTTAATGTTAATTAAAAAATACAATTATATATGTGTATAAATATGATATATAGACATATATCTATATAATATATGTCTATATATCATATATATTTATGTCATACTAAGTGTATTTTTATATTAATATAAATATATTAATATAAAAATACACTTATAATTAAATTACACACGTATATATATATAATATATAATAACTATATATATATTGTGTGTATATATATTATTATAAAATACAAATAAGTAAATTAAAATAAATTTAAAAACGTAAAAATAATAAATTTAAAAAATGATTTCTGCCATTATTTTTTTTCGCTTCTTCCTCTTCCCCCTCTTCTTCATCCACTTATATAAAGTCATTTCTCTTTCTTCCTTAACCATTCTTCAATCTGAGATGGGGTCGTGAATATCTCACGTCTTCCGTCTGTAATTATCTTTATTTTACTGGGGTAGATCCATGAGTATTTTATATTTAGTCTTCTTAGTGAACCAGTAACCGTCATAAATTTCTTTCTTTGTTGTCTGGTGTAGAAAGAAAAATCTTGAAAAATCTTAATATCACCAAGCTTTTCTGTATTAGACTGATTTGTTCGAGCTGCATATAGTATAGCTTCCTTAAATTGATGGGACTGCAAATTAATTATTATATCTCTCGGTAGGTGTTGAGAAACCGAACTAGGTTTGCTTAAACGATGGTATCGTTCCATTTTGGTATTTAGAATTGACACTTCTATATTGAGTGTTGCCCATAAAGTATCCAAATACTCAGGTATTTTATCTTGTGTAATTGCTTCTGGAACATTTCTTATTCTTAGGTTGTTTCTTCTTAAACGATCTTCCAAATCTCCTAGTTTTCCTTCTATTTGTCTCATTTGATTATACAGCTGCTCATTTTGTTCTTTGTTTGCTCTGCTTTCGTATTCCAAAGCTGTGATTTTTTCTTCACTTTGCTTTAGTTTTTCCAATATTTCCAGAAACTGTTTTTTTGTTTCTGCTGTGTTTTTATTAAATTCAGCAGTTATTGCCACCAATTGTTCTTCTAAACAGTGTTTTAGAAAATCTGTTGTAATATAATTTTCTGTTTGACTGGAAGGACTTTGATTAAAATCTTCACTTTTTGATGAATACATAATTGAGCTTTCAAGATTTTTTTCTACATTAGATTTTTGTCCAGGTGAAAAGAAACTTGAGGGGTTTTTACTTTTTTCTGTTTGTTGATCCTGCTTTGCTGCTTTCTTGATGGCAGCTTTTCCTGATGACTTGGTAGCCATATCTTTTTATCTTTTTTTCTTCTTCCTCACTCCCCTTATTTCTTCTCCTTTTCCTTTAATAAGAAGTTATTCAGTGTTCACTTTTTCCTCTTTTTTTTCCCACTTCCTTTCCCCTCTCCCTCTCCTTTCTCTCTCTTCTCTCTCTTTTGTTTTATAGAGATTTTATTTATAATTATTCTTTATATTTGTTTATCTACTGCCAGTTTATCTTTTTCTCATGTCAGCATATACATCAGGATAAATAGAAATAGGGGAGGGTGGAAGTACTTAACTTATCTTCAGTTCGTTCTCCTCACATAAAACTCTTCACATAGCGTTTCCATATCACTTCATATAAGTAGGTTTACGATCAAATTCTTGTCGACTTACTACCGGAAGCAGAGACTGCGGAGGTTTACTGCTCACAACACTTGGAGTCTTGTCAGCCTTTTTGTCAGCCTTTTTAGCACCGTTCCTGCCTCGTATATCGGCAGAACGCCGCTTCCTCCTCCATCGCCGAGACGCCTCCTCGCCTCAGGATGCGTACGTGCGTGCGGACCTCCGCCCACCTCTACGTCATCACGCAAACCCTCTCTCTCCTCACTAAACCCAAATAAAATTGCGAATGATTTCTATATGAAATTTTATTCTAACTGTATTTTTATATAAATACACTTATATCAAAATACACTTAGAATTAAATTGTATATATATGTATATATATGTATAAATAAATAAAAATAATACGAAATATACATATATCCATATACAAAATTACATAAATAATTATTTAAATATACACGTAGACTTCAAATATATAAATATGTATATATATTAAAATTCGATGTGCGTGTTTATGTAATATTTTTACATAATTAAAGGACCACTATAGGCACCTAGACCACTTCAGCTTAATGAGGTGGTCTGGGTGCCTGGTCCAGCTAGGGTTAACCCTTTTTTTCTATAAACATAGCAGTTTCGGAGATAAGAATGGGTTAAGCCTTCCCCCATTCCCTCTAGCGGCTGTCTCATTGACAGCCACTAGAGGCGCTTGCGTGCTTCTCACTGTGAAAGTGACTTTTTTTGCATTTTTCACACACAAACAGCACTTTTACTGATGATATAATTGTTGTGATACGTTTTACTGTTTTTAAAACACTAATATTTGTGTTCAGCAAAGTCTCCCGAGTATAACAGTAACCCCCAGGTACAGGTTTTATAGCGTTTTTGATGGGTCAAATATTTTTACATAGAAAATTGCCAGTTTGGTTATGTTGCTCTTGAGAGCGTATGGTAGCCCAGGAATGAGAATTACCCCCATGATGGCATACCATTTGCAAAAGAAGACAACCCAAGGTATTGCAAATGGGGTATGTCCAGTCTTTTTTAGTAACCACTTGGTCACAAACACTGGCCACAATTAGCGTTCAATTTGGTTTTTTACTTTTGTCACACACAAACAAATATGAATGCTAACTTTGGCCAGTGTGTGTGACTAAGTGGCTAATAAAAAAGACTGGATATACCCCATATTGAATACCCTGGGTTGTCTACTTTAAAAAATATGTACATGTGGGGTGTGACAAAAACAATATATAACTTGTATGGGTATAGTAAATGAGAGAGAGGAAAATTACAGCTAAACACAAACACCACAAAAGTGTTAAAAGAGCCCTGGTCCTTAACGTACAACATGGCCAAAACAGGCCAGTCCTGAAGGGGTTAGAAGCTCCTACGGTGTCCATAAAGCTCGGCCATAGAAAGTTTAGTGAATATCATGATTGGGTGAGACAATTCCTGGTCTTGATAGAGCTCACTGTAGAACATACAAGGTTTCGGAATTTGCACCAAATGCAGGAACATAAAAAGTAAGCATCTTCCTTGTTTTTTAATTTATTGTTTTACGTGCATTACATTACATTACTTTATGACTATAATGCCTTAAAAGTAATGGGTTATCTCCAGCCTGGAATTTCCCATTCATTTTATTATATATTATAGCTCAAATCCAGAACCCAAAATGCTACTTTTGTAAAGTGTATGTGTTTCTTCAAATGCTGAATATACTAGTATTGTGATAATATGGTACTCTTGTCTTGTAGTTTCTTGCAGATATGGAAAATAATGCACTATTTAGAGATGATCTTGAATGTCAGAAACTAATCATGGAAGCCATGAAATACCACTTGTTGCCTGAGAGGAGGCCCATGTTACAGAGCCCTCGCACCAAGCCTAGGAAGTCTACAGTCGGCACACTGTTTGCTGTTGGTGGAATGGATGCTACCAAAGGTACAACTGAACAGCCCATTAGCTGGAAGTCCAGTGACACTATCTTAGAATTGTGGGTCCTAGTAGTGATACAATTTGCATAGCAGATAGATTCCCTTAAAACCATATGTTCCATTAATTTTCATGTTTTTTTCACTAAGGAGCTACAAGTATTGAAAAGTACGATCTCCGCACAAACATGTGGACTCCCGTAGCCAACATGAACGGCAGGAGGCTGCAGTTTGGTGTGGCCGTCCTGGACGACAAGCTATATGTTGTGGGTGGCAGAGATGGATTAAAGACCCTTAACACTGTTGAATGTTATAATCCGAAAACAAAAACCTGGAGTGTAATGCCACCAATGTCTACGCATAGACACGGCCTCGGTAAGTGGCAGAATTTACCAAAACTGGAAAAATGCATTAATACAGTGTGACAATATTGTTCATTGTAAAATACAATTCCAAGGGGCACATGGTGTTCATTTATTGGAGTAGGACAGTAATATCTGTGCTATGGGTTCCCACCTACAGTTTCGTGAACAAGTTCTTTATTGATCTTTTTTATCTAATGAATTTAGAGTTGATGATTTCAAAATAATTTACTTATTGTGATTTGTACTGATGTAAACATCTGTATAAATTATTTTAGTGGTGTGTTTCCTGGTGTGTACCAATAAAGTAGCGATGGATATAATAATAATAATGTCTATGGAGCATTTTACCCCTAAGAGATATTTAAGATGGAGTAGAATTTTTCATTTATCGTTGTTGATTTCAAGCCTTGTGCTACTAGACCGGTCTAAAAGGCAGTCACCACTGCAAACTTGGAGAGTTCCTGGCACATTAGCCAGGGTTGAAGCTCTACTAGCAATACTGATTAATATTATTGTATTTGAAAGTTTTGTCCCAGATGCCTCTGCACTGATCTCTGTTTATATTTTAAACTAAAAAAGCAGATAATATTGCTAAATAAGTGAAGTATTTTAACAATAAAGTGTTCCATTTCCAATGGCTGGGAGTTCTATGTTATCCCTGTTAAAAGTATAATTGTGTTTCAGTGTTGACTAAAAATAAAGTTGTAGTTTCAACGCAATATTGAGTCTGAAATGAAGGAATTGATGTAAACAGTAATGTTTCACCATTTCTAATAATGTCCAAAATATTTACACTGACCAATAATAGAGATGAATTAGTCAAGTGCACCACTAGTCCTTTATTGATCAACATAAAGGCTAAAGCTGTCAAATTATTATGGGAAATGCATCTAACATATTTAGGCAGTATCAAAGTAAGGCATAAATGCACTGCAGTGATTAAAATGCATCAATATCTATCCTAAATAGAATGAAATAAAAGTGTCTGTGCTTGTATTCTGTAAATGGTTACGTTCTGCTTCCTTTTCATAGGGGTAGCCGTTTTAGAGGGACCCATGTATGCTGTAGGCGGCCATGATGGTTGGAGCTACCTGAACACCGTAGAGAGATGGGACCCACAGGCACGGCAGTGGAATTTTGTCGCCAGCATGTCAACCCCAAGGAGCACAGTTGGTGTTGCTGTGCTAAGTGGAAAGTGAGATATTAGTACATTAACTCTTATCTTTTAATTAGCATTAATTAAAGAACTTTCTGCTTACCCCAGTTTATTGTAATCCTAACCAGCTAGCTAAACCCTGTCATTGTACCTTTTTATTTACATTCTCTGCTTTACAACCTACATTGATCAAGTAACAAAAAAAACAAAAAAATCTGTTTTGTCCATTCCACTAGTCAACTGTGTGTCACTATTTAACACAGTGAGAGACCTACCTTCCTATAGAATTGCTAGCGGGAGTCGTAGCAAGCTTCCCTGTACTGCTTTCATCGCCTGTCTGATAAACTGCGAGGCAGCGCACGGTATAAAATGTCATGTAAATTCAAAGGATGACATCTTTACTTGTTTTAGAGAAGCAGAAATAATTTATTATAAAAGTGTTTGGTTTTTTTAAATAGAGACTGAAGCATGTAACAAGACTACCAAAACCATTATCATGTATAGACACAGTATTAATACATACATTATAATAGGTGATGGCTAATGTTTAGCAATACAGCCTTTTCTGTACTACGGTCATGGCTGAGGATCATGGGAATTGTAGAGCACATCAGCTGTAAGTGCCAGAGACTTGTCATTACTGTGCTAGCTTTAAGAATAAGCAAGGAACATTCATACTACTTGTTACTTACCAGAGTTATATAAGCCAGCTCAGCCTATCTTCAGGAACTCAACAGGTTATGAGACTTGATCATTCTAGTAACATTTAATCTGAGGGATATAACATACCTCCCAAGTGTCCCTATTTTAGGAGGGACAGTCCCTGTTTTGGTCCTTGATCCCTCTGTCCCTTTATTCTATCTTAAAGTCCCTCTTTTCTAGGAGTTCAGTATCGTTTGTGTGTTTCAGTGTATAGCAGAGTTCCAAAGTGATAATGTTCACAGTAATGTGTTTTTAAATTGCAGTAGATGTACTAATAAATCAGTCTGTGTAAATACAATACATTGTTCTTGTTTTAAATTACATTTTAGTTGCATACATTATTAGTAAGTCACCTAACATGTTTCAGAATAGCTCTGCCCCTGGCCAGGACCCCACTCACACCCCTAAAATTAAAGTGTCCTTTATCCATTTAAATTGTGGAGTAATATGTTATAACAACAGAGAATATGAGAACTCTGAGAAAGTCAGTATGTTATAATGTAATCATTAGTTCATTGCCCAGCCCTGAACATATGAAACATATTTCTGTCTTGCTTATTAGAATTCATTGCTTTGGGGGCCTTTTACCCAACTACAAATGACTTGGAAATATTTTCATCTAAGTTTGTGTGTTTTTGTTTTCAATTATTTTCCAGGCTTTATGCTGTGGGTGGCCGTGATGGAAGCTCTTGCCTAAAATCTGTAGAATGCTTTGATCCTCACACCAACAAGTGGACCCTGTGCTCACAGATGTCCAAACGAAGAGGAGGGGTCGGAGTCACTACCTGGAATGGATTTTTATATGCAATAGGAGGGCACGATGCACCTGCTTCCAATTTAACATCCCGGCTCTCAGATTGTGTGGAAAGGTATGTGGAAAGTATACAAGAAATAAGAAGGCTTAAAAATGGAAGTACATCTGTCTCTGTCCCAGAACTAATAGGGTTATTTAGTAAAGTGTGAGTTGTGTGGAATTTAAAGTAAATTCGAAGGGTTGATTTGATTTTGAGCCAAAATAGTCAGAGCTGGATAGAGTAATGAAAGAGCTGACTTTTGGCCTAAAATTTGAAACTCACTTTGAATTCACACTTTATTAAATAAGCCTGTTAAAATGTGCTGTTCAGGATAGTTATTGTGGTACTGTCACAACAATAGAATCATTATTAAAACCGTCTGACAAATGAAGGTTGGAATATGGACAATCTATAAAACAACCCTTACATATTTGGTCTACATTGCCTTTAGTTATGGGCATGTGTGTGCTCACTGGCCTGCAGGCAGAGATGTGCCAAAAAGACACGAGTAACAGGTTAACAGTCAAATATGGTGATATATCTATATCTATTATATAAAATAAGACCGATCCATAGAGCTACCTGTGTATATGCAAACAAGTTAAATTAATACATTTACTGTTACTTGTGTGGTACTGGGTCCACTGTTGTTATCTTCGACTTAAAATATCCAGATATGATGTGAGAGATTAACTAGAGTAGCATAGTGAAGATAAAATCAAATTTATTTAACAAAATATATAAAAAAGTGGGCTCTCACATTTTAAAATGGAGTTACCAGCATCTCACTAGTTTAAAAACTAGTCCAGGTGAGTTTTGTCTTTTCTCGCTTGCTGCTGTTTAATACGAGTCCTACAGCCGATGTCCAGTATTATGAAGATCTCTGGAATCCTGTATAGCAGCAAACTAACAGAGGTAACTTTGTAAACCATTACAAATAAGTTATACTATATATATGGAAAAGTTATGTAGGCTATACATAGTAAAATGTATTGTTTTAGAAAAATACCTCTCTCTTATCTTTACCCCCACCTCTCATTTCCATCTGCCCTCTTAGTATATTATTGAGAGAATATATAAAGCCAGTTGCCTAGACTGACCCTTTAAAATGTGTTACTCCTATACTCTCCTTATAAATAATAATTAAAATCCAAGAGAACATGTTTATGGACAAACTGTCACCCATTGTGCTACAAATTCCTCTGGCCTTTCATTAAGTATGGGATCTATAGTTAACCTACTGTCTTAAAGAGTTTTCATCTTAAAGCAGATATCTTTTATCATGGGGAATTTGGTATACTCGTTCTTTCCCAAATCCCCCCACCATTTTTTGTTTGGTTTTTTATTTCTCCCAACCTTCCCCTTTCTCTTTATCCTTTTACTGTATTCTGTAAAACCGGCTGTGACTACAGGTGAACTGTTGGTACTATCTTTTCACTTTTGTTCACAAACCTGTAATAAATAAGGAATTAATTTAGCAGATGCTTTCATTTACAGGTATGATCCCAAAACAGACATGTGGACATCGGTGGCCTCGATGAGCATTTGTCGAGATGCAGTAGGAGTGTGCTTGCTGGGTGATAAACTCTATGCCATTGGTGGATACGATGGACAGAGCTATCTCAATACGGTGGAGGCGTATGATCCTCAGACAAATGAATGGACACAGGTCTGTTTAGTTGGACACTTTTTTTGTTAAATTTTGTTTTGCTTAGTTTACCTTGTGAAAAATGTTTAAGGTTGTTGGTTATGGAAGACATGATTGTTAGCTAGCTTAGGATTTTTAAAATTATGATTACTTGTCCCCTATATTTAACAAATGTGAGTTTCTGAGGTCTGAAAAATAAAATTTAAATGTAGAAGTCAGCATCGCTGTATTTTGCATTTGTCCAGAGCTGAGCACCACCATCTCGGCTCCCTGTCCATCTCTGTTAAAAGTTCTACTCTTTTTCTGGAGATAAAACCTTTCGTGTGCAGTCAGCAAGAGAGAGGAGAAGAAACTGAAATTGTGGTGTCAGTTGATAACTATTTAATTTACATTTAAAAGAAAACTGAGCATCATATTAAAAAAGGTTAACACAAGTTATTGAGTATTTTTATTATTTTATTCATTATTGGTATAATTCCCAGACCTGTGTGTTCCCCTTCAGAGGGAAGCAATAGTACTAAAAACCAAATAATTTGTATTATTATTTAATATGTCTCTGGCATCAATATGACCTCAGTCCCCATCCTCTTTTACTTTTAAAAATATTAAGCTTAATCCACACTGACACTACTACAGTTTGTTTAACACAGTTTTTATGTGGACTCTACCTATATTATTGTGTTCTTCTTTGTTGCCTTACTTTTACAAAACATAAAAAAGGGAAGAACATCTGGGGCACTGGTGCTACATGCAAAGCACTTGTATATCTTATTGTTAACTTTTCGTGTGTACTAACCTCAACTTTCTAATTCTGTATTGCCGAAATCTTAAAAAAACAAAACAAAAAAAACTAAAAATTAAGCTTAATAACCCCTAACTTAATTTTTTTTCCATTTCTGGTACACAGTCCTTCCAGCAACCAATTTGCCCCCTGTTTTGTCATCATGCTTAATGACTTCTCTTTCAATCAAGTACTTGACAAAGCATTGAATCCAGTGTTTCTCCGTGAGAAGCATCGGAGCTGGCTGCATTGTACTAAGAGGACTTTCAAATGGTTATGAAAAGGCACCATCTAGTGGCTGTCAGGGTGACAGACATTAGAGGTATGTTTAGCCCCACAAAGTAAGAATTGCCAAAACGGCAGTGTTTTTACATTGCGGGAGCAATGCGGCAGTACCACTGCACCAAGACCACTTCATTGAGTTCTGGGTGCCTCAAGTGTGCCTTTAATAAACTGATAAAGTACCTTAACCCCTTAGTGACCAAGGACGCATCAGGTACGTCCAATCATTTCTGGGTTGCCGCACTTGGTGCCCGGCAGTGAGGCAGAGCATCGGAAGCTATCATGCAGGCTTCCGATGCCCTGCCTGTCTGCTGAGATGTTGAGGCACTCAGTAAAAAATAAAATAGTTTTAAAATAATAATAATAATAAAATAAAATAAAATTAAAAAAAAAAATATATATATATATATATATATATAAAACTAACACCCCTCCCTCCCCCCCAGGAATCTAATCCTACATTACTTATCTGATAGCCGCCGTTCCCCCGCCGGCGATCAGTCTTCTTCTGACAGCCCAGTTAGTTCCTCCTCTTCAAAATAGGACCCCATATTTAATACCCTGGGTTGTCTACTTTAAAAAAAATATGTACATGGGGGGTGTGATTCAGTGATTTATGACAGATAACAGTGTTACAATGTCACTATTGATCAATGTTAAAAATATATTTTGAAACGGCAATGTCCTACTTGCACTTATAGCCCTCTAACTTGCAAAAAAGCACATAAACGCTGGTTCTTTTTAAACTCAGGACAAAATTTTGAAACTATTTAGCCCGGGTGTTTTTTCGCAGTTGGTTGATGCGTAACAGATTTTGGGGGTCAAAGTTCGAAAAGGTGTGGTTTTTTAAAATAATTTTTAAGGGATCGACCAATATTGATTTTTTTTAAAGCCGATAATCTGTGAACTTTAAAGCCAATAGACGAAAACTTACCGATACCGATATTCTGTACATTTACCGTTTTGAAAAAAGAAACTATTTCTACACAAATCTACTGTTAACTGAACATGGTTATTATTGTATTTATTTTGTTGCAAATCTTTTTTTATTAAGGTAAATGCACAAAATATACATCCCAGTGAGAATTTTTTATGTTTTCAAGAATATATGTGTGTGTAGTGGATGCAGTGAGAGTATTTGATTATTGAATGCAGTGTGTGTGTTTGTGTAGTGGATGCTGCATGTGTGTGTAAATATGTGGGGTAGGAATCTGTGGATTTTATTTATTTTATAAATAAAAATAATTTTATATAATTATTACATTTAAAAAAAAAATATATATATATATATTTTCATTTTATTCCCCCCTCCCTGGCCACAGGTACATAGGGCATTACACTCCTTGGTGGGGAGTGAGGGGTGCCGTGTGTATTAGGGGCATTGTATGTGTGTATGGGGGCAGTGTGTGTGTGTATGTGGGGCATTGTTTGTGTGAGGGTTGTAGCATGTGTGTAAGGGGGCAGTTTATGTGTGTGTATATGGGATGCAGTTTGTGTGTGTGTGTGTGTGTGTGTATGGGGGGGCAGTGTGTGTATATGGAGGGGCAGTGTTTGTGTGATAGGGGCAGTTTGTGTGTGTGTGGGGCAGTGTGTGAATGTGTAGGGTGTTATTGTGTGTGTGTGTGGTAGGGAGGGAAGCAGATCAAAGCAAATATAACTTTTATTTTATGTTGTTTTTAAAAACAAATATATTGTATATCTCCCCTCCCTCCTTACCTGTGGCTTGGGAGGGGGAGACATTGCTTTCCATCCCTGGTGGTTCGGTGGGGAAGCACTGGTGGTCCCAGTGGTGAGAGTGAACTCTAGCTTGTAGATTTAGGCTAGAGTTCACTCTCGCGAGAGCAGTGAATTGCCATGGTAACCGTGGCTACGCTCCGTGCTTGCGAGAGGCGAACCCGACGGAGCTGCAGGTAAGAGCTCCCCTGGGTCCTCTCTCTCTCCCTCCCTCCCCTGCTGACTGCCAGCAGAGTGCTTGCGGGCCGGGGAGGGAGATCACTGATCTCCCCTTGCCCCCACTGTCTGCATTATCGGCAATATCGGTATCTTTATAGGCCAATACCGATATTGCTGAAAATGCAGAATATCGGCCAGACCGATAATCGGTCGATCCCTAATTTTTTCATCGTATTTTATAATTTTCTTTTTTATAGTAAATTTATATGATAGGATGAAAATAATGGTATCTCTAGAAAGACCATTTAATGGCGAGGAAAAAAGGTATATAATATGTGTGGGTACAGTAAATTAGTAAGGGGGAAATTACAGCTAAATACAAACACCGCAGAAATGTAAAATCAGCCCTGGTCCTTAATGGTAAGAAATTGAAAAGCGGTCTGGTCACTAAGGGGCTAAAGGGTCTGCTAGATTACAGTACCATTACTTCAAGTACCATATTACATGTACTGAGTAGCTCTCTTTATCTTAATGATAAATGTGATGATATATTCAATGATTATTTTATCTTCAATGATCAATGTAACTGTTTTATCATAAGCGTTATAGTGTTGGGTATTAATGATTTCTTGTTTGTTATTTTTAGGTTGCTCCATTGTGCCTTGGAAGAGCCGGTGCCTGCGTAGTGACCGTAAAACTATAACATGGTATTTTATGTCGGTGTGCGCAGACTCTCACATTCCCAAAGAGATTCACTTTATTACTGCTTTTTAATATTCACAGGTTTTATTGTGAATGAAAAATATACAGCACAATATTTATCATATTTTAGGATCTTCTATCCAAATCTTCCAGAAATTATTTATCTATGTTAAACTATATTTATTCCCAGCATAATGAAGGCAACTTTAGGCAAAGACACTTATTGGCGAGATCTATTTTCTCTAAGTATGTACCATTTTGGAGAGACAGGTTTCTTTAGCACAAGGTCATAGATCAAGCGTTTCATGTCTTCAACTGCAAGTTTATATCTTTAAAAGCACTTCAAAAATCTATCTGTGTTTATTGGACATTCCCTCATACATGGATGTATTTAAAGTAATTATATAAAGGAATATTAATATCCCACGGTATTGGACATAAATGGATGCATTTAAAGTCGTCATAGAAAAGATAATAAATATCCTGTGGTATGGCAGAGTTAAGGCAATGTGTGTGTAAGCAGGACTTTCAAGTACTTTCAGGACTTTCATCTGGAGTGCCGATGGTTGCCTACTCCTGTTGTAGATCAACCTCTTAAGCTCATCTTAGAGGATATGAAAGTTATATGTGCTCTAGCTGTGACGTGATGGTCCAGGGGACAGATATGGACATTTAATATCAAGCAGATGGGAAAGATGCAGAAAGGTAAAGAATTGACGGAGATAAAGGATGAAAGTAAAGAAGAGAAAATTGGTTCGGTTTTTTTGAAGGTTTTATTTTTGTTACTGTATTGAAATACGTCTTAATTATCTTTTTATTTCATTGTTTGTTTCCTACTTTCTTTTAAACCAAAGTCTTATTTTGAATGTGTTTTTACAGATGTGTTTTGTCTTGTTTTATTTTTACATTATGTAAACATATCACATGCTCGTGACTGGTTCATTGGCAGAAAGTGATAATTATTATTATTATTTAATGCTTATTAGATGCAGCTGTGCAGTGAGTAGGAAAAACGCACAGTTAAATGGTAGAAAATATCGGTGAATGGAAAATAAGAGATCACACAAGTCTTACTTAAATTAGCTAATAAGAGGAATTCTAGTACAATGACACAGAGGAGAAAGCCTAATGTATCATAGATAGAAGATCGTACATTTACAGCTAGTGTCCCTAATTTATATATGGTAAAATGGGTAACATATGCTTGGAGCAATTGGTGAAATGGCAAGATGTGTTAATTGAGACATAAGTAGGTTGCTGTACGTGGAAACAATTGACATGGTTAGTTTGGCTTATAATGAACTGGGTTTTTTGTTTTTTGTTTTAAAGGATTTAAAGTTTAAACTATGGAAAAGTTATTTGGTATAAGGTTGTCTCGCTGCAACATTGGGGGAGCCTTAAGGTACAACTCACTAGCATTGGTATTGCAAATGAAAAGGGCAGCTGGAGCCTCTTGGCAGAGGGGATATGTAGAACTTGCTAGTTAAGGATTATAATCATTTTGGGATATAGTTGTGTAGAAATTTGCAAGTGAGAAGAAAAGTAATATGTGGAATACTATAGTATACAGACTGGAATGATGTTCGGGAAGAGTATGTAAGAACATGTACCATCAGCTGTCTTCAAGACTTTCTCTGATAATCTTCACTACATTAGGGTCAGAATTGAATTCAAATAGTGTGCCGCATTAACAATGTAGTGTGAAATCACATTAACAAACTATCCATACACACAGATATGTACTGTATATCATTTTATGCAATTATTAAGCACAAAATACCAATAAATATTGTTATTTGTACAGGCATGATTTAAGGATACACAAATCTAAAGTGGGGTATATGAAATTAAATGCATACAATTAATAACCATTATACAAAACGTGAAGAATGATATGCTGGTGTTTAATGTAAGGGGGCTAAAATTACTTCTATAAAATATGTTTGCTCTTGCTTGGCAACGCCAAGCAAGATAATTCAGGGGTGTGATATTTAACTAGCGTAATTCTTCCATGTAAATGTAATTGACAGAAAATAGCACAATGGCACACATATGTAAACATTATGAGTCTTACCTGTTCTAACATTTGATCCTGCAAATTTAGATAATGACCGTGACCGAGAAATATAGAAGAAGAGAAGCAGAACAAACCAGAACTGATTCTTCTTGTCGGTTTTGCCAATTATAGTCAGAAAAAAAGAATAAATGAATAATAAACACCACTGTACGGTCACATCAGGGCTGCCCTACCATTGGATCCAGGTGGAACTTGGTAGAGGAAAATGCCGCCTAGCTAGAGCTAGTATAGCGCCTTTATGCAACTCCAAATCACCTGGTTGGCTCTTACATTTTTAACTTATTTTTAATTGTGGTTGTGGCTCTTAATTGTAATGTAAGGACCCAGTGGCAACTCTCTTTAATTCTATTAGTGTGTGAGGATATGACATTGTTATCTTGCAAGCTCTTTCTGTGGCCGATTGTAATGTAACACCGGAACTGTACTGACAGGAGTGCACAGTCAGCCGTGGGATATGGATTTGTAGAGTTCTCTTGAGCATGTGGATTTGCAGAAGAGGACGAGTTTGGAAGGGTTTGGGATTGTAGACTGGATTCAGAAGTTGGGAAGCAGGAGGAGGAGTTGAATGGAACTGTAGACGAGGAGAGGAAGATGGAGATTTATTGAGAGATAAAGGGCTGCTTGAGATTAGTCCATGTGGACTTAAATAGTGCCCAATTTTTAGAATTTCTGCAGAAAATGTCAGATGTGAGATAAGAATCATTAATGTAGGGTGATATTCATCAAATTACTATCTGGGTAAAAATAAAATTAAAAAAATATATGAATCCAATTATTAAATTCTAAGTACAACTATTAAAGTCAAGCTTAGTTCTAATCTAATCGGATAGGGATTGATGCAACCAAGCTAAACATTAAGGGTGCTCAGACTCCCCAATACAGCTCCAGGGGGTCAATCACGGTTCATCAGTTGAATCACAGCACTAAATGGTGTGCCTTGTCAAGTAATCTTCATTGAGATCCCAAAATATGCTTGACATTAGTTTCACTATGGCTTCACCAGTATCTCTGTAAAATGTCATCTCAAGGTGGACATTAATGAAGAAATAGAGATGTATCTGGCCTGGAAGCCCGTTGTAATATCAGCGTGAGATTTTAAAAACGAATTAAATTAAAAATAAAAATCAAGCCAGGAATTAAAAATCAAATAATTCTAATCTGATAACTCAGGATTCAAAATTTGTACTTTTATAAAATGTGACAGTGCTTTCTTACAACACATCTTATTATTATTTATCTGTTTTTATTATTATTTATGAACACATCTTATTATTCCCACATCTGCTATACAAATGTAGAATAAAATATTATTTGTTTTATATTGTATTATGATGCTATTCTACCAACATTTCTGAATACAACAATTTTCTAACTATATGCAGGATATTTTTTTTTTTTAAATGTTCAATGTTGGTGTTTAGAGATTATATGTTTGTTAACATCACCATAAGTAGGTTCTTTTACGCCACCCACCCTATCCCATCATCAAATGTTTAAAATCCGGTAAGAATTTCTTTAAAAAAAAAATTTTTTGTATACAGTCATTTCACATTCCAAAGATAATGTAATTCAAAATTCAAGTAAATATAGAAGCTTTAAAACATAACATTGGTGACAACAAAAATAGAATGGTACTTAAGAAAACGATAGGCACTTCAGAGAACAATCAAAGTGTCAAGGTGTCTCATTTGGGCACCCGAAATTAAAATCAACGCAAAGTTGGTTAATTTATAGGGTTCCTAAGTTATTTGTATTCATTACTTAAGACCAGTGTTGGGTAATTCACAGCGTCCTTCTCTCACAATGAGCATTAGAGTACTGTTAGGTAATTCATAGAGATCAATTTATTTCAACAAAATAATGATTATTTACAGCCACTCAAGTTTGTAACACCAAAAATACCAGCAAATTAAATTGAGACTTTAACAATTTCTATTTCTATTTAGTCAGACATACTGTATGTGTTAAAATATTATTTGTGCTTTCACTCTAATTGAATGAAACTTTGTTAGACCTCAGTTATTTTGTCCTTAATTTGGCAATTACATTGTCTATTCTCCATAATTCACAGGTGAGCGAATGATGCAAATGTTTCCTTATTAATCATTCCAGCATTTTTTATTAAGTGTTAGAATAAGAGTTATGGCTATTTAATTATGCCTCTAGTGATGTGCCGAATGGTTCGCCACGGACGGCGAACATATGCGCTGTTCGGTCCGCCCCCTATTCATCATCATTGAGTAAACTTTGACCCTGTACCTCACAGTCAGCAGACACATTCCAGCCAATCAGCAGCAGACCCTCCCTCCCAGACCCTCCCACCTCTTGGACAGCTCACTAAGAATGCAGCTTCAAAATGGATGCTGTCCAGGAGGTGGGAGGGTCTGGGAGGGAGGGTCTGCTGCTGATTGGCTGGAATGTGTCTGCTGACTGCGAGGTACAGGGTCAAAGTTTACTCAATGATGACATAGGGGGCGGACCGAACAGCACATATGTTCACGTCCGTGGCGAACCGTTCGGCGAACCGTTCGGGACATCACTATATGCCTCCACTCCCTTCTAACAGTTTTTTTTTTTTTTAAATGCTACGTTGAATGACCTGATCTATTTAACGGGTTCTCATTTATGCTATATTAGTTTGATACTGCTAAGTGCATGCCCTGTGTGTGCCTTGTTAAACAGCACCCAGCTTCAGTATGGTTTCAAAAACACTTTCCAATGGATTGTCAGTTCTTGTGGTCTTGGACACTAATTGGCTGTATACACAATAATATTTAATGTATGAAATCAGATTTATTTATTGCAACAGAAGAAATGTGACCTGCTGGTCTGTGAAACTGTTATTTTCTACTGTTTCATTTTTATATAAACTTGTGTGAAGCTATGGAATATTGTTTATTAAACATAAAATGCTGTAATAATATGTCTGTGTTGTTCTGTTATAAACTGGGACTAGCAAACCTGTACATAGCTAGTTTTTGCTGAACTACTACTCCACCGAATTTTCTTGCCGAGGATTCTAAGAGTTGTATGTCAGAATCAAATGGTAAACATCTTAAGCGAAGATTTCGAGAAGAAATGTGAGCAATGATTTTTTGATGCAGTGGAAAATATGAAGCAAATTTATTATACTCGACATTAGGAAGGAATGTTGGCATTACTTGATGTTCTTATTTTCATATTGTACAAGAATCAAAGTAATGCATTATCTTAGATGAGGGCACTCAATCATTTAAGTGCGCACTGTGGTTCTTATTTAGTATTTCTTATCATTTGTTTTCCTTCTTAGATATTTCCAACCTTGGCCTCTTAAGCAGTTTTATTTCTTGCCGACATTATGTCCTATACAAAGAGCATTCTGTTGTGGTGTAAAATAACCATTTCCACCCTCCGTTACCCCCTTGGTTAGCTGTCAAACTAGACCTTCCTGGCGAATCGTTAAATCCTTTTATCTCACATTTGTTAACCATCTTTAGCACACTTTTCTTTAAGCTTCCATATCCACCAGTAAATATGCTAGGTGGTCTGACACAAATATATGAATGATGAGATAAGGCTTTATCGCTATGCGTGTAATACCAAGTCTTTATTTACTTAAAAAATTGGTACCATGTTCATATCTTGTAACTCGTCACTGTATGTATCTATTTCTTTTTCAACTGTGATGTACTTACTCACCTGCAAAAATAAAAATTGACAACAAAAAAATTATACATTATACAGGGATAAGCAAAGTGAAATAAGTTTGTGTGGCCATTAGAGTCATGAATACAGAGCCAGGAGTAGATTGAGGTCCATATGGGATGTAGGCCCAATTGGATATGATGCAAAGTCTATAACAAATACATATCAATGCAGGCCTAAAATTTACTTGCCACCTCAACCCCCTCATGATGGCATTTTGTTTTTAATACATGACATGGAGTGTTTCTTGCAGAACTCTGACCTTTCCTAACATGGAGGCTGTAACGGATTACCTGGCACCCCGACTGGGTACCTCCATTAATGGATGCTTCGTAGCTGACGCCGAGGCCTATAAGCACCGCACCGGACACCGCAGACTCCACAACCGCCGTAGCTTAACTGGAATCTCCCCGTCTTCCTTCCACCCTGGATCAACCTCTGACATCCAGGACCGTGTTCCCCCTCCAATCACGAGACAAGACTACGTGTTGAGGGTCAAACAAGAACAGAAGGTTTAATGGCACAGATTTGATTTTTATACAGTTTTTTTCAGGCCAGAGGCACACCCACTGGACCTGATGGAGGACAGGGACACAAGGGACGTAAACCAATTAAAACCGTAATTAACAGTACGAAACTCCCACATACAGTAAACAATCCCTTCCCTCTGTCTGTGATATAATTAAGGTAGTTAAAGGACCACTATAGTGCCAGGAAACCATACTCGTTTTCCTGGCACTATAGTGCCCTGAGGGTGCCCCCACCCTCAGGGTCCCACTCCCGTGGTGCTGAGGGGGGGAGGAAGGGGTTAAACTTCCCTCTTTCTCCAGTGCCGGGCGGGGAGCTCTCCGCCTACTCTCCTCCTCTTCAGCTGAATGCGCATGCGTGGCAGGAACTACGCGCGCATTCAGCCAGTCCATAGGAAAGCATTCTCAATGCTTTCCTATGGACGTTGGCGTCTTCTCATTGTGATTTTCACAGTGAGAAGCACGCAAGTGCCTCTAGCGGCTGTCAAGAGACAGCCACTGGAGGCTGGATTAAGCCTAACATAAACATAGCAGTTTCTCTGAAACTGCTATGTTTATAGAAAAAAGGGTTAACCCTAGCTGGACCTGGCCCCCAGACCACTTAATTAAGCTGAAGTGGTCTGGGTGCCTATAGTGGTCCTTTAATGCATTAACTTAATTATCCACAGGCAGAAAAAACACAGGCAGAAATGCAGCCTGATTTGACGTCATTTATCCCAGCAGCCTTAGCTCTGTGCACTGCAAGGAGCCCATGGCTGCTTTCGCTGCTCGCTCCTCCTACAGTTAGCAGCATTTGAAAAGCCAACCGCAAGCACCTGCCAGTCGCATGTAACAAAGACCCAGAGAAAATGTCTCTGTATCCCAGTAGGCTCAGAATGACCAACGGAAGAAAGAAGCTCTGGGCACCTCCTTTCTGCCAGTCACCTGAATTTTGCGCCCCCTGGCGGCTGCGTCCTAAGGCAACAGCCTGGTCTGCCGGCACTGGCTGCAGAATATATTGGCACTTTATAAATAATTGTAGTGGCAATGCACGGTTAATTGGAAAATAAATTAATAGCTAATATTTAAAGAGGCAATCCGGTCACCATAACAATGTCATCTGAATTAAGTTGTTATGGTGCCAGGAGGCCCAATGGGCGCACTCTTGAATGGTTTAACCGCCAAAGGTTGCCTCCAGTGCCGAATCATAGTCACAGTAATTGCGGAGTGCTGCCGGGCAGGGGCACCGCTGATTGGTTGAGAGTGGCCAGCTGACGCTCTAAGCCAATCAGAAGCTCCCCACTGTTAAAAAAAGGTACGCTTCTTTTTCATCAATGGAGAGGTACTGATTGGCTTAGAGTGGCAGCTGATAGCTCTCAGGCAGTCAGCAGCGCCCCTGCCCAGCAGTACTCCGCGCTTCCTGTGACTCAGATTAAGAAGCTGGATGTTGCCTGGGGGACCTGGAGATCGGCGCTGCAGGCACTTTTTGGGATTAAAACCTTCAAGGTAAGAGTGCCACCCAGGAGCATCGTGACACCATAACAACTTAAAGGGACTCTCCAGTGCCAGGAAAACAAACAGGGTCCGCCCACGCTCCTCCCCGGCCGACGTCATCCGGCGGGGGAGACCTATTAAGCATGCGCGGCCGGCTGTGGGGGAGACCTAATGCACACGCGCATTTGACCTCCCCATAGAAAAGCATTGAATAATGCTTTCCTATGGGGATTTCAGCAACGCTGGAGGTCCTCACATAGCGTGAGGACGTCCAGCGACGTTATAACACACTTTTCGTGTTCTATGAACACGGAAGTGTCCTCTACAGGCTGTCTAGTAGACAGCCACTAGAGGAGGACTTAACTCTTCAAGGTAAATTTTGCAGTTTATGAAAACTGCAATAATTACAGTTGCAGGGTTAAGGGTAGTGGTCTGGGTGCCTGGCGTGTCCCTTTAATTCAGATTAAGTGCGTGACGGGAATGTCCCTTTAACTATGTCAATTAGTGATCTAATAGCGATCCTTCTTCTATATTGACGCTGTCTGTGCGCTACGGAATTTGCTGGCGCTATATAAATAATAAAATAATAATAATTATGAAGTTTCCACGTTGCATTTACAAACATTGTATAGACAGGATCAGCAGTGACTGAAATTTATAAAGCTTGATCCTGCCATAGCATGAACATGAAAACACTCTAAAATAAGTTATTATATAAAAATCGTATAACTAGTTTTGAGAATACTGTCACTTTAAATAGAGTATCGCATGGCAGGCGTACGTCCGTTAACGTGTGTCTCCAACTGTCAATCCAGACTTCAACAGCGGTAGCCTTTTGCATGGAGCCCCAAAAATCATTGGAGTCAAGGCAATTATCCTCACCAAAATGTCTCCTGCACTGGAGACATCACACGTTGACGCTACGTACACAACATCGGGGGATTGGCCTCTAGCACACGCACCAAGTTCATTGGCTGGAGTAGTTGTCATGGAAACCTACGCAGCGTTTACCGACCGTGGTTGCCCGAGGGACGCGCATGCGCAGGAAGAACTGCGACGGCTGAGCGATGAAGGTAAAGCGGGCGCGGGTTCGGGGTTCACTGTGGGCGGTGGGTTCTGACGCCCCTCATGCTTACTAACTGGTACAGCGCCGTACTGCTAGTGCTGCTCAAACAGGGAGAATGGCCCCTAAATTATACTTTCTCCCCATTTCCTAATCCGGACTGCATATTCCTGATTGAGAAACTTAATATTTTAATGTGGTTTATTATTGGTTATTATTGGTTATGTTGGTCGTTTTGCCGCATAATATGATAATTAGTGAATGTTACTGCTCCCCTTCTCATGGATTGCAGGCACAGGTAATGCTCAGTGATTGCTTAGCATCAGATAAGATGGAGTCCAACTGGAGTGCCAAAAGTTACCCACCTATTTCTGTGCCTCAGTAATATATGTTCAGCACAGATAAGACATTACTTTAGATATTTTTGGTCTGATGTGTTTGTTTGAAATTCTTCAAACGTACAAAGTCGCATTCGTCCACCCACTGTAAAGCGCTGCGGAATTTGTTGGCGCTGTATAAATAACAACATAATCAGGGGGTGGGTGTTTGTGGTTATTATTATTTTGTCAATATGTTTCTCATACCTCCCAAGTGTCCCTATTTTGGTCCCAAATCGCTCTGTCCTTCTTTTCTATCCAAATGCTCCACAGTGATGTCTATTTAAATCGTCTCACTGTCACTGTCTCACAAGTTCTGACTGTACAGAAAATATTTAGTGATACATAAAGAATGGAGATCCTGGCCCATGGCTCTAAAAATCCATGTGGGTATGTGGGTTACTTTTATAAAAAAAAGTGACCAGCAAGATGGTGTTTGCACTTGCAATGTAAGGAAGATAAATGAAGAGTGAGACTAAAGGTAAAATGCAAACAGAGTTACACAACCACATAGATTGATTACACACAGTATGATCTTATAGCAGTGTTAGCTAAGATTCCAGGCACACTGCAAATTGGTTCTTACGATGCTCACTTGTTATTGTGTCAAATAAGCTGCATTAAACGAGGAGTCTTCCTTCCTACACACCGAAGAATGAAGTGGTTTTAATAGGACAATTTAGGGTTAGGGGAACTACAGCAGTCCTGTAGGTGTCAGAAGTTACAATCTGGAGAATATCCAAGACCTGCGGCAAGAGATACAAGGGCTCACAGACCAAGTCCACCAAATCCAAGGGTCACCAACCTACCTGACTGAACCGTGGGCAGGACCTCCGGCACCACTGGGATTGTACGCACCCGCACTAAGTCTTGGGCCACAAATTGTAAACACAGCACCGTACACTCGCAGTGGCATGGACCTGTGGATATCAAGCTGCCTTACCTTTAAATTTCTTCAGGAGACAACCCAACTAGGAAAGGGCATTCTCCCATACAGTACACCAAACTCACGGCATAACAGGTGAGGAACACCCGAAGGACGTAATTACACCAGGCAACCTACCGCTCAAAGTAGGCAATTCCCTACATACTAACCCCCTGTAACGTTACACTCTTGACAGAATCCTTACTGCTCATGCCTCCCAGCCTCACCGAACGACAAGTAGAATACACGAAATCAGTACAGAGATATGCACCCCACTACACAATCATACAAGAGATTAGTTGGGTCCTAAACACACATGTCCTTCTAACCACGAACATATCACAAAAAACGTGCAAGATGAGCAGATACCACACAATATAACTCTACTACCCGTAAATGTCTTAGAGATATGTGTATCACTGTGTCAATCGATACCCCAGTGTGGCTGTTGTGGCCACATATGTTGTACTCTGTTTTACCGTGCACAAAAATAAAGAATTCAAAATAAATAAATAAATAAAAGAAGTTACAATCTGTAGTTCTTTGTTACTCCACTTAAACATAAATCTGAGATTTCTAAGCTTGTTAATAATTTTTTTTTTTAATGGTTATTTGTAATTTAATTAGTAATAGTGCTTTTGATAACCGTCATTTCTTTCTGTGTTTTTACAGCGAGTATTTTCTTTGACAGAAAAGAGTTTGCTTGGATTTCCTATCCAGTATGTCTGGCAGAAAGCTTTAGGAAATTACATTGCAGTTACAGGGTATGTAAAATCGAAGAAACCTGCTTTGATAATCTTGCTGAATATTAGATAGAGTGAATTTAGTAACTGTTACTCCTTTCCATGAAATGCATTCTAATCCCGCTTTTATAGCTTTGGTAAATCAAAAATAATTTTATTTGATTTTTTTTGTTTCAGTTTAGTGTTTATTACTTTTTATGTAAATTACTAATAGTATGGTACATTCTGTCTTTAATACCTGTAGTCTGTAATAAAATTATAAATATCTCATTAAACTACAAATGTCTATTTATGGCACAAGCTGATTTTATTTGGATTTCATACATTCATTTATTGATATTACATGATACTATTGATATTGATCAGAAGTCCATAATTGTGCAGTTAGTTAAAAAATCTTTTTCTTTTTTTTTTTTTTTTAAATTCTTTATTTTTCATGTGCTCAGATTAACAACAAGCACGCAGAGCCACGACAGTGTCTGCACGCATTTTCATAACATTTTGCAGTGTAGACAGCACTTTTTTATATATATATATATATATATATATATATATATATATATATATATATAAACAAACATTAGGAATACAGGCAGTTAAACATAAAGGTAGTGTAGTTTAGTTTAGCATGTTAGACTGGACGTTCATTTGACATGGCTAGTAGCGCTGCGGTTTGTAAATCTAAGGCATTGCATTTATAAGAAGGCATTTCAAGTGCGAGAAAATGACATTCTAAACCGATTAACATTTCTTAGGTTAGGTCCTTGAATGTCTGATTAAGGTACACGCTTTAAAAGATAGAGTACACAGGCTGGTTGCCAGTAAGGCTAGTTAGACAAGCCAATCTAAAGCAGCGATTATGACATTACTTGCTGAACATAGACATGCCAGGTCAAGTAAATAAAACATTGTTAGCAATCAAGAGTGTCATCTATACTGTAGCTGATTTACATCATTTAAACAGTTCACAAATTTTAATGCATATAAATTGGTCAGATAGTAATAGTGGAGGTATTCACAGTCACGGTGAATTTCATAGGGAATTTCAAATTTTTTTTTAGGTCAAAGTAGCCAAATTGGAAACATTCTCTGTCGTTTCTTTATTTTTTTTTATTTTTTTCTTTCTGTTTTGACCTAAAATTTGAAGTTCAGTGAAAATTTACATTTGGATTCCTGACAAAATAAAAAATTAAATAACTCTAAATATATCACGCACTATTTATTTATTTTACAACTAGGACCGATATCTTCTAGTCTTATTTAAGAACAATAAAAACTGCAAAATTAACTAAGAAAATATGAATTAAGTTGCATTTTCTATTTACAGAGCATCTCATACTGTTAAAATCTATGATCGTCATGGACAGAGGAAAGATGAAATTCAATTATCCGGGTAAGCACTGTGACCATATCTTTCTATATTGCTCTAAAATACCACTTTTTATTTAGCAATAATTTTTCGTACTGTACTTTGAAATAATATAAACAGCCAGTAATAACGGATTTATAAAATATTTAGTAAATACGGTTTTATTTTTCTTTTGTTTATTTTTTTTAGTGCCTGTTATGCCATGGACTGGGACAAAGATGGAAATGCTCTGGCAATCATCGCTGACAAATCAAGTTCAATCTACTTGTGGGATCCCAATACAATGAAAACCAGCATGCTAGATAGTGGTATGAGGTAAGGCTCCAATTTATATTAAGATGGATAGCCTTGGCACTATATTTGCTTGTATGTTACATAGGCTGAAAAAAAATTCAGCCCTTTCTTACATCTATTTTTGCTGTTGATCCAAAAGAAGGCAAAAAAAACCCCCCCAGGTTGAAGCGTGTTCCAAATTTTGTAAAAAACTAAGAAAAAAATCCTTCTTGACCTCAGAATGGCATTCAGATCTCTCCTCGGATAAAGCAACTGTTACCCCACATATTAAAAGTTATATCTCTGAATATTATGTTTTTGCAAGAATTCATCTAGTTAAACATTTGTGCAGACTGATAAAACCCTTTCCTTTGCCTTACACTAAATCTAATTTCTTATAGTCTAAATGGGTGAACTTGTGTCCTATGTATAGTCCTGTTTTTGAATAGATTTCCAGACAATGGTTTGTATTGGCCCTGAATATATTTATGTAATGCTATCATATCCCCTCTGATGTGCTGTTTTATATTTTAAAATGAGACAGATTTAAATTTGTTAGCCTTTTTTTCATAACTAAAATCTTCCATTCCGTTATTCATTTTTTAGCCCACCTGCACCTTTTTTCTCGTTCCATTATATCCTTTTGATTGACATTGCACATTGTTGTCTATAACAATTCCTAAATCCATCTAATGTGCTTTTATCCCTAATTCACTAGCTTTTAGGGTGTAAATTGCTTGTTCATTCATCACCCCAAAGTGCATTATTTTGGATTAATCCACATTAAATCCCGTCTGCCATTTGAGTGCCAAATCCTCTAATCTATCTAGATCCCTTTGCAGATAAGTAATATCCTGCTCACATTGCATTACCCTACCTAGTTATTTAAGTCATGGTTATTTTACTATGAAAAAGTGAGGAAGAACACGAATGAACTGAAATATACATGGATTTCTTTGTTCTTTCCATAGAGGATTTGTGTAGGATCACACAGTCTTGCAAACCTCCTTGGTTTTCTCTCATTATTTTCACCTTGTTTATTTCTTCCTTATTTTGTTTTAATGACAGTATTCTGAAAGTTTGAGAAGTGTTTCCACCTCTCACGTGTCACTGTGTAGTCAGTAGTAGGTGTTTAATGTGGGCCTCTTCTTGGTTACCTGTTGCTCTTCATTTTAGGGATCAGATGTCTTTCTTGCTGTGGTCAAAGGCTGGGGCATTACTAGCTGTTGGAACATCCAAAGGGAGTTTGCTTGTTTATAATCTCCAGACGTCACGTAAAATTCCTGTGCTTGGTAAGTAACTGGAAACATTTTAGGAATACGTTTATGACCAACATATTATTGATTGTTAAAGATCACCCTAATATCATTTTGCAGGTGGAGATTTTGTAGAAGTTTCTGTGTCTTAATTGGTAATGAGTCGCAGTAAATCACGTCTGTGTATAGTGGGTCGGCAATAGGTCCCTGGGGCTTTCACAACTAAAGGAATGTGGTACAGTTGTGGCTCTACCCTTTTCCTCATCCAGTGTATACAAGGTAAAAATAGGTACAAATGTATCTTGGGTCCCCAGGCTCCTGTATTACGAGGGGAAGAAGACCTTGAAAACCCACTATTCCTTTACCCTATGAATGGCATTAGTGTGACGGTAAACACTGAGGTCTTTGCACATGAAGACGGTGTGCCAAGCCCCTAGTTTTAATACTGCCAATGTACAGGTACAGGTATAACAACAGGTAGGTATCCAATCTTCAGGGGTAACACATGGGACAAAAAGTTGAATTAGGTGTGACACGACTGTGCAAATACTGAAGTTTCAATTTCCCAAATTGCGTCTGTATTTTTGCATTTACAGCTTTTTATTTAACGATGCTTCATGTTTTAAAGAGTTATTTTATTTATATTTTTTATGGAGGTGTCTATTTTATTGGGCGGAAAATGGGAGTTTGAGAGCATCAGTGGCAAGATCTGTGAAACACTCACTCAAAGCCCACTTATCGTTAGGAACATTGGGGAGAAGAGGTAGCTAAATAAATGTGTGAATTTTTTATTGAGTTTATCTAATGTCAAGAAACATTTTCTTGTAGGTAAACACACGAGACGTATAACATGTGGCTGCTGGAGCTCTCAGAACTTGCTAGCCCTGGGCAGCGAAGACAAAATGATCACTGTCAGCAATCAGGAAGGAGACACCATAAGACAGGTCTGTCAGTGGGATGTAAAAAGCAAATAGAATTTCTTATCGCATTGTACAACATTGGGTTTTAAATGACAATTTTACTTTTACTATGTGTTCTTAAAGAGCAACAGCTATTCTTTGTGTTGTATATTTTTCATGTGTATTAAGATTTCATAGTCATTATCAGCAACTGATCAAGTCGTTCATGTGATTGGTTTAACAAGCATTTTGCAGGTTTATTTTCATAGGTGCCTTGATGACAGTCTATAGAAATCAAACACAAAAAATAGTTGTTAGCAGGAACCAGAATTAGATCTGACCAAGTGGCTGTAGGTATTTGTCCAGCCCTGGCTGTATACTGTATGTTAAATGCTTGTAAAATGCGTCAAAATATCAGCTTAGCGCAGTAAATCCTCGTTGAGTTATAACTGAATTGAAATCCTCTGTCTATCATTGCCTGCCTGTAGTGAAGAATTTGTTGAACTGACATTACCAAAGAAATCAAAGTGCAGGTAACACCACTGAAAGTAGAAAGGCTTTTGTCAACTGGCTAAATGGAGCTTTCCTGGACTGTAGAAGGAGTATCCCATATCTACAACATAACTTCAAGGGACTCTCTAAGCATCAAAATTAGCAATATCTTAGAAGTGGCATTTTTTACATTTTGAATTACTAATGCCTCTAGTGGCTAACATTCAGGTAGCTAGTAGGGGCTTTAGGTATAATATAAATTCAATAATATAATCTTTTACATTCAGCGTCAGCATCTAAAATATGCTGATTCAGGAGGCTAAGTGTATGCCAAGTACTTCTCATAGAGAAGCATTGGATATTGTGGTAATTGCTGCACATGTCCTATGTCCCCACCGCTCCCTATGAGAAGCATTTGCTTGCACAATGGTCCTCTCTCTTTGAAACATCAGTGAGGAGCTGTCGTGAGATGTTTGTCTTGGTGATGGATTACTGGTAAGTTTAAGAGTGATATATTTATTTATTTTTTTAATTAAATTTATATACTAAGACAATATGTATATCTATTTAACAAGCACACATTTGATATTGGGATAATTTATATACTTTAAACCTGTACATTAACATACTCTGTACAACCTAAACATACTGTTCATCAGTGCTGAAATAACATTAAGAAAATGATTTCTCTTTCTTTTTGCAGACGGCTGTAAGACTGGAACCTAGTGATATACAGTTTTCTGTGATGAAGACTGATGAACGAGCATCACCAGGAGAGAGTACAGTAAGACTGGAGCAAACCTTATTCACGTGGGTTATTGTGGGTGGAAACTGTTTACTGTCCTGGTAAAAGTACAGGGCCTCTCAGTGTGGCTTTTAGTGTCCAGGCAAGCCAGTAGTGAATTGAAAATCACGTTTATTTAGGCTGCAATAGCTGAGCTGTAACTACAACAGAGTTGGGAATTGTTTTGGTATCAGCTATTTCAGCATAATATTGCAGTTCAGTTTTCAATTCACTGTCTAGTAAATACACTTCAGTTAGAATTACTTCTATCCAAGCATTTTTGCCGCCCCATTTGCTCCACCCAATCATGCAGACTAACATACGCACTGACTCAAGTAGACAAACACTGACCGCGGCACAAATTATCATAAACCCAGGGCCGGCGCCCCCCTCCTTAACCAGCGCCCTAGGCGGCTGCCTAATTTGCCTATAGGGTGCCCTGCTAATGTTGGAGCTTCTGCTTTACCCTTTGTGCTTTTTGTCACGAAAGCTACACCAATAATTACTTACCCATTCAAAGCTCGTCTCTCGTTCTTCTTCCTTCTTTCATCAAATGGGTGTAATCATTTAGTCGTTAACTGGACTGGAATGGAACAAATAATGGTTTTAAAATCTGACCATCCCATTAGAAGAGGGGCAAGGCCAGAGTGAGGGATAATGTGTCACCACCACAAGTCAGGCCCTGAGTTTGGTGACCCTGCAGAACCCTTGCATAATGGAGATTCCCTGTGCTTGTTTTAATGAGACGCGTTGCTGGTGAACTATCTCTGGTGTCACCATTGGAGGGGGGAGGGAGGGGAGAGGGTGCTGATTGTGGGGATGCAACTTGTAGGGGGTGTGGCTGTGGATGGAGCTTTTTGCAATTTACTATGTGTCTAAAGAATGGCTCTTTGTGGTTTAGTGTGTATGTGTATGGAGAGGGTATCATGTAAAGGGTAAATTATTAAAAAAAATATTTATTAATTATGAAATAAAAGTAATATTTAATGCCCATCTTTTTTGCTTATCTTAGGCCAGAGAGGGAGAATAGTTATCCCTGGGGATATGGTGGGCATGTCATATGGTCTGCAACTCTAGCACTAATGTAGCCAACAATCTCCCTGAGCCTCCACAAGTGAGAAGGGCTGGCTAGTGAGTGATGTTTGATCTCCTAACCAGCCCTGGAGTTCACAGCTTCCTTTTTTTTTTTTCTCTCTCTCTTAAAGGACCACTCTAGGCATCCAGACCACTTCAGCTTAATGAAGTGGTCTGGGTGCCAGGTCCAGATAGGGTTAACCCATTTTTTTATAAACATAGTTTCAGAGAAACTGCTATGTTTACACTGAGGGTTAATCCATCCTCTAAAGCCTCTAGTGGCTGTCTCATTGACAGCCGCTAGAGGTGTTTGCGTGCTGACGCCAGCGTCCATAGCAAAGCATTATGAATGCTTTCCTATGAGACTGGCTGAATGCGCGTGCAGCTCCTGCCGCGCATGCGCATTCAGCCGAAGAGGAGGAGAGGAGGAGGAGAGCTCCCCACCCAGCGCTGGAGAAAGGTAAGATTTTAACCCTTTCCTCTCCCCAGAGCCGGACGGGAGGGGGTCCCTGAGGGTGGGGGCACCCTTAGGGCACTAGTGCCAGGAAAACGAGTGTTTTCCTGGCACTATAGTGGTCCTTTAAGCCAATGCTTGATTAGTTTCGGCTGGTTGAGAAGATTCTTTTTTTTTTTTACTGCGTCCCACCACGCATTTGCCTGGTTTAACCAGTGAAAGTCCGGGCCTGGTCATAACTAATCATAGAATCTGGTAATGATGTCGCCAGTTATGTATTTTACTGATAGTGGTCCATTTCCTTTTCGTTCACACTGTCAAGTATTTGGAGATTGCAACATTCTCCCCCATCCACGCCCAAAGAAAAAGAAAAAACAGTACTTACCTTGGAGCTTTATTACAATTATTCATGAATAAACTATACAACAAATACTTTTGTTTCAGATAAGTGTTGTAGTGGGAAAGAAAACCTTGTTTCTGTTCAATTTGAATGATCCGGACAACCCCATAGAACTGGCCTTCCAGCAGCGCTATGGATCCATTGTTACCCACAGATGGTAAGCCAGCTGGGATTTCTAATACTGTGCATTTCCTATTGATATCATTAGCAATATAAATTTTCTCTTTTGTCCTTATAAATGATTCAGATTCTATTGAATAGTTGTCATGTATTTATTTAGTCTTGTTTAAAAACTTCTTTAATAAATACATGACAACTATATATAATAATAGTATTTCTCTTATTTCATAATTTTACTCCCCAGGCTTTCCTATCAGTCAGTTATATAGTGCAAGCTAATACACTCCTGTATATTTAATTCATTTAATTTTTTCTTTTTTTTTTTTGGACAGGTATGGTGACGGTTACATCATGATTGGTTTCTCCCTTGGATTTTTTGTTGTGATTTCCACCCACATGCGTGAAATTGGTCAGGAGCTATTCCAGGCTCACAACCATAACGATAACCTAACAAGCATTGCCATATCACAGTCCCTAAACAAGGCCGCATCATGTGGGGACAACTGGTAAGTGCACTGCGTAAATTGTATCTCCTCAGTGCATCTTGTGTGTGTGAAGATAGGAATAAGGCTCACTTATCAAACACCTGTGACAAAGTTAATATTAAACATACTAACTGAATGATCTTTATAATAATATGACTATATATCCATGAAAGGGTGTTCGTAGCTTTGACTAACTAAATGACTTATACATATCACCCAACTTAATAGTACTCATTTTATCGACATTGGAAGGATCAGATTTTATTCCAGGGAATCAAGTGTTTGTTTTTTTACAAATAATTTAACCATGTAATAGCCAGATATTATTTTAGAAAACAACCTTAACACGTATTACTGAATGCAACAAGGATCTGTAATGTGTAATGAATGCTGCTCACTGAGATATTAATGCTTGGATAGGTTCATAGGTCTTACTGTTCTCTATATTTATCAAGCATTCAATTCAGTTGAACTAGTGTCCAATATATGTAGTTAGCATGCATCGCATCAGTAGTAATTGTGTTCTGTTCTAGTATCAAAATCCATGACTTGGCTGAACTTAAAGACATGTACGCCATCATAAACCTGGACGATGAAACGAAAGGTAAAAACCCACGTGTTCTGTATCTGTACGTTGGCTTTCTGCCATATTGGAAATGTATTTCAATTGTGCATCACAGCGTGTTTAATAGGATGTGTGTGAGAATCTGTTGAGATCAGCAATACTAATCTTTTCTGGATAGAGAAGTATCATGGGGAAATATAGTTTGCCAACATCTTCAGGGCAATGGAAAGATATCACTGCAAAATATAGTAAATTAAAAGCAGCAGAGCATTTCCTGTATTTTAGTCCCAAAAGGAAAGACTAGCAATCCACAACTCACTCGAGAGTACCAACTGAAGAGGGATTCATCTTCATATAAATGATTTCCGTGGTGTCATCACTTGCGACCTTTGGCCACCTATTACTCTTTGCATTAAAGATATATAATGATACAAATGAACTAAAACTGATGTGAGACATCCGGTTCCTTTAGGAAAAGATATTACGTTTGTGTCGCTTTTTAGCGAGTAGTTTTCTCTGTCCTCCGTGGTCTCAGCCATAATGCACTCATGATGTCTTAGTAGAGGCTGAGAATTAGTCTGTATCCATCATGCAGAGGGCATTTACTAATTCCTGCCCGTGGATCCGGTCTTGTGTTCTGGTTCTATAAATTCCCACCATGACTGAAAATATAGAGCAAATTGAAAAGCCCTTGTCCTATCTCAGCAAGTCCTGTTAAATATCTTTGTCTTTATATTTGATGCCTGTTTTTATAATCAAAAACCTCCATTAAATAGATAAGTCCTGTTTCCCAGTATTGTTTAATATCATTCATTTTAATGTAGCCACTATTATTTGCACATTATATTTCTTTTCTATAGTAAACTAGAGCATATAATAGAATGACCAGACAGGTTTAATGTAGAATGGAAACATATTTTCCGAGTGATTATTATGAGAAACAAGATGGCCGTCTGCAAACATTGCATTTTACATATGTTCCTATCTTCCATTTAATATCTATTGGTTTACCAGACCTAGCAAAACAGTGAAAACATTTCTCTCACTCTCAGAAGTAGCCTATACAAAATTTTTAACATAAGGCTCCAAGAACAACCGTTATCATACTAATTTCACTAAACCGTATCTAGGCCATTTTGTAATTTGTTGTAATTAAAAACCTGATTTGTGTTTTTGTTTTTGTAATATTAGGTTTAGACAGACTTTCCTGGACAGATGATGGCCAATTATTGGCTGTGTCAACACAGCGAGGCTCACTCAGCGTCTTCTTAACCAGGCTTCCAGTACTCGGGGATACCTGTGGCACTAAAATTGCATATCTCACCTCTCTCCTTGATGTCACTGTGGTTAACCATGTGGAAGGAGTAAGGCTCTGTCCATGTTACTGGCAATGTTTGGTGTTTTCATAAACCACATAATCTGTCGACAGACTTTAAAAAACATACACTAGAGAATGTGTGTTTTGTTATTTGATGCCTGAATTATGGATAACTGTCCAAGAAATCACTGTGCTGTAGATTCAATGTTTTTGGTTATTTTGGCCTAAGATTTCCAATTCATTTTTTTTAAAGCTTCCACAGTTCCCAGTTTACTGAATAAATCCTAATCGGAGTAATTCACTAAACCGCAGATTGTCAAAAGGTGATAAGGAAATGTCACATTTCAAAATAACTGGACTGGAAGGATGCTACTAATCATTTGTAAATACATATAGGCTATTTTGCTCTGCCATTTGAAAATGCTTGCTGAGTTCCTGAAAATTCATGGGTTTATGAATAACTATGTATGGTTCATTCACTAAACACTGAATTAAGGAAAACTAAAGCCTGAATCTCAAAATCAGCTCTATTTGCTTATAGGGAAACTATGGGCACTGTAACTGCTTTATCTTATAGAAGTGGTTATAGTGACTAAAGTTCCCTGGTGCAGTCCATCCATTCAGAATTACACCATTTTTAGTGAGTTAATACTAAATGAGAGTACACAGCTCTGTGCTGCTCGGGCTAATGAGAAAGTACTGGTCTGAGCAGCAGTTGGTGGCCGTGATTGGCTGAGAGCATCAGCTGACAGCTTTCACCCTTTCACAGCTCCTATTGCTGGTATGAATTGGTATGGCTAGATTAGAGTGTGATCCCTGCCTTAGCTCTACCTCCAGTGTGAGACTGGGTGACTGGGGACTCTTTATTTAATGGTAAACTGGAGGGCTAGTACCATTCAGATTAAATGGTTATAGTGATTACAATGTTCCTACAAAATTTACATTTCAGTTTAGTGGTTAGTGAATATGGCCCCAGAGTTATATTGGGGTTAAACCTTAAATCCCTCCTTTTTGATAGGCAGTGAGTTCAGTTCAGAGCTAGCACAAAACGTGTAAGGACTTATTATTTACTGGTGACATGAGGATTTTTTGTGTGTGTGTTGCCGTGGCAGTGTTGTAGTCCTCAGCAGCCATGTAAGTCAAATTTATAAACTAGTGTCCCCGAATTCACCACATTTATACAGGCTCATCTCTAATCCAAAGAAGGCTTACCTTCACACCCTAGATATTCTGCTCCACAAACCTTAGTAACCTTAAAACCTTTATCCTGGCAGAGCATCATGGGAGATGTAGTTCACAAACATTTGGATTTTCAATAAACCTGCTCCAATTTTATTTTCTTCAGACTGCCCTAGCATAGAATAGTTGGTTTTGTCTGGAATGTGCTGCAGTAACCAGAGAACAGCGAGCAAATCGTTGCTCTTTTTTTGTCCTATCTACAGCCATGAACAAGGATAAAACCCACTGTCCTTTATTTACTGCAGGCATTATAGAAAGGGATGTATGGATTTACCCACTATTCAGAATCACTCTAATATTACAATGTTTCTAGATTGATATCAATGGGTTTTTCTTTTAGGAAGTGCCAATCACGGTGTCTGTGGAGGTGGAGCCCAATTTCCTTGCTGTTGGTCCATATCATTTAGCTGTAGGCATGAATAACCGCGCTTGGTTCTATGGTCTCTCAGAAAATGGTAAGAGTTTCTCTTCCTTTATATTACAAGGGGGATTTTTTCCTAGTTCTGTAAGTCTGACTGGCTTGTGACAAGCCTTATTCTAACATTAAAAGAATGAATGCATTATGATCAAAATGTAACATACTTGAAACCTGTTGGATTCTGCTGTTCATACTTCCATATTTTTCTGAAATGCTTTAAGAGGCCAAGGCAAGAGGGGTATATACATTCATGTGTTGTGGGCCTCCTTTTTGTCTTTTTGGAAACTGATCTTTCATAAAATGAATTAAAACGTTTTAAGCAAGTGATCGTTAAACATCAGGTAGGCGAGCAAATAATAGGTTAACCAATTGAGTCAATTCAGAGAACATCAGATTAGAAAATAATTAGCAATACCATAAAGTTTATCATCTAAATAGTGAACTAAGACCTGAATTCCTTAATCTAGGCCAGAATAGATGGTTTGGAAAATTCTCCAATTCCGCGATATATTTGCAGCTTTAGCCTAAATTTCACTGTTTAATTTTAAGTATACTTCAATTCAGTGTTTGGTTAATATCCCAATGGGTCAAGTTAGGACTTTCTCAATCTGCATTACTCAAACAGGGTGCAATGGAACCTTTACATGCCCTACACATAATGCCTGCATTATCAATCTTAAAAATATTTTTTAAATGTTTTTTTTTGTCTAGTAAAGATATAATCGTTTTGTGCATCCAAGGTTTTTTGTCTATATAAAATTTGCAGGTGTGGATAAGTTAAAGGACATGGAGTACCTGGGATCAGTGGCCAGCATGAGTTTAAATTCAGACTATGCTGCAGCTCTTTTTGAGGGAAAAGTTCAGCTCCACATGGTAAGAATTCAATATATGGATTAATACATAGCAGTATAGATAATATTCTTTTCAATGCTTAGCTAATCTAGATGTGCTCAGTAAATAATCCGTCCCTAATAATTATGATATTATTTTAATATTCCTAGTGAAGATCATGCAATTTCATTCTGATGTCATCTATTTTCCGACAGCTTCTGTGAAACTGTAGCCCTGTCCAGACTAGCGTCCCACATTTTCTTTCCTTAAACACCTACAGTGCTTCACCTTTTTAGCTAGAGCTAATAACTCCCAGAATTAGAAAGGAACTTTACTTACTGCAATAACTGTTATATTAGGTGCATTGTGCATGAGGCCAATGCTGGATCAAAAAATAAATTATTAAATCTTTCCTAACCCAATTAGTGCATTATTTTGTAAACATTTCTCCTTCATTAATTAACCTTGTCCCATCATTCTATTTATAATTACACTTTAGATTGAAAGTGATGGCCTTGATCAGGAGGAAAGAGAGACAAGACTTTTTCCAAAAACTGACGACACTTATCGGATTCTGTGCCACGCTCTCACTGGGGATTTTCTGATCTACGGGACGAATGTATGTGGTTTTCGTTTTCTGCTGTACTCTTTGCTTACCTGACCGTGATGATATTATATATACTATTATACTTCTTTCTTTGTTTGATATGTTCGTTCCTTTATATCCATTATGTATGTTTGCTTAGACCGGGCTTATTAAGTACTTCTACCTTGAAGACTGGCAGTTTGTCAATGAATATCGGCACAATGTGAGTGTGAAAAAGATCTTTCCTGATGCTTCTGGAACTCGACTGGTTTTAATTGATGAGAAAGCAGATGGTTTTGTGTATTGTTCAGTAAGTGAAAACACAGTCTTTGTTTTTAGTTACAAAATACCTTTCAAATGTACTTGCTGTATTTGTATCAAAATACATTTTGAGACAAGAGTTCGGTCTCAAAATGGGAAAATCTCTCCAGCCACAGAGATTTGGTTCAGAAAATTAGTAAATGAAAATGATTGAAGTGCCTTATGGAAGATACTTTTGGGGGGGGGAAGGAGGAGGAGAGAGGGGAGGGGTGTGCCTAGATTGTCCATTTAAAGATGATTTGATTAATTCCAGTCTGAAATTTTCCCTTAAATATAGTGCACATCCAAATCACTCACTAAGAGTTAACTATTGGTTGTGTTAATACATTTGTAAAAATCTTGATTGTTTTACTTTACATGCTGTGGCACACCGACCACAGCAAGAAAATGAATTTTACCCCTGCATTGCTGTACACTAAGGGAAACCTGCAGCAAACTGACAAAATATGTGCAGTATTACACTACTTTTATACATTTTAAATGCCATTTCAAATGCATGTTTTTACAGTTCTCTTTACAGATAGTCTTACTGTTTCTATTCCTGTTAAATGCATATTATTTTTTTTCCTTTTCCAGATGAATCATAATTTGTATGAAATTCCAAATTTTTCTCCCACAATTAAAGGAATTTTATGGGAAAATTGGCCTGTGGATAAAGGTGTATTCTGCGCCTATGATGAGGATAAAATATATACGTATGTTTTTCATAAAGATACAATACAAGGTAATATTTAAATGTAAAGTAATATGCACACGTGTATTAATTTTTGTCTAGTTGGTAGAGCTAAATCTTTTTTTTTCTCTCTACATTACTGTATTACTGGCATATATGTATTGCTTACATTGGGACACAGAGAAGGGCTATGTAGAATTTCTCAGTAACTTGACTCCAACATAAATCGGAATTTGCATTATTGTCTGATATTTTATGTTGTTTACTAGATGGAGTTTACTGTGATTAAAAGGACACTGTATGGTAAATGAGGTTATCGTTGCAAACACACATGCACATGTCTGCAGATCTGTCTTCTTTTCAGTAAGATGGGGCTTATATGATGTAAGCCCACCAAGCAGACAGAAGCTATACAGTTACTTGAAAAGGCAGAGAAAAATATAAGCTTCTTTGTGTGCCATCTCTTGAGTGAAGGGTGATTATAGCTGCAGCAATTTTCACAAACTGCATTCATTTTGGAAGGAGTATACGTTGTGCTTGGAGTATCCTTTTAAAATGCCATTGCAGTTTGATTACTCGTATATGCCAAGGGCTCATGGGAGTCATAGTTTAGTTTAATCTGACGTTACAGCCATATATTGAAGCAGTTTGAGCTGTCTTGGAGAATTAAAATCCTTTAGTTTTTTGTTTGTTTGTTTGTTTGTTTTTTTGTCAATATCTTTTTATTTTATTTTCAAAATAAGGAAAATACAAAATTGGGACTCGTAGGTCCCTTAAAACTCTGGTACATCAGCAAGGTATGAATATAGTGGTAATGAATCGGAGACTCGCAGGTTTCATTAAACATGTGTGAAAAGTATAAAGAATGGGACACGCAGGTCACATGATACATAATATTTTAGATTAAACACAGGTAGCAGGAAAAACTGTTTTGTTTTTTTTTTGTTTGTTTTTGTTTTGTTTTTTTTATATCCCTGATCTATAGTGTAGATTCCTGGGACCTGAATTCCTTCCCTTGTTATGGGGTACAGTCCTATACCCTCAGTAGACGAGTACATTTGGTAAAATCCTTTAGTTATCTTGGAGAGTGAGTAGTTGAAAAGATTTCTTGGAGGTTCTCAACCTATCTTTAATAGTTTTATTTATTTAAGTTAAAAGAGTAACTATACATATTTTAGCCAATTAAGTACATAGGTCTCATGTTTATTTATCTTTCCTCCAGGTTCCAAAGTGATCTTAGCAGGAGGTACTAAACTTCCATTCTCTCACAACCCTGTTCTACTCCACAATGGAGAACTAACCTGCCAGACACAGAGTGGAATATTAAGCAACATCTACCTAACTACTCACAGCTTCATCAGCAGTCTCACAGATGCAGCGCCCAGTGACTTGAAGAAAATGCTAACGCAAACGTTAATGCTGCGACGGTAAAGTTCCCGCCCCAAGCATTGTTTTATAGTTTTACATGTGTGTTTGTACACCAGTGACGGGGTGCAGATACTGGGGATTAAACATCTGCATTATCTCATCAGCAGTAAAGGGGATGAGCTAAGGGTGCTGGAAATACCTTCATTGAATATATATTTATTTTCATTAGTATACAATTATTTGTTTTACTGTTTAAAAACCATTTGACAAAAAACAGAGGGACTGCACACGTAGCCGCCTAGCACTACAGCAACTAGAATAAGTGGCAGTACGTTTAGTTTTATTTTGTCTTTTATGTATTTAATTCTACAGTAGGGATGTTTTCCATGTCCTGTTCAGAACCTGCACTTGTCAATCTGTCTTGACTTGGTGTTCTTTGTTCCCAAGAATGATCTCTTTATTTGATGTCAATATATTATGAAAGAAATAAGACTAGAACCCAGCTAAAGTGACCCTTTCCTTCCTCTGTCCTCGGCTTAGCTTTTCCGATGCTTGGGAAGTGTGCAAACTGCTAGATGACCAAGCAAGTTGGAATGAACTGGCCAGAGCCTGCTTGCATCACATGGATGTGGAGTTTGCTATTCGGGTTTACCGTACCATTGGAAACGTTGGCATGGTTATGTCACTTGAACAAATCAAGGTACATATTAAATATTTTCATATATACATTCAATGGTATATACATGGGAAATGTATAATAATCCACGAATGACTATGCCATTGAAATAATCCACTGTGATTGTAGTTATATGCAATATCTTATATTTATATCTATATTGAAATTTGTATATACACTGCTTTATAACTGGAAAATGCAGGTTAGAATCCCAGACACACAACCTCACCCGTCCTTGGTCAAGACACCTAATGATATATATCTGCCTGGCTCAAAACCGTAATAATTGTGAAGCGCTGCAGAATGTGTTGGCCCTGTATAACTAATAATGATATTATCTTGTAAAAGATTCCTGTTTCTAGGATCTGCACCCTTGAACTTGAAACGGTAAATATCAATGAAACTACCAATGTTATTTTTCTTTCAGGGCATAGAGGATCACAATCTTCTAGCAGGGCACCTTGCCATGTTTTCCAGTGACTTTAACCTAGCTCAGGATCTATATCTAGCATCGAGCAGCCCTGTTTCTGCACTGGAGGTAACGGTGTTCAGAACCTGTTTGTGTTGTTTTCTTTCAAAAAAAAATACAGGTATAAACCACCCAGGTGCAGTGTGTATACAGTGAATGCAAAAAGGTAATTACCTTTCTTCTTTTAGGTATAACAAAGGGATTCATCTCAATCCCCAATACAAATCGCAAAAACAAGATATATCTAAGAACATGAACAGAGAAAGAAAAGCTCATACGGTAATGACGTTAATTGTAATAAACCCCACTTTTCAAGGTTGCACTCACAGAGTAGCAGAAAATTCAGGCTCGTCAATAATATGTAGAATCCCACAGATCCAGCAGTGTTCAGATGTCCAATAGTGCATGTAAATGGATATAAAGAAACCTAGTGCAACGCTGATATAAAATGAAATCACACGCTTTAATGGTTACACTTACAGCATACAAGAAGATAAAATCCATCAATTGGGGTATATTCCAATTAACGTTATTACCCTATGAGTTTTTCTTTCTCTGTTCCTGTTCTAAGTTATTTCTTGTTTTTGCTAATTGCGTTGTTTACTTTGTCTAACTGTTGTAGTGTAAATGCCCATACATCATTTTATGTATCTGTATCTTTCTTCTGTACGAAGTTATTGTACTCTGTAACAGAGTGTACATCATCTCCATCATGCCATCTCTTTTCACAGTACAAGTAAAGAAGGCTGTTTAAAAAGAAAAAAAAAAGATATTGTGTAATGTTAATTATTTAGAATAATCTAACCTTCTATCCTTTGTTGATAACATGCTATAAGTAAAATGATGTCTATTTAACACGTTGGATGGTACACAATCTGTAATTTGAGTGTATATGTGCTTTAAAGATGAGACGGGACTTGCAGCACTGGGACAGCGCCCTGCAACTGGCTAAACGCTTGGCTCCCAATCAGATTTCATTCATTTCAAAGGAGTATGCCATGCAGCTTGAGTTCACGTAAGTCATCAATGTGTGTTAGTCACAAACTTTCAAAGGATTTTATTTTTCAAAAGAAATCTGCACTTGTCTAGCATTATATTTATTATTGAACTGAATGCTGCTGCTTCTACCATTGGAAAGATATATTGTATAGGCTGGACTAGTTTTGTTTTTATGAAGATATTTTAATCCAAAAATCCAGTTCTCTGATGCTTGATCAACAATTTGGAGGATGTACAAAAGAATCAGGAAGTACATCTGTCACTCTCACACTGCGCAAATAATAATTAAATAAAAGTTTTGAACTTGGCAAAATGAAAAAGCAGATCACAATCTCTAAAGATGAAGAAATAAATGTTTGTGTTCTGGCAGCTGAAGGCCCCTGTAGATAACCGCCTATTGACAAATCTGCCCTCTGTGTATAGAAGTTAATTTAGTAATCAAACACAGGACCTCTCTTGCTGATGCCAGATTATCCCTCTTCTGATAGCATTTAAAAAGGCATTGCCTGAAGTAATTGTTGTCATTCAGTCTTAATTCTCTCTCTTTTTTTTCTTAAATTGTTTCTTACTGTGAATATGAGTGATGTAATCCATGCATGTTGTTCACAGGGGGGATTATGTGAATGCACTCGCTCATTATGAAAAAGGAATTACTGGAGATAACAAGGTGAGAACTGATGAGATGTGTAGCTGGTGTAAGATTATTGCAAAATGTTCCTAACCTGCATGGCAATATCAAACCGAGCAATAGTGTTCTCTAGTAATCTGAAATAGAATATACATTGTTTTTTTTTTTTTTGTTTTTTTTTTTTTTACACACGATAACAAGTGCTAATGCAGACTTTTAAAATGTCATGTTCTTTATTTTAAAATTATTATTGTAAGAAAAATGGTCAGTTTGCTAGCAGGCCAGTAACCCATATCCTCCATGTAAAATCCAGCTATATTTATGGCGGATCCAGTGATATTTTATGAAATGTGTTTTATAATGCAGTTTCAGGAACACGATGAAACTTGCCTGGCTGGTGTGGCTCGCATGTCAATCAGAATGGGAGATATTCGACGTGGTGTTAATCAGGCTCTCAAACATCCCAGCAGACTTCTAAAGAAGGACTGTGCTGCCATCTTGGAGAGCATGAAGGTAAATGAAACTAATACAGGCAACGTGGTATAGAAATACACAATGTTTGTAACTCAACCATTTCTTCCCACAACAGCAATTCTCAGAAGCTGCACAACTGTATGAGAAGGGACAATATTATGACAAAGCAGCCTCTGTTTATATTCGCTGTAAGAACTGGTAAGGAATCTTTGTTTGTTCAAAATATATATAGATATAGAGCGATTAATTTGCAGAAATCTCAGTGAACTCTCAAAGAAAATAAGAAAACTATCACCTTTATTTTCATAAAAATTTAATAAATATTAAGAACCCAACCTGGGTGTTAAGCTTAGGCATGCTGCTTGCTTGCTAGGTTACATACTATTATGGCCAAGTGAAGTCCCATCCAAAATGCAATAGCAACCCTCCCCAGCTTTTCATTTTCAGGGAACCCAACATTAACGCAAGAGTATTGAGAACTCTCATCCTGAACACCTGCATAATTTCACTTGAGGAACATGTAAACCTACTTAGAGAATTCTTCATTTACAGAGTACTTTTATTTTATTTTTAGTACAAGTGCATTCAATGCGTGTTTTAAATGTTTATTTGTTTTTTTAAAGTGAGATGAAAAGCTTGGTACTTGCCATCTTCTAGTCAATATATGTATTTGTTGGTCGTGAGGGATGAGCTGCTGTGAAAGACTCCCAGATAGGAAGTTTATACATTTCGTTTTCTGCATGCCGTTTTGTGATGTAATTTACTTCCAGGGCAAAAGTTGGAGAGCTGCTTCCCAACGTGTCTTCTCCCAAGATCCACTTACAGTATGCAAAGGCAAAGGAAGCTGATGGAAGGTGAGGAAATGAAGCCAACTAACATGCTATCCAAAAACCAGGATATTCTTGTTGAAGGGTGTCATACTCCACAAACTGCTGCGATGTATATAACCTACAGCTCTGTTAGCCAGCCATTCTCTGCAATGTCAATTACTTATGTGAAATTCACTCATCTGTCAGCACTGAGTCTAGGAATGGGGCATGGTCCATCACTCCTATACATAGCACTTGATTTGATCCAAATGAACGAGTTAGATTCCATCCACACAATGTCTTTTTTTTATACAAATAATTTATTGTTTCTCTTTAAAATAAAATATGAAAATCCATATAAAATAAGAAACCCAATACAACATTATCTAGATAATCATTACTCCAAAATATAACATATATATGTTGGTGAGCTGAGCTGTGACAAGTGAGGACTAAATGTGTCCCTAAAGTGAGAGAACTTAATGTGTTTTTATAGTGCGGGAACTTAATGTGTTTTCATATAGTAGAGATCATATTTCTCTTCTAGATATAAGGAGGCTGTCATCGCTTATGAAAATGCCAGAGACTGGGATAATGTGATTCGAATCTATCTGGACCACTTGAATAATCCTGAGAAGGCTGTAGGCATTGTGAAAGAGACACAGTCGCTTGAGGGAGCAAAGATGGTAGCCAGGTGAGTTTAGTGATGGATGTTGCTAATGGGATTTGCAGTGCATAAACTTGGACTCACTTTGAATAGTCTGCAGTGTTGCTCTTGGACATATTGGATTGATGCCTAAAATATTATGGTGGCATCTATCTGTAACCTAATAATATGTGTAAACACCTGCAGAAAGGATCTTCCTTCTGTTTTAAACTTATGTGAACATGGCAGGTGCCGTTGTGAATATGTAGTGCCATCAACATTGTGTCCACCAGGGGCCAGAAATGCTTACTAGAATGGTGAATGCCCTCTGCTTTCAACAAAAATAGCAGTTAGAAGAAAATCTAACTCTTGGACTTGTGCAGGCTAAGGTTTAACTTAATTGATTTATGATTTAGTACAAAAGTTGAATTTATACTATAGAAAACATTATACTTAGTAGGAAAAGAATGCATGCAATGCTAATAATTTGATTATTTTTAAAGCAACACTGTCATGCCGAACTTACCTCAATTCCTCTCCTCTCCCTCTGTCAGGATCTGTTCTTCATTTCTTCCTGTCTGCTCTAGTTTTCTTTAAAACATAAGACAAAGTAGGGGCAACTTTGTCTTATGGAGGTTTCCTACGCCATGACCATCTCTGACCAGCAGAGGAACAAAGTGTGCTCTGTTTCCTGTTGTCAGAGAAGGTTTATCCATTCATGTTAGGACGCAATTCGGGACTTTGTTCAGATCGGAATTTCATTTGAATGAATGAAACTCCGATCTAATTTGTGCTGCGACTGCATCGCTTAGTAGATAACTCCCTAATTCCTTCAGTATCAGGGAGCTATCTACCAAAAGGCTGAAATACCTAAATTGGTCTTTCAGCCAACTTCACTAATACTAAATAAAAATGACTTAATATTAGTACATTCTGCCCCTACTCGCTATATTGCGAGTAGGGGCATGTCTAGTAAACAGTGAGAGGCCTTTGTTAAAAAAAACAAAAAAAACTCTAGTATCCCACCTCCCAAGCCCTTACCCATTACGCGTGAGTGGGGGCTCTTAAACTGAACAGGGGACCTATTGCTCTGCCCGCACCCCTGAGCGGTGGGTGGGAGCCTTAAATGACAATTGGGGGGGGACCTATCGTCCCCCCCACCTCTGAGCGGCGGATGGGAGCCCTAAATGAAAACTGGGGGGGGGGGACCTATTGTCCTCTCCCCCTCCCCCCGCGCCCCCACCCATGAGAGTGGCAGGTGGGAGCCCTAAATAAAAATCGGGGGGGGGAAGGACCCATGAGCGGCAGGTAACTAGGGGTCCTCTACATTTACCTGTCACAGCACTTTGGTTGGCTTGGAATCCATCCAATCAGAGTGCTCTGTGTCATTTTACACAGGGTGGGAAAGTTCTAGGGAATTTTCCTATGCTGTGTAATTTGACTCATAGCAACACTCTGGTTGCTTTCAATCAACCAATCAAAGTGTTATAAGTCAAATTACACAGCGTGGGAAAATTCCAAATAACTTTCCCATGCTGGGTAAAATGACACAGAGCACTCTGATTGGTTTGCTTAAATAGGTTCCTCCCCCTCGCCCCATTTTCATTTAGGGCCCGCACCCGCTGCTTATGGGTGATGGGTGGGTGCCAAGGGGGACCCTATGTCCCCCGTTTACTTTTATAGCCCCTACTCGCGGGGCACGGGTAGGTGCTCGGGGGATATGCCCACTGCTAGTTAATAGATGCCCCACCATGGGGGCATTTGTTGGGTGGGGGAGGGAGAGGGGATGGGGGGGATGGAGCTGTGCGCCGGTAGCTCCCTCCTTGTAATAAACCAAGCAAACGAACGAAGAAGTCTTCATTCGTTTGAAATTTCTATTCATTTATTCGTCTTTCTGACGAATGAATGAATAAATAGATGAAATTCCTATTCGAATGCACAAGTGTTTAACTGGGCATGCGCAGGAATTTCATAGCGCTATCTAGTGTGGGCAGATGACATGTCCCACAGGGACTTCATCTACCCACACAAAGATGGCGGCGCCCAGGACCTGGGTCTGGGCACAAAATAAAGATCCAAAAATAGGTAAGATGGGGGGGCATAGGGGCATTTAGTGGCACTAGGGGGTCAGTTAGATGTAGTGGAGTCGGAAAGGGGGGTTAAAAAATAAAACAGGATTCGGCCATGACGGTGCCGCTTTAAGCTTACTGCTTGTTTTAAGTGAATGTGTAATGAAACTAGTGAATATTTAAACAGAACAAATTGCATTCATAATGTGTTTGTGTGTAATGAGAGATGTATATTTATACTATAAATGGTTGATAAGATGTAGACGTTTTGGTCAAAATAATTTTGCTGTAATTTCCAGTCTTTGCTAGTTTTGAGGCACGTTAGTATAATTGTATATCATGTAGATCTAGGTTATCTCTTCCAACATGAGGACTACAAGTTTAAAATGCTCAACATTTATCCAAAAGGAAGAAGTGTGAGCCTGACACTACAGAGCATTTTGGGAATTGTAGTTCTGTATTACACTGGTGAGCTAGGATTTGGCTCTCATTAACCATATTGTATTCAGGAACTGTAAACTCTCATCGCAAACCGATCTCCATGTTAACTGTTGCCTGATTGCATTTCTCTCTCTGTACGTTATCCTGATCATATATTTCTGCAGATAACTACTCACAGCTTTTGGTTTTCCTCTAATAAGGTTTTTCCTTCGTCTTGGTGACTATGGATCAGCTATCCAGTTTCTGGTTCTGTCCAAATGCAATGATGAAGCATTCCAGCTGGCTCAGCAGCACAACCAGATGGAGATTTATGCTGACGTTATCAGTAAGCGTGTTTCTACATTATACTGGCATCTAAACTATTCGGTAGCCGGCAAGCATTTCTTTATCAGCTGCATGAAAATATTAGCAATCCTTAGCTGGGGCAATAGTTTATATGGATAATGCATAAAAAAATATATTTGAAAAAAATAAAAACCGTATTCACATGTGAAGTGTCCCTTAGCGCATTGCTTAGTGGGTCTGCCTGCAGCTATAGTATAGTTTATCCCAGAGTTAGAGGACTACGGTGAACTCCCTGTGTCCATGGAGTTATGAGAATGCAGCTCTTTTACCCCCGTTGCTATATATGCTCAATGTGTCCGAGACCACTGCCAATCTGATGTGCTGTCTTAACTGTCAATCCTCATAGTTTCATACATTCCTATTTTAATCTGCATTTGTTCTTTCGAATGGAAACTCATCATTATTCCAGTAAAACTCCCCTAATGCCGTTCACAGTCTGTTATTTCTCCAAATAATATAATTCAAAGTAAACTATCATATTGCTGAATGTTCTTTTCTTCAGGCTCTGAGAATACCAGTAACGAAGATTATCAAAGTATAGCTTTATATTTCGAAGGAGAAAAGAAGTATTTCCAAGCAGGGAAGTTCTTCTTACTTTGTGGTCAACATGCACGAGTGAGTGAATGTCTTAATGTGTAACAATGCAATCTAAATAATGTATCCCCAGCGTATATGAGCAAGGCTGGGGAACGTGTGCTTCAAGATCCACTAGAACCAAGTGTTAGAAATAAACCCCTTTCGCTATATTGGAGTCCAGGTGTCACAGGCATGTCTGGGCCAAAATAGAGGAAGATTGGGTATCTTACAGTGCTTGGTGTCGAGAAGAGCAATACTCTTTAGTTTAGAGCAGAGGTGCCCAGAAGGTAGATCCTCAGATGTTGTAAAACTACAACACCCATGATGCTTTGTATGCCATTAGAATGCTTTTAGAATGACAAAGCATCATGGGAGTTTTAGTTCTACAACATCTGGGGATCTACATTTTGGGCACCCCTGGTTAAGAGTGCACATTCCTTAAATCTCTGTGACTGAAAGGTTGAATGCAATGAGATAGACATACCTCTGGTAATTGAATGGTAATGTCCCCTAGCTATCAATGGGATTACTGCTATTCAGTTACTGATGTGAGTTTATCTCTTGTAATAGCATTAAGCCCTTATAAAATTCCTAACATCTCTCATGTTCCTCCAATACATATACTGATTGCTTGTTTTTGTGATGCTTCAGATGTAGCCCTTATTCTCACCGTATGGATGTGGATCTAAAAGCAGTTTTCCCATGAAATCGATTCTGCGTGGTTAAATAGGATGGACCTTCTTAGGCTGTTACTGTTTTTAAACACCTTTCTCTATTTCAGGCACTGAAGCACTTCTTAAAATGCTCAAACACTGAGGAAGACATGGCAATAGAAATGGCAATTGAAACGGTGAGTAAATGGGATTCACATAGAAGGGGATATATGGATCGTAATATACAATAACATCTAAAGCATTGTTTTATATCAAATAACTGTAAAATATAATGTTTGGGTCTCATTGTTTTTAACATGTTTTTTTTTTTTTCTTTATTTGATTGAGATGATTAGCATGGCTTTTTGAGTATTCATAGTTTGAGTTTTGGATGTGGTTTTTTTTTTTTTTTTATATATAATTAATTTGTCAATCAGAATTTGTTTTAGAACTAAGAATTATAGTAAGATATTTGCAAAATCTCTTATTTCTTGCTGTATCTTGTCCCATCTCGCTTGCTCTATTTATCTATCTCGGGAATGTTCTCTAAACTCCGAATTGTAGATAATTGAAATACTAAAATGTAACATTAGCTGGTTTTGAAAAATAATTTTTAACAAAGCTGACAGTTCAGCTATTTTTTTCCTTTTATTTTTTTATTTGTTTTTTTAGTTCACTACAATTTGGAGTTTAATGAATAAGGAGCCAAATATAAAATCTTAAGTTAATTAGGATTTGGCATCATGTTTATGCCTATTTCTCCCTGTTAAAGAGCATTCAGTAGATTTTAGCCCCATATCCATGTTCTATTTTCCTCCATGATTCCTCAAGATTTTAACTTGCTGAGAATACAGGAATATAAATATGAGGCTAAGGCCAGACAATAAAACAAATGCAGTTGGTAATTCCCAGTGTGTTCCTTTAAATAATCACTGCGCATGTTAACAGAAACATTGGACACTTGAATTCAACACCTGCTAGCACTTTAAATATAAACCAATAAAAAATACTTGTTAAATAATTAACCAATAGCTCATAAATCTGTGCAAAATGTTTACACATGAGGAGAACAAGCTCCGACCCTGACCTGATGTCATTTGGAAGCAACATCACCAAACCTATATAAACAATTCTGATTCACCAATTAAAGCAAATAACGTACAAATATTCGCTGTTAACAAACTTAACATAGTGAAATTGATAACACAACAAAAACGTATACTTAATACCAAAAATGTCAGATTTGCCTAAATAAACATGCATCCATATCAATGGTGACTTTCGACACAACAGTGATAATGACACACGTCACTTGTTATCATATGAAAGGGGCAAACAAGCAGGTCTAAGAATGCTTTTAATTTCTTTGTTTTCTATATCACTTCGATTTTGTTATATAGTCATTTCTGCCGTACTCTGATATCTGATGCATTTATCTCAATAGGTTGGGCAGGCGAAAGAGCAGCTTTTAACCAATCAACTCATAGACTATCTGATGGGTGAGAGTGATGGCATGCCAAAGGTACTATTCTTAAAATTTACCTACCACTTCTAAACAATAGGATAAGTCTGTATGTTGTGTGTTTTTCCTGTACAATCTTTCAGTTTACTAATGGAACAAATGCTAGATGGGGTTGGTATTGTTCTAATGTAAGTGTACTACCGACAAGATGTTTTATTTAATATGCAAGATAGTCTAATTCTTATGTTGCTCTTTATTTTAAGCCACAGTTGTTAAATATATAAATACAAATACACTATCAACTATATGAACAAGCAGTCTTAAAGCACCACTCTAGGCACCCAGACCACTTCAGCTTAATGAAGTGGTCTGGGTGCCAGGTCCCTCTAGGATTAACCCTTTTTTTTAATAAACATAGCAGTTTCAGAGAAACTGCTATGTTTATAAATGGGTTAATCCAGCCCTCAAAGCCTCTAGTGGCTGTCTCATTGACAGCCGCTAGAGGCGCTTGCGTGCTTCTCACTGTGAAAATCACAGTGAGAAGACGCCAGCGTCCATAGGAAAGCATTGTAAATGCTTTCCTATGAGACTGGCTGAATGCGCGCGCAGCTCCTTCCGCACACGCGCATTCAGCCGAAGAGGAGGATCGGAGGCGGAGAGGAGGAGGGAGCTCCCTGCCCGGCGCTGGAAAAAAGGTAAGTTTAACCCCTTTCCTTGCCATCCAGCCCGGCAGGAGGGGGACCCTGAGGGTGGGGGCACCCTCAGGGCACTATAGTGGTCCTTTAACTGCATAAAGCCACTAATCTATATAGCGGCTTTAGTTATATATGTACATATAATATAGTACTTTAGGTGGGCCTTTGGCATCAAGTCATGAGTATTATAGATTGGACTATTTCAGTACATTATAAAACTGGGCTAGGATACACTTAAAGTGAGCCTCTAAGCAATTGAACTTGTCTTTATGAGAAAAAACAGTGTTTACATCTAGCTACTGTCACTGAGCCACTAGAAACTCTTCCTGCTGTGTTCCTGCAGTCTTTGCAGAACCAAAGTTTGGTGTCTTCATTCTCTGTATGTAGACACCGATTGCTCCCCATTGAATGCATTGAGCTAATTTATCTCTATGAGGAGATGATGAATGTTGTGCATGCACACTAGCCCCCAAATGTTACCCTATAGGGAAACATTGTAATTTGCTGAGATCATTATCACTGATGATCTTAGCCAGGGGAGAAGCAGTGGCAATGGCGAGACTGGCACTCTGTGGGATATAAGGTCAGTAAATTTGCATTATTTAACTTCATAGATCTGTCGAGGACCCAGAAATCTAGACAGGAAGACACTATATTATTAGAAACACATGTATGCATTTCTTCCTTTAAAGTACTTTGTTTTCTGGATTTATTTTTTGAATAGCACTCTGTTGAAGATTTTTAAGCATGCTAGTAATGGAGGACATCCTTGCATCATATCCTGTGCAATTATTATAAGTTATTATGATGCTTGGAGTGTCCCTTTATTTCATCAGTATTTTTTCTATGCAGGATGCAAAGTACCTGTTCCGCCTGTATATGGCATTGAAGCAATATAGAGAGGCAGCCAGGACTGCAATTATAATTGCCAGAGAGGAACAATCAGCAGGTACGTGTGTGTGTGTGTGTTTGTGTATAATGTCCAATAACTGTACTTTATAGTGTTTCCAGCTAAAAGCATTGTGGGTATATGTGATATTATTAGGGTTATTCACAGAAATGGGAATTGTTAAATATTCCGAATTTTAAAATGTAAATAGCTAAATTGTACATTTCTCCTACAAGTCACCTATGTTTTCAGATTTGCTAGTTCACTTTAATTTCTGACAATTCACACTTTTGCCAATAAGCCACATCGCATTATAAAACATAAACTTATTTTTTATTTATATATATATATATATATATATATGAGAGCACTCATTTTGCATAAATAAATAAAAGTGTATTAAATTCGTATAACAAGGAAAATCAACGTTTTACCCTCTAACAGGTCTTTATTGATATTAATTATCCGTAACACAATTCACAAGCAAAAACATGTTTCCCGGGAAAAAACAAAACAACAAAAATTGGTTCTAACCTGACAAATTCTTTTTTCCTTTGGATTGGTGAGAGCCCACGACACGTAATATATGGTGGCATTTACCTAAGGTGCCTTTGGTTGCCTTCAGCAACCTTTGGTTCCCATTTGTAGCTCAAGCTCAGCCATCCACAATCGGCATCAACCCAAGGGATCCTGATGACGAGACATTATGACAACCAGCAAAAGTAGTGGACTTCATACGTTGCCAGGCAGAGTACAGGGGACCAGTGTTACATACGTCAAATGGGGAAAGGCTAGAGAGAGAAGAGCGAGATGAAATGTTGCATTATGGGTGGTTTTTTAACTCTTCTTGTGGGAGGGACAATTATCCCATTTGTCACAAATCATGGGCTTTTGCCAACCAAAGAAGGAAAACTATTTTAAAGAATATAAGGAAATAAAAGGAGCAATTTAGAAGTGCGGACCAGCGAGATTATGGAAAAGGAAGAGTAGTATTTCGAATGAAGTTCTGTAATGCTAATGAAGCAGATAATTAGTCTACAACTTGTTTAATGATTTCTTTAAGATGTAAGATGATACTATTATATTAATCTATATAACAATATTAAAATTGTAAAGCACAAATGTAGAAAAAGATTTTTTTCAAGAACTTTGTGTGAACATCCATAGCATGTAACGTTTTTAAAGTGTTTTAATATAACCATGTAATCGTTTCAGTAACAATAAAACAGCAATAATTCTTTTTTTTTTTTTTTTTAATAACCAGGTAATTATCGCAATGCACATGATGTCCTATTCAGCATGTACACCGAACTGAGAACACACAAAATTAAGATCCCAACTGAAATGGCTACAAATCTGATGATCTTGCACAGCTATATCTTAGTCAAGGTATTTTAATCCACTGTATGGATAATATCCTAATCTGTATTATTATTGTAGTGAATAATAGCAAATCCATTCATACTGTTCTATCTAAAGCTGTAATTTCCATGAAATTCCAATTCAAATTAACATATTACAGTGGCTGTCACATTGGGGTGTTTGCATATTTGAAAGACTCCAAAGGTGACCTCTCAGCTTGGTTTGTGATAGCCCTAGAGGTGAAGCTTAGGGGAGCTATACTTGTGGAGAGTTCTGTCCCTCATTACTCCTGCTTTCTTGTACATGTGTGAGTGTACAACACTGAGGTCTATGGAGTATCCCGTGAGACCACTTTATATTTGCACCAATACCCACCTCACTGATATATCTGTGTTGTCCTTCTACAGAATTCGTTGGCTGAGTGCGTGAAATGATGCAATGTTAATTGTCATGTAACTGCACTTTTTTTTTTTTTTTTATCTTTTTGCACAAATCCTTTTTGTATTTGAACATTCATTGAAGGTTACAGTGCTTTTCTTGGCTTTCATTCTAAATAGTTGTCCTAATGTTTCTGCTTCAGATCCATGTAAAACGTGGAGACCACATGAAAGGTGCTCGTATGCTTATACGTGTGGCCAACAACATCAGTAAATTCCCTTCCCGTGAGTATTCCGTGTTCTACATTGCGCAGTGTAGAAAAACTGATATCTAACAACTCGGGTTTATTCATTGCATTTCGATTTAATTAATATCATCACTTATTGTTCTCAAACTGTTAAACTACACTATTAATGTTTATTTAAATTCAACCTTTTATGTTCTACGTCTGATCTTTTTATTTTTATTATTTTTTTTTCTTTCTTTCCTTTGTGTCATAGCTGAAACATTCTGTCTAAAAGGAACTTACTGGCTCAGGCTTATTGGAATAAAAAAGTGTATGGTGTGCCAAACTAATATATAACTGTAAACCGTTTATTGAATTTTTTTTTTAATGGATTTTCAAATGTTTATCAATTAATATAGCTTATAGACCGAATAATCTATACCGTAATAACTTATTAGTACAAAAAGAGCAAAGGATCCTATCTGTGGACTTTAGTCTAACCATTGCAGCATCTGTGTATGTTTCACTGTTCGTGCTTGGTCATTTTCATACATTTGTTTTTCTTTGTGCAGATGTTGTCCCAATCCTTACATCCACAGTTATTGAGTGTCATAGAGCTGGCCTTAAAAACTCGGCCTTTAGTTTTGCCTCCATGCTCATGAGACCAGAGTATCGAAACAAAATAGACATCAAGTACAAGAAGAAGATTGAGGCAATGGTTAGGTGAGCTGCATTTTTAAATAAATACAACAAATATGCTTTTTTTGTTTAGGAGGTGGAGCTTGCTTACATAGTCTTTGACCATAAATGTGCTTTGTATTTATATATTGCTAGGCGACCAGATAACACAGAGGTTGAAGAAGAAACAAGTCCCTGTCCTTTCTGTGGTTTTCAGCTCCCAGAATGTGAACTTCTGTGTCCTGGCTGCAAGAATAACCTCCCATACTGCATTGTAACAGTGAGTGCCTTGTTCATTAGAGTTATTATTTGGTAACTAGGTCTGGTATTTCAGAACCCATGTACTATACCATTGTGGTGCAGAATGGGCTAACATGCAAAGCATCCCATTTCCAGTTGTTGCTCAAAGCAAGAGTTTAAAGGGACACTATAGTCACCAAAACAACTTTAGCTTAATGAAGCAGTTTTGGAGTATAGATCATGCCCCTGCAGTCCCACTGCTCAATTATCTGCTCCAAAACCTTAAACGACAAGTACACTTTAAGCTGCTAGTTTTATGTAATGGCCATTGAGTACTTTACAGTGTCCCTGCTTTTTAACGATCACCCAGAATAATTTAAAAGAAAATATCTATGGATTCTGCTCATCAAATTGCCAGTAAATGCATAGCTTAAACTTTATATAGAAATTAATTTCTTTGCAATATCAGCCAATTTACAACTAAATAAATTATAAATATGGCTTTCTATGAAAGTCTGAATGCAGATATCCATTGCAGTACCTTGCTAGAGGCACAGGAAGAAACTTTTATATATGGATTTATTTCTCACCTGCATGTTTTGTGCAGGACAGGTTCACTTGAATGATTAAAATATGTGCCTTTTACATCCTGCTGGTGTTATTCTTTTCAGGGTCGTCACATGGTTAAGGAAGACTGGTGTGCTTGCCCACATTGTGATTTTTCAGCCATATACACAGAATACAAAATGTAAGTACAGGGCACTAGTAGTTAAGTTACTACCTACTACTATTAATTATGCCACAAATAGACTTAAATAGGTCTGCTTGGAGTATGTGCTTCTAGCAATGAGAATCGAATGTACGGTCATGTTTGCTAACTCTCCGCAGGTTGCTGGACTCTGAAACGACATGCCCCATGTGCTCAGAGAGAGTAACAGCTAGTCAGCTGAAAAGAGTGAATGACTGCTCATCATATCTTCAACAGGATCAGGAGGAACCGTAAAACACCTGGTCACGGTAAGTGGACAATTTGAGGTTTTCCACAAAAATAGAGATTACATAACTTTACTGTGATTAATATAAAAATGTTAATCACTGCTGCACATTCTAATAAACGATGGGTTAAATACTGAGTTTACTGAGTTAAATCAGATTATGGGAAACAAGAGACCTAAGTAAAAGCTATTGGCAATGTAGGTTTAAATATTGCTGGAGGGCTGGTGCAAGCACACCTACAACAGTGCTGAACATCAACCGGCTGACAGGTAGTTGTGGCAGGGATGTTAATAGTCTACAAAAGCTTCCTGTTTAAATTTGGCACAAAAGCGCAGAGATCACATTACACAGCACGTAACGCGTCACGATCTCTATGTGGAATGCATCGCAACTGGTACATGCGGTCCACCCAAAGGACCTCCAAGCAGTGTGCCTGTGCGCACGCACAACACTTTTGGCACCCGAAACAACTTTCCTGTGCTTGAATAGGGGAGAGCCAGGCCCCACAGGCAGAGCTGCTCTCCCAGATAAGCGGAGCCCTTCCCAGCTGCAGCCGTCTCTCCTCGCCTGCAAAACAAAAAGGGAAGTCCTAGTATGTAATCCCTCTTGTTGCACTGTTTCTAATCCGGACTGAAGAAAAATCATTTATGTTATCATGCTTTTCTCATCGAGGACTCTTAATCATTTGTAAATCTGATTGAACTCTAAAATACGCATTCTGTTATATAAAATGATGAAAGATTAAGTTGCTCCTGCCAGGAATAGAACCTGCAACATTGAGGTAACAAAGGTTTTCTCAGATGCACATCTAGTATTATTCAAAATCAGCTCCAGCATTAACAGGAGCAAGAAGACAAGAGAAAAAAAAAAAGTGGAAAATGAAGCTCTCTCTTTTGTTCTATTGCTGTTTCAGTAGACTGGAGCAGGACTCTGCACAGGAATGAAGATTATTGGATACAAACTTTTTTTTTAATCTCACTATTTCACCCTATGAATGCATGTATAAGGGTTACATAATGTTATACAGTACAGTGGAAATTTAGAGTGAGTTTCAGATTTTTGGTTAAAACAGCCATATTTTGTGTGTATGACATTATGCAAACTATTTTCCATCATTTTAAATTTGCTCTTTATTTTCACAGGGAATATCACATCTTTCAGAGAAACTGATTTCTGATCTGTCGTTTGTATCTTCCTCTCTAGATCTTACCTTAAAATGCAACGCTGGAATATATATCAATATTCTTTGAAAAGAAAATTACAGAATTGTGTATATATATATTTTTTTTTTTTTAAATGACTATTTGTAATTTATTATATTTCCCAAATGCTTTATGTATTCTGCATAAAAAATTGCTAATAAATTGAATATATCCCAGATATCCACTAATTCTTAAGTACCACCTACAGGCTAGTTTATTCATTAATTACTGGCATTTACCAACATGTCAACATATTCTGCAGCGTTGTACAATATACACAGACCAATACAAAAGGTAAAGAGGGCCCTGTCTGTGAGCTGCGATCTAGCCATTGAAGCGTTTTTTGTTTTGTTTTCTTACAAAGTTCTTATTATATGGCCTACATGCTTACAATCTATAATGGGGATTTGGGGGGGAATTTGTAAGTGATAGTCAAAGGAAGTTAACAAATAGCTGCAGCTACTGGTTAAATGGGCCGAGGTGGTAATTGAGTTCAAACAGCTGGAGGAGCATGCTATAAATTTAGTAGGAACTTGGGCGGATGGGAAGTTTAGAAAAAATGGAGACATTCAGTATTGTTGGTTCTGAGTGTGTGAATTGGGGTCTAAGGAATGGTGGAGATGAGACAGTTATATAAGGGTATTTACAGCCAGGAGTTGAAGAGATTGGAAAAAAAAGGGGTGGGTAGAGCAAACAATTGTTGTATACAATTGAAAAGTTTAGCAATCAAATACAGAGGCAAATTACAGGTATAATAAGATAATATGGTAACAACGGTAGAATAAATGAGATGGAGTATCTTCCAAGTTTCAGCCAGTACCAGAATGTTGCAGGGAGAGGAGCAATGAAGTGATTCACTATTGCTGGTATCTGTGTTTGAAGTGAGTCCAAAATTTTATTATTTTTTTTTTTTATATTATATATATATATATATATATATATATATTCACACGCTATATTGTCAAGTGTTGCAATGCACACTAAAAATAAGGAGCAATAAGCCTAGCTGAGTATATGTCATCTCTGGACAGGTTAAACATATTGGGCCTCCCACTGGCCAAGAATAGTTACTGCATCAAAATAACTAGTTTTCTGGCAGCTCGATGCCTATTGTATGGTCGGTTGCTACAGAGTACAGCTAACTATAGGTATGCATTGTATTGGCATCATTGTAATTAAATGCATTTGAATAGAAAATACAAATGAAGTCCACCCATTTTGACCACTCCAGGTTGGAGTCTTTGTATCGGAGTGTTTAAGTACTAGAGATGTCCCGAACCGTTCACGAACTTGCAACGAGCTCCGGTCAGCTGACACATCCCGGCCAATCTCCAGCAGACCCTCCCTCCCAGACCCTCCCACCTCCTGGACAGCATCCATGTTGAAGCTGCCTTCCAACTGAAAATAAAGATGGTCAATAAAATACTATACCTTAGTCATCATTAAGCAGAATGGAAAGTGTATGAAAGGATGTCACCTCCAACATAAGCCATGAAAAGGATTGCTTTAATTATTACCCCAGTTAACACAATCCACCTCCCTGATTCTGAGTTGCAGAATGTTTCTTCTCTATATTTACTAAATAATAGACAGAAGTGAATGCTTAAGCAGCAATTGCCACACTGTGTAGAGATTTATACGGGGAATCAACAAGAATAATAAGGCTAGATTTGGACTAAAAAGATCCACTTTATGTACATACGTTATGCATACTATACACAATATACAAATATCACCTACAATTCTACCCACCCCAAAGTATCCGCTTCTGCAATTGTTTTTTTATATGCGTTAAGTAATGTCTCAATGGTCTGGGAGTATCTATTTGACTGCTCTACATGCAAGTCCAGTATTGCAACTCCTAGTCGACCTAAAAGTATGGATCAGACACAGAATTCACATAATGAAATCAGAGAGACCAAACCAAGAGGAACATATTTAAACCTACATTGCCAATAACCATCTCAGTTCTCTATCACCTTCCAGTCCAGGGTCTCCTAGCAAAGTCCAAAACCTTGGATTTCAGAATATTTTTATATAACCTTTTCAAAATCAGAGAGTATGCATCAACTGAAACTGAGAATCAGATTCTAGATAGAAGATTGGATTGGAAGGTGGTCACCAAAGGTGGCAGTGAATCAGCAACTCCGATCCCAGGAGATCTTTTGAAACTCAGAGCCACCTACCAATGATATTAACCATCTTCTGAATGAGTGTCTTACATGAACAAGGGGTGAGAACCGAGATTAGTAGGTCCTATTTTCCCCTGTTGAGAAGTCTATCAGTAACTTCACTTTGTGAGGTTCCTCTTTGTCTCTTGTCCTGTAACATACTGCATCCCACCTAAGCTACATGGGAACTGAGCAGAACGCTCCAGGAGCCTAGGTTGTTTTCTATGGCCACAGCTGCACTGTAATGAATCCAGGGATAACATATCACAGAGTTTGAACGGTCTTTGCTGAATGGCACAAGAGGTTTTCTGATCAAACCATGGCAACATTCATTAATATGATGCTGCCATTGTGAAAGACCAGACAAATAAATGCACTGCAAACAATTTTCCTTACTTATTAATATTTTCATCTGTTGTAAATATTCTTGATTCCCTAAAAGATAGTCTGGACAGTTCAATTTGAGTTCCCTATGATAAAGTATAGGGCACGTTCTACTCCTGCTGGAACTTGATAATCATTAGATCCTACGATGTGGGGGTCTGAGACTCCTATCAGGTCTCAGACCCCCACATACCCTTAGTTTCTTTAACATCACTGTAGAAAGCCTCAGATGCATTGCTGACACTAAAACAATTGCCTTTGTTGATCTTTCCATTTAGAAGTAATTTAAATGAAACAACCAAATGAAGGTAATTCTGTTGCAACTTGGGATTTCTGGATATTGGAATCAGCCATGCTTAATGATGATTTGGATGATTTCAACAGACAGCCGAGTTACACATGAATGGAAGTGCAAACTTTGTTAAAATAACCAAATTTTCATTTTGTGACCAGCCAAATAGGTTAAAACAGGCAAAGAGTGACAACAGGCCTTTAGTGAATAGACCTCTTTGTTTAGCTTGTCTTCACACGCTCTTATGTTTGTCTAGATTTAAGCACAACTGAAGGGCAAGCAATGTAGGAGATCTTTTTATAGTGTTTATTTCCTGTGTTGAATAGCGTGGTCGGAGGTCACACTATAGTGATACTACACACAGTACCCACACATACTAGCATTTATTTTCAATGTGAAAATATGCTGGAAATGTGGGAAACAATGCTGTAAGTATTTTATTCCATTAAAACAAAATAAAAACAAACGGAATTATTAAAGGGACACTAACCACCAAAATCATTAGTGTAATGTAGTGGTTTTGGTGACAGAGACTGTCTTTGCAGTCTCTCACATGCAAATACTGCCTTTTCTGACTTTTACTGGCCGTCACTCAGACTGCCCCAGAGGAGCTTCCATTACAGTTTTGCAATCCTTACAGATTAGAAGTTAGTAATGATTATCTCAGCTAGGAGAAGAGTGGCAGCACTGGTATGGGATATAAGGAATATCTCTCTATAACTATATATCCCAAATCACTTGGCACTCACCTTGTATGACAAGTATAAATGGATACTGCCGAGGTGCCAAAAACCCACATTGAATGTATAAAGGCTAATGAGGGGTTGCACTCAAAGGTCTTTCAAAAAAAACTAAGATTTTTAATTAATCATTAAAAAAATTACAAGTGTCTGACCAACATTTCGGACCATCCAGGCCTTTCTCAAGATCACAGTGTAATGCAATAAAACACTATTACATAGGTAAAGAGTGTAAGAAACTCACCAATAACGAGTGTGTAGCTCATCATCCAGAAGACACATGACTTATGACGTGGAAGTGTGGTTTGCAGTGTCTCCAGTGGTTGCTACAAAACGTGTACAAAATAAGTGCAAAAAACAAAAAGATCACCCACGTGTAAAAATAAAGCAAAGAGGATCTAAAATAAGTTGCTAGCAGTGGACGGCATGCTCAGGGCAAAGTGAGGAGTGCAGATATGTACAAGAAGTGTTGTGTGAAATGTGTGACTGCAAAAAAAAATGCTAAAAATAAAATAAAAAAAATAAGTGTGAAAGAGCCCAGAGCACTGGCTGAATCCCCAAAGCACAAGGAGAGAAATATATTGTATCACACCAGCAGATGGCAGATGTGATGCATCAATGTTACTTTAAATATATAATAGATAATGTACAAAGCAAAAAATAAATAAAAAATCCAAAGCTGTGGATATTGCAGACTAAATCAGGATTCTAAATGTTCAATATTAAACATATTAAAGCTATGCAAATACATAGAAACAAACTGCCAAAGATGTTGCTATCAAAATGTAGAGCAACATACGCCACCTAGTATTGAATCCAATCATAGGAACAGAGTACACAATGTTCTCATTAAGCCCTTGGGGAAGGGGGGGGGGGTCACAGTGTTCAAAAAGTGAATCCAGTGAGTCTCCCTTTGTAGGAGTAATTTGGATCTATCCCCTCCACGTGCAAGGGGTGAAATTTGATCTATGGCGATAAACTTCAAAGTGGGAAGTCTATGTTGTGCTGCCAAAAAAGTGTTTTGCTACGGATTTATCAGCCCACTGGTCCCTAAACAGGTGTCCCCTTATCGGATCCCTCAATGTGAGATCAGTCCTAGGCAAATCCACATGGGCATGTAATTAGATACATTACATGATCCGTTGTACATGTAATGTATTGTGATATGGGGAGACGTTTGCCACTGTGTGTATGTGAAAATGTGCTTCCACTGATCATGTGGCTGCAGGTAACGCAGCCACTACATTTTAAGGTACCTTTTTAGATCAGTGAAATCAAATTAGCCAACTTAAAGGAACATTCCACTGCCAAAATAAAAAAATCACTTTTTAGTAGATGTATCGACAATGAAAAACATATTTAATTCATTTGATTTCATTTAATTATTCATCTGAAAACAGCTTTCAAAAACTGCAGATCTCGTCTGAAGCATTTGCAAGCCCTCCCGCTAAGAATTTCTGTGGCTGTCCAATCACAGACTTTCCAATGCAGCTCAATGAGACATTTTTGCCAGACAGGTACTCTGAGCAATCCCTGCCTTGAGTTTAGGTCCACTGAGCTAACCAAACCAGGAAAATAGCAGGACCGATTGCCTGCTTGATAAATGTGCCAATTTCTATTGATATATGCAGATTGTGGTTCACGCAAAGCATCTCATCAAGCTAGTGTGGTTTTAGGTGTGCGGAGTGTCCCTTTTATTTTGAGAGTTCCGGCTCCACATTAAAAGCACAATGCTGTAACACCAAATATAAATATTAATGCATGATGTAGCCTCTCGCACACACTCACTAGTTTACAAATGGTGCAAAACAGACATATGTGAAACTAATTTTAATGCAGATTTATATAGTTATATTTAAGTATTATACAAAACAAAATCTTTAATATTTGCTATTTACAGAAAGAGAAAAAGAAATTGTAAAACAAAGACATTAGAAATTGGACAAAAAAAAAAAAAAAACACAAGCACCCCAAACTGCCCAGCAGACTATAGCTGTCCTAAAATTAATTTCTTTTATCCATTCTGAGCTTGCGGCTTTGATGGAAAGTTAAAATGTTGCTTTCCCTGCTTTATACGAGCCTGGGTTCCACCATTACATGGGTAACCATTAGATGCTCTCATTCAGTAACAAGTAATACCAGTGGATTGCGATCACAGCGTTCCGTTTCGGACCATTCCTACGGAATTAATTCACTGTTCATTTGGCGGTTTTTCCTTTAGCCTTGCCTTGCTTTTTCCCTCCAGTCTTTTCTGGTTTTGATGCTTTGGTATTCTTTGGCTTTTTTGCCTGTAAATAAATAGGAAAGGTTTTGTGTATTGTTTGCTGCTTGTTTTTATCTACATCAATCTTTTCTTGTTCATTTTTTTTTATTAATGTTGCACTAGACTATCCTGTGCACCCCTCCCTCCCTCCCAACCTGAAGTGCTTCCCTCTTTGCTCCAAATATGTTGCTGTAACTTATGTCATCATTTAAGCTCCTACAGATAAAGCTGTATTATTACTACCAGAAACCATAAAATACCGGAGCACATGGAATATGTTTAGAGGTGCTTTAAAAAGAAGGGGAGTATGACTGGCCGATTTCCAAGAACATGCAACCAGTTAAAGAGACACTATAGACACCCAGACTACTTCAGCTCATTGAAGTTGTCTGGTTGCCCTGTCCCAGGTTCATTAACCCTGCAAAGCTAATTATTGCCGTTTTTAAGAAACAGCAATAATTACCTTCATGGGTTAACTCCAGTCACTAGAGGGACTTCCATGACGTTAGGCAACGTTTGGTTGCCTGACAGACGATGGACATCCTCACACAATGCATGGGGACGTCCAGCGTACCCGAATCCCCATAGGATAGCATTGTATAATGCTTTCCTATGGGGAAATCCTGATGCAAGTGTGGCCATTGTCACGCATGAGCATTAAGTCATAAGCGGTGGGGAAGGTGCGAAGACAGACCCGAACCAGCGCCGAGGGACATTGGCGCTTCTGCACCATGGGTGGGGGGGAGATATAGTCCTAGGAAAACAACTTTGTTCTCCTGGCACTATAGTTTCCCTTTAAAGGGAGCTCAATTATCAACTGTATAGTTTTTAACAGCAGAGACTAAGGCCATCCTCACTGTTCTGCTCAGCAATTTTATGGGTCGATCATTTGTGAAATGTTTTAAAGAAGAACAATCACTATTTCCATGTTTGCTGCGGTGAATTGCAGAGTGGTGCTAAATGGAACATCTAAAGGAGATATATTGTAAGCGTGCACGTGTGCTTTTCTAAATCAGTTCTGTATGCGCCATACGCATGTCAATACAAAACTTAACTTACATACTTTGTCTTTGCCCAGCAAATCATGAAAATGGAAATAAAAGAACACCTTCAAACAGCTAAGTTTTGTTAGCAATTAGGTTGTGCTAAAATAAAGGCAATTACAGATCTTTTATGGGGGCCCTGTAACCCTAGTATAACATTACTACATTAGTAGAAAACACTATTTGTTTTAGAAAGGCAAGCATTTATAACCCAGCAAATATACAACAATCATAACCAAAAACTCTAGCATTGGGTGTGAGAAAACTCCAAGACAAAAATACACAACGAACTGGGAAACAAAGCAAGCGAATGTCACATGCCGACTAAATATCACAATTACCTTGATCATTGCATCAGTTTCAATGTCTTCCTCTTTCTCTTCGTTCTGAGACTCCGCTGCCTCCTCATTGTTCTCTGGATCTAAAGATGAAACAGCCTCTCGTTTTGAAGCCTTGACTATTTGGATAGAATAAGGCGTCAGGTGGGTTTCCTTGTTGTAGCCACGGGTAAAGGCAGCTTTAACCTGTGAAAAGAAGTCAAGAAACATTAAACATTGTTCATTTTACTGGGACAGCTATGCTGCTAAGATAGAGAAAGATATAGATATATATATATACACACACACACACACACACACACACACCCACATCCATCTCTATCTATCTATATCAAATACAAACATATATATATATATTAGAATCTGTATTTTACTTTATTGGGAAGATGATTATATTAATCACCATACTGCAAAGTAAAAACATCACAACATGTAATTACATTTTGGCAAAGCACAGATCTAAAACCTTAGCACAGCGTCATACAGGTCCCAGGCTTCCTGAGGTTGATGGGAGTTACTCTTCCTTGTAGCAGCCACAGTTCAGGAGTGCTGTCATTAATTTGTTCCCTCTTGCTTTGCAGACAAGTCAAATGATGATTTGGGAAGAAAGATACAGTGTCTCACTCCCTGCAGCACATCACTTGCATAATAGTATAGAGAATGGGAGAGAATTGCAGCCAGGCAGGAGCAAGTGTGTGTATTTAAACATGTCTACACATCTGTGAGTATGTGCCTGCTCTCTTTCACTGTGGCTGGAATGGCAAGGAACAAGCACAATCTCTGACACGGTCAAAGGACGACTAAAAACCAGTCTTTTGTTTTGTTGTTTATTGTAAATCAGAACCACATGACTGAATTTCCACCTAACACGTTACAGCTTTATGCATCTAATGTGTACATAATGACATTCAAATAAGCCTTAATATTAGAGCTAATGCACCTTTAATGTTAGAGAAAAATCAAGCCATATCCTTGTGTGCAGAGCTGGTGGAAATTACACGCTCAGGCAGTAGCTGCTATTTGCATGGATTTTGGTAGCTGCAAACAGAAGCTGCTGGGTGGGAATCTAACCCCCAATACTCTCAGGCAGGGAAGTGAATATTGGGGGATTCCATTGTGCAATGTCAATCCCACCATGTTGTACAGTTTGTAACACACAGTGTGATGTCACCTACTAAGCAGTTTAGGGTTTGAAAACTTAACTTTTTGTGATTTAGGCATTCTTTTCTGGATCAGCAATCTGGATTCCTGGAAAACTGAACCTGATTCACTTTTGCACTTTTCTTCACCTTGTTAATCTCTAATCTCAAAAATAAAGCAGATTTGTATTGATGACCACCTTTGGGTAGTCCAGCTGCTTTAAACTACATCTCCCAAGATACTCTGCCTTTTCTGAATGCCAGGAGATGTCCACGTCTGAATGAAATAGGACAGGACACAGGCAGACTGTATAGTTGTTGCTGACACACCATCACTAGTGAATCCTAACATGGATTATCATCATACCTTGGGATCAAGTTTAGAAAAGGGTCCAGGTTTTCCTCCCCAATTGCATATTTCCATAATGTTATCAAAATCTTCTTTCATCAAGTAGTAATTGTCCATCATATCCACCACGTCCTGCACGCCGTCGGCTCCACGCACTGACAGGGGCCTGACCAGTGTGTCTCTCATGTAAGGTAAGTAGTCCAGGTTCAGATCACGCTTGCTTGTATGGGTTCTAAAATGAACACATTGTAAAACAATTATATAGGCTGTAGAACACAGCTGGTACACACACATATTTAACTACATTTGAGGATATTCATATCATAACAGTTTTAAATTTGTTTAAAAAGATAATCCAGGAGAATAAGATTCACAGAATAATTTTGAGGGGTAGTGACACTTTAGTAGTGCAACTGTGAATGACCAAGTGTTTAGAAAACTGTGTGGGTCAGGAATGCTCAGTGAGGGTTTGTGTGTTGTATTACACCTACTGAGTGGTATTATCTTCTATTTGTAGAGATACAAACAAGGTGGGAACTAAAAGATGGACTGTCTGGAGAAAAGAGCACAAGGAGAACATAGGGACCACAAAAGAGGTACAGCAAGAAGTAAAGAGAAAAAGAGAGGACCAAGAAGGACATTTCAGACAAGGGTGAAACAATATCGGCAGTAATGTCACTTCCTTAGAACTGGGAAACTCTGGTTCAGATCCTTGTCAGACCACCATACCAGTAAGTGTCCTTGGTCTAGACCAGCGAGTCCTAAACTGTGTGGGCACACGGGAGCCGCAAGATATTTTCTCGGTGCTACGATCATGCACCGGGAACCTTGCCTCCCTCTCCCCTGTCGGCTGAGAGGGAGGCAAGGTTCTGGAGGGGAGATCAGCAATCTTCCTCTTGTCCCACTAGCAGTGTAATGCTGCAGCCGGCAGGGGAGGGAGAGAGGACCCTGGGGAGCTCTAACCTGCAGCTCCGCCAGGTTCTCCTCTCGTGAGCTTGAAGCATTGCCACGGAATGCTCCGAAACTCGTGAGAGTGAACTCTAGCAGCTCCTGAGATTTCTGCCAGATCCATGCATCGGATCAAAAGAGCAGCTGCTTAAATATCATTACATAGCAGCAAACAAATATTTGAAGCTGCTGGTGCCTCTGGAGTCCCACGGACATCAAGGTGTAGAGTCCCCCAGAGTCTTGCAACTGTGCATAAACCTTCTATTTGGCCACCACTAACCAATGCTCACAAGCAGAAAAATACATGAAGACTAATTTTTAAACAGTCCTGTTCACTGATGAGTGCCGTGCAACCCTGGATAGTCCAGATGGATGGAGTAGTGGATGGTTGGTGGACAGCCACCCTGTTCCAACAAGGCTGCGACGTCAGCAAGACGGTGGTGGAGTCATGTTTTGGGCCGGAATCAAGGGAAGAGAGCTGGTCGGCCCCTTTAGGGTCCCCGAAGGTGTAAAGATGACCTGTGCAAAGTATGTGGAGTTTCTGACTGACCACTTTCTTCCCTGGTACAGAAGGAAGAACTATGCTTTCCATAATAAAATCATCTTCATACATGACAATGCACCATCTCATGCTGCAAAGAATATCTCTGCATCAATGGCTGCTATGGGGATAAAAGGAGAGAAAGTCATGGTTTGGCCTCCATCCTCCCCTGACCTCAATCATATTGAGAACCTTTGGAGCATCCTCAAGCAAAAGACCTATGAGGGTGGGAGGCAGTTTACATCCAAACAGCAGCTCTGGGAGGCTATTCTGACATCTTGCAAACAAATTCAAGCAGAAACTGTCCAAAAACTCAAAAGTTCAATTGATGCAAGACTTGTGAAGCTGCTATCAAATAACGGGTCCTATGTTAAATGTAACGTGACCTGTTAAAATGTTTAAAAAGTTAAAATGTTGTTATAAGTTTGATTGAAATAGCTTTTGATTTCAGTAAATATGCTGCAAACACAACAAATGACAGTTTTCAGTTCTTTACAACCTATAAAGTGTTTTGAGGGGGCGGAGCTAGCACCCGACGGCAACGGTCGCTCTCTGCTTGAGCTCCGACAAACGGGCACGAAAAACGCCCTAATCCTGCTGAACACAGGGGTGTAACACCCCCCAACAAGCCTCGGACAGCTCTCCTTACGATGGGGAGAAAAACTAAGAAACCCCGTCCGGATCGACCGAGATTCTGTGCCGATATCGGCGACCTCCTGAGGGGACCGCATGGCGCGGGGAGAACTGACATGGCGGCGGACATGGGAGATTTCTCAGATGACTCGGCTGACTACTCCCTCCACGATACAGAAGAGCGGGGAATCAACCCTCCAACATCTGCCCAGCCAGCAGCCAAAGGGTCAGAACCACTCACCACAGGGATACTTACCGGCCTCCTGGCGGACCTCCGCCACAGCCTCTCCTCAGAAATCTCCCAGGTGAGAGAGGACCTCAAGGGGTTTAACGGGCGCCTAAATATAATTGAGCAGACAACCACAACGCATGCAGCCCACATCCTAGGGCTGCAGAATCAGATTGCCACTCTCACTGCAGCTCACACCACTCTGAGTCACCAATTAGCAGCAATGGAGGACAAGAGAAGGTGGAAACACCTAAAGATCAGGGGCCTCATGGACACTATCACACAAGCAGAACTGCCCCACTGCCTGCGTAGGCTCTTCACAGCACTGTTGTCACCCAAACAAGCAAAAGGTATCACACTAGAGGGGATGTTTTGGCTCCCAAAGCCTCCTGCAGCTGCGGCCTCCAACACCAGCGACCTACTGGTCAAATTCCAAAACGGCCAAGATAAGGCAGCCATCTTGAAAGCAGTGAGGGGGAAACCCCCATTCCGCTTTGAGGAAATGGACATTACCTTCTACTCAGATCTCTCCCGACCGACACTTCAGTGGCGGAAGACGCTACGACCCCTCACATCCATACTATCAACGAAAGGAATCAAGTACCGATGGGGCCCAACACACATGCTTATTATCCAGCACCAAAACACGGAGATCAAGGTAGCGGAGGCATCGCAGATAGAGGCAACCCTGACCACTCTGGGCCTGAACCACGCAGCAACGCCGGCACCGACAACATGGGACCCGGCCAACTCTGTCCCGTTCATCCCGGCAAATCGGAACATACCCAGCCGTGCAACCACGTGACTCTGGACATTACATCTTTTCATTTATATAGTTTCTTTTATATATGGTTACTTAACCTCTTGGGATTTTTTTTTTTTTCTTCTTCTTCTCGTATTATGAGGCACAGGCACCTCATAGGGCCAGCCTCACGCTGAGAAACTGTAGACGCAGCATAAGTTATACCGTTTGTATTGTACCCCCTCTGTTTTTTGTTTGTGTTATATACACCGCTTAGACACGGTGCAACATACCACACCATGCACTAACAGCGGGCCGCACCCATCTCCGCCACCTCCCAGACCTAAACAAGCCGAAACTCAGAAACACTAGCTCCTTAACGAACACCTTACCCCCCCCCAGCTCCGCGCTAGGAACCACTTACACTTACTCAACCAAGTGGAGCTGAGCCCACTCAGCACCCAACCCACCATAGAAATATATCGCACTTTCTCTCACTTTCTGATACCACAGAGCCATACATGTCCCTGACACCTACACTAACCACAACCATCGCTAAAGACATGACCATGGCAGTAACAAGCTACATTACCATAAACAAAAACAAAAAAAAAAAATCACAGCCAACATCGCTATCCCACCAATGTCTGCAGAACATTAAAAACAGTGATATGCTTCATTGAATGTATTACACGCAATATATATATCTTGTTGACTGTGACAAAATAAAGAATTTAAAAAAAAAAAAAAAAATTTTGAAACTTACTGTGCGTAATAATTTGGAACAGTGCATTGTAAGTTTTTTATGTTTAAAAAAATAAAATAAAATACTGTTATCATTAGGTTTGTTCAATAAAATTTTAATTGTACTCTTAATAGTTGATAACATGAGAATTATGCTGACTTATTTACATCAATTATTGAGGTAAATGAGAAAAATATAATTTGCATAATAATTTGGAACAGGGTGTATATGATTCTGCGTGTTTTGTGGAGGTGACATTGAGTATGTTGTAGGTAATGGATAGGGTCCTCCTCGGCAGGGAGGTTTACAGACGAACAGAAAGGATGCTTTTAATGCACCTGTCTGTATCGCCGGGATGCCTATGCTCATGACTTGGGTTTTGGCCATATTCATTTTGTAATATGAATATTTTCCATAGTCACTGATCAGACTCAGGAGGTTTGGGAGGGAGACCTCTGGTTGGGATAGCATAATTACGACGTCATCGGCAAAGAGGTTGGTTTTGAACTCCCTCTCTCCCACTCCGATACCATGTATGGCGTTATTTTGCCTATTCAGTGCAGCCAGATGCTCCAGCACCATGACATAGCAATGGAGACAGTGTGAACCCCTGCAGCATGGTGTTGGTTATGTGGAAGGGGTCCAAACCGAACCCTGCATTTAAAAGCTGTGCTGTTTGTGATACAAGGCCCCGACCGCCACCATGAACTCCCGCGGGACTCCAAACTTTCCTAGGACCCTGCCAGGAATCCCCGGTGCAGATGGTCGAAGGTCTTCTCCGCATCTAGCGAAAGCACCAGGTATCCCTGTTAGGAGTGCTTAAGGCCATACATGATGTCCAGGACCTTGCAGGTATTATCGCCCCCTTGTCTCCCCTTAATAAATCCTACTTGGTCTGGGTGTATGACATGGGGCAGAATGCAGCTGAGTCTAGTGGCCAGGATTTTGCATCCATATTGAGGAGCGATATAAGACAAAAGTTTTGTGGGTGGGTGGTTTCCCAGGTTTAGGGAGGATGACTGTATGGGCTAACAGGGTTTCTTGAGGCATCTTGCCCGAGTTTATGGCTGCGTTTAATGTGTCCACAAATCGACCTCATCTTCTGATAGCTGAGGATAGATCGTGTTGTTGGGTCGGTGACAGTGTGGGCAATAGGATGGGATCCAAATATGTGCCTATGTCAGAACCAGTTCAGTGATATATGTTTTTTTTCAATACGAATGTTATTTAACTTGGAGTATTATATTGTGCCAAGACTTTGTCCCCTGTGTGGGAGAGGAGGTGTGCTATTTTTTGAGTAGCAAGCACCTTACCTTCTTTGTTCCCTTGCAGGTAGTGAGTAGTCTTAAGTCTTCTCAGCATGTATCTTGTGTTGTTAATCGCCTGTTGATTAAGCAGTCTGGTAATCTGTGCTATTTGGGTACGAAGTGCGTCAGATGGGGTGATTTGGTTTTGTCTAAGCATGACATAGAGAGTCTTTTGCCAATCCTTGGTCTAGGCTTGGGCACTTTTCTTAAGGTAGGAAACCCTATTTATGAGGTTGCCCTTGGCCACTGCCTTATGCGCTTGCCAAAGAGTGGAGCAGGAAGTGTCCTGTGTCTTATTTTCAATAAAATATTGGGACAGTTGTGTCTGTATGTCCCGAGCAAACTCCGGATCCCGCAGGAGAGATCCATTGAGTCTCTAGGGGCTACGGTGTCTAGTGTCGTAAAGGTCTTTTAACATTAGTGTCACCGGTGCATGGTCAGACCACCCCCCCAGCCCTTTCATCCATTGCAAGACCTGGTCTAGGTCTCATCGAAAACGAGTCATGGACCGAGGAGAAATAAGTATACTCTCATTCCCCCCTATGGTGTACCCTCCAAATGTCAAAGATGATGTTCCTGTAATAGTTTTTGGAGCACACGGCATTGTCTCTTTAGGGGATGAGAGCTAGCTCTACTGGATGGGAGAGTTGTGTCTAAAGTGATGTCCATGATGTGGTTGAAATCACCACATATGACCATTATGCCTGTCTGTATAGGATTTTTTGGATAAAGTTTCTCTTGCCAGTTTTCGGGGCATATATGTTGGCTATTGTATACTGCATTTCGTTAAGTGTTCCCAGGATGATCTACCCTCCTCGTCAAGAAGTTGGGAGTGTAGCTGGAAGGCTACATGTTTACTAATAAGGATCGAAGTCCCTTTGGTTTTTGTGTTGGCGGTGGCATGGAACTGGTGCAGATATTCCCGCTGGAGAATAGTAGGGTGGGAATCCTTCAGGAAATGCGTGGGAAAATATAGAAAATGTAGTGTAATTTCTGCACTATATCTGAATTTTGCAACATATTTCTAATAATAATTGTCAGCTTGCTGCATTAGAACACACTCTGATAAATGCTCTCTCTATCCAGTGTAGCAGATAATCCCTGAGCATCAAAAATGGATGCCCTTCTCACGTGGGCAGAAGGGGATGAGAGAGGAAAAGTGGAAAGGAAAGGGCATGCCATGTGTATGGTGGGGGTGGGGGGAGCGGTAGCCAACCTTCGTCCTTCTCCTGTCTTAAGGCCTGAAGCACCTGCACAGTGGGGGTCATTGGGTCCGCAGCCTGAGCATCGGTTAGCCTTTTAAATTTTTCAATGCACCATGTCTCAACTATGTACAACCTTTAAATCTCAATGTTAGCTGTGGGCCTCATCCACTAAATTGCCGTCTAACCATGGCAATATCGCACTGTAACAAGGCACAAATAAAACATTAAACATAGTAATCAGAACTTGCGTTATTTTTACAGCCGTCTGGCTCTCTTCCATTCTGGAGAAAGTCTGCGTGCTTGCCGGTCGAATTCTGGGCTCTCACGCAGTTCCATACCCCAGCCTCGCAGCACCTTGTGGCCTTCTTCAGGTTTGGCTATCACCGTCTTGCTATTTCTGTGGATCAGCAGCTTGACCGGGAATCCCCAGCGGTAAAGCAGATGGTGCTGCGTAGCAGGCCTGTGATGCTGGAGAAGGCCCGTCTCTTCCTGAGTGAGAAGGCCGAAATGTCCGCGAAGATCAGAGTGTCCGGTGTATGGGGCTGGCAAGTCTCTGGCATTTCTGTTTGCTCTCAGGATAGCATCTTTGATATGGTATCATTAGGGACCTCTGCCGGTATAGACTTGGGCTTTTGGACTCTGTCTATGAGTAGCATTTCCATTGGCAAATCTGGTTGGAGGGCCTTGAATAGGCCTGTGACATGCGCTTGAAGCTCAGCCGGTCCAATGGCTTCCACGATGCCCCGCAACCGGAGATGATTCTGTCGCCCTCTATCCTCCATATCAGCTAGCCTCGTGTCATACGCATCCAGCTGTGCTTTGAGGCTTTCCACCTGGGAGGCTAAGTCGTTAAACAGTTCTTAAAAAGTTTTAGTATTTACTCTGGGAGCACACTATGGCACTACTGGCACCATAACCACTACAAACTGCTGTAGTGGTTATTGTGGCTGGATTGTTTCTTTAAATAATCTACCAGTGCCCCTCCCAAGATTAGGTTCTGGTGTATTTCAACAGTGAGAGACAGAATAAAAAAAATAAAAAAAAATACAGAAAAACGCATGTAAAAAAAGTTATAAATTGATTTGCATATCAATGAGTGAAATAAATATTTGATCCCCTATCAGCAAGATTTCTGGCTCCCGGGTGTCTTTTATACAGGTAACGAGCTAAGATTAGGAGCAGTGAGGAATCAGCCCATAACTACATGAGAAGATCTTGTAAATGAGATCTCAAGGCAGCTGGGACCATAGTCACCAAGAAAACAATTGGTAACTGCGAAGGACTGAAATCCTGCAGCGGCCACAAGGTCCCCCTGCTCAAGAAAGCACATGTACAGAACCGTCTGAAGTTTGCCAATGAACATTTGAATGATTCAGAGGAGAGCTGGGTGAAAGTGTTGTGGTCAGATGAGACCAAAATCTTTGAATCTTTAGCATCAACTCAACTCACTGTGTTTGGAGGAGGAGGAATGCTGCCTATGACCCCAAGAACACCATCCCTACCGTCAAACATGGAGGTGAAAATATTATGCTTTGGGGGTGTTTTTCTGCTAAGGGGACTGGACAACTGCACCACAACAAAGGGATGATGGACGGGGCCATGTGCTGTCAAATCTTGGGTGAGAACCTCCTTCCCTCAGCCAGGGCATTGCAAATGGGTCGTGGATGGGTATTCCAGCATGACAATGACCCAAAACACACAGCCAAGGCAACAAAGGAGTGGCTCAAGAAGAAGCACATTAAGGTAAAGGAGTGGCTCAAGAAGAAGCACATTAAGGTTCTGGAGTGGCCTCCAGACTTTAATCCCATAGAAAATCTGTGGAGGGAGCTGAAGGTTCAAGTTGGCAACGTCAGCCTCAAAACCTTAATGACTTGGAGAGGATCTGCAAAGAGGAGTGGGACAAAATCCCTCCTGAGATGTGTGCAAACCTGGTGGCCAACTACAAGAAACATCTGACCTCTGTGATTGCCAACAAGTGCTAAGTTGAAGGGGTCAAATACTTATTTTACTAATTGACATACAAATCAATTTATAACTTTGACATGTGTTTTTATGGAATTTTTTTTTTGTTATTCTGTTTCTCACTGTGAAAATACACCTACCATTAAAATTATAGACTGATCATTTCTTAGTCAGTGGGCAAACATTCAAAATCAGCAGGGGATCAAATACTTTATTCCCCTCACTGTATGCCACTGCGCTGTACATATATACAATCTGAAAACTTTTTTGACTTGGGGTGCATTGAAAAATTATTAAAATATTAAGGGCGCCCAACGTACAGGGAGCAACCCCGACCCCATTTACGCCCGCCAACGGCACGAGACAGGGCTGCCCCCTCTCCCCTTTGCTGTTCGTCCTCTCGTTGGAGCCTCTCTTGCAGAGGATACGGGAGGACGAGCACATAACCGGGGTCAAAGCGAGGGACGAAGAATTCAAAGTCTCCGCATACGCGGATGATGTCCTGGTCACGATCACCAACCCGAGAGAATCCTTGCCCCGACTTATGACCCTCCTAGAGGAATACGGACGCATCACAGGCTATCAAATAAATTTGGAAAAATCGGTGGCCATGCCAATAGAAATGGATGCAGACAGCGTTAACGACATTAAAAACGCCTATCCCTTCAAACTTACGAGATCCGAAATTAAATATCTCGGCGTTAAACTCACCTCAGACCCGGCGAAACTATATAGTGCCAATTACCCGCCTATAATCCAGGCGCTTTGTCGTGACTTGGAAAAATGGCATGAAAAGCCCATATCGTGGATTGGCAGACAACACGCAATTAAAATGACACTACTCCCACGACTATTGTTCTTGTTCCAGGCCCTACCCACCAAAGTCACTAAACAAGACCTGCAGATGATCCAGAAACACATAGATAACTTCATTTGGGCGCAGAAAAGACACAGGATTGCTAGACGAGTAATGTACCGACCGAAAGCGAAGGGTGGACTGGGACTCCCACTCATATCAATACTACCTGGCGGCGCAACTAGCCCAAATAATAGCATGGCACACCCCGGAGGGTTTGCACAGGTGGGTAGACCTAGAGACAAAACTTATGTGTACAGACCTCCCACAATTTTGGATCTGGGTACCCAAACAAGACAGACCCCCCCTACGCACCTCTTGTCCGGCGATCCTTAATTCCATAAGGATCTGGGATCTAACAGCCACCAAATACGCACTAAAACACACACCCTCGCCACTGACTCCATACTTACGGAACAAAGCATTCGAACCCGGGCTGACCGCACGAGATTTTAGGGGGATAGAAGACACAGGAATGCAAAGATACGGACATATGTATGACGGCGATTCCTTCAAAACCTTTGACACCCTAAAAGCCATGTCCCCCCTGACAACCAAAGACGTATTCAGATATGTACAGTTGAGAGACTTTGCCAAAAACCCAGATATTAAAAAAGCAGCACAGACCCCTATGACAAATTTCGAACAAATGTGCAACGCAGAATCTACACAAAAGGGACTGATCACGGCCATATATGCGCAGTTGAGTTCCCCAGAAAAGGGAACCGCAGACCCTAGATATATACACCAGTGGGAGGAGGACCTAGGGGGGGCTATAGAAGGGGAGGACTGGGTGGATATCTGGGAAGCGACGGCCAAGACGTCAATTTGTGTACTACACCAGGAACAATCCTATAAAATGCTCATGAGGTGGTACACAACACCGGTACAACTCCATAAGATGGGGAAAACCACGACAGACACATGCTGGAAAGGCTGCGGAGGCAAAGGCACCTTTGTTCACATGTGGTGGGAGTGCCCTGAAGTGACCAAATACTGGAAACGGGTCCAAACATTAGTGAAAGAGGTACTCACGCGACACATAGACTTAGATCCCTGGGCGATGCTACTGTCCCGACCAACGGACGGCCTTCCTAGGAAGGAGCAACAACTTTTAAATAAACTCACACTGGCTGCGAGACGAGCCCTCGCGCAAATGTGGCTTCAACCTACAGTCCCCACAGACAACGACGTGATAGTTAAAATCAAAGACTCCTATTTGATGGACAAACTCACAGCACAAATCAGAAATACGGAAAAAACATTCCAAAAAATCTGGCTTCCCTGGGAAGTGTACGCTAACGAAAATGTTATATAGCCTGGAAAAGGTTTGCAGTGGTTTGGCGGACCTCCTCCCGCCGTGCGCCCCGAGATATACCAACTATTTCCTTTCCCCCTCCTGCTCCATCCCCACAGCACCGGTTGGTGGCCCCCCCCCCCTCCTCCCCAACTTTTCAAACCACTGAATATACGAGACTCCAAAACTTAGGACAGCCGGCTGACATGACCGCCGGGAGACGCAGTCGACAAAGACCCAAACCAAGACGCAACGGCTAGACGGAAATTAGGATTGTGTAAGACTGAAGGTTATTATGATGTCTCAATGTTAAATACACTGTAAAGTACTAGTTTTTGTTCACGTTTGATAAAAGGTCCTGAACGGACCCAAAACCGAAAACAGGCACCACACGGTCCACGATAACCAGACCATCCGACAAACCTTTTACTCTTCATTGTATAACTCACTGCAATGTATGTTACATAAGGACCCCTGCGAGGGCCACTTTTTGCTGGTCAGTGGTACTTGGTGTCGAACTAAAAATAAAGAATTTAAAAAAAAAAAAATATTAAGGGCGCCTTGAACCTAAAAAGTTTGGGAATCACTGATCTAGACATCTAACAATATATACCTGCCTAGCTGAAATCTTCATAGATTGTATGCTTGTTTGAGCACATCGTACAAATATCCCCTTTCCAAAATTGTAAAGCACAATGAAATTATTGTATTAATGATAACAACAAGAAACCATATGTGAGCTATAGGTAGTAAGAGAATATGAGGTAGAGTATCTAGATGGCAGACAATATGATTTAAAATATACTCATCTGCATTAAGAAAACCTGCAACATAGTTAGATTGAGCATAACATTTAATCTGTGCTAGTAGATGTATAGATCCAGAAAAAAGCTTAAAACAAGGCTTTTCTCCCAGCTGTCAGTCAATGCCTCGGCATGCCAAGTCATTGACTGACAAAAGAGAGCAGAAGAAACGACCCACAGGAGATCCCTCTGCTCTCCAAAGGATAGTAACCATCAGCACATAAGCTGTGGTTGCTATGGAAACTCCCTAGCCAGGGAGTATATAAAACGGAGTGATGTCAGGTTATCACATCTCTTACCTGAGACACATATGCATAGCAAGTTCCTGAGTAATGCGATCATGCTTGCCAGTCGATGAAAACTTCCCTAACCAGCTTGGGAAGTTAGGAAACTGCGACATGTAACCTTTCATCAGCTCACCGGGCAGGACACTGGCATAGATGGCCTGTACAGAAACAATATTAAAGAGGGATATGTAAAACCCTGTCGTCTAAGTCCACTTATTTTACAACTCTTTTTATTCAAGGTGAGGAAAATAAATGTGTTCATACTGGCATTACAAATTAATGGTTAGGAGAAAAATCTGATTGCCTTTAGAAAGTCACTTTCTTCCTTCTTCCTCTACAGTAGGAGTTCTTGGAAATCTTCAGCTTTCTTTATAGCTTTATGTTACAATATTAAAAGGTTTGGAAAAATACGTAACCACCAACGATAATCCTAACATGTTAATACGTCAACACAATAGTTTGATCATTTCACAATAAGATCAAAACGGGCTCCACTAATTATTTAAATCTATATTTACCTGTGTGGGCAAAAGGCTCCAGGTCTGCTTACTGCGGATCACCCGATCAACAAGGTCACCATCACAAATACTATCAGCGGCTTTGCTCATGAGAAGTAAATGCTTTTTCATGTTCCCACTGAATCCAGAAAGAAAAAAAAAAAGGGAATATTGATTAGGAGGCACGATGGTGCATGAGGGATATGAAAAAGCCATGTGAAATCAGTACTGACCCAGCTGCAGCAGGCTTCATATGGACATAGTTCTCCTGCACGAAAAGAGGTGCTAGAGAATAGTCGTGAAAGAACAGGTCTGATTTGTCAATAAGGGTCATGTGAGCAGTTTCCTCTCCACAGCCAAATACTTTGCGGACAACATCAAACGGGCCCTGCCAAAATAGGAGATCACCATGAAAAGACATGCATTGTGACACTGGTTACACCAGGAACAACAGATTACAATGTTTCACTCAGATTTCCTCTGAATACGTTAACTGCTTAAACAGGTACCCGGGGGCATGAGAAATGAAAGGTACAAAGCATGAGGCACCAGCAGAAGTTATGGTTTCCTCAAAGTATACTATACACTTTGTATCATTGCTGGTTCCTTGAAGAATGCTGCATAATCCAGTAACTAAAGGATGCACTCATGATGTATCTAGGTAACGTGCTAGTATGTACAAAAGAGTATAGAGGCTAATTTTTGCTTACCATTTTAATGTCCTTTTTAGCATTGTTGGCATTGGTCTTGGCCTCATCGTAGGACATAGATTTATTGCTAGCTGACCACATACTGAGATTGTGCAATACCTGAGGAAAGAACGCATTAATATGGGAAGACAGGATAAATTACTGCAGCAATAGAAAAGATTCAAAGACACAGTATCTTACCTGTCGGATATCCTGGTTTGCACCAAGGATGATTTCATTCATGGCTGGTGGTGGGATTTTTAATCCTTCCTTAAATGCCACAGACATCATTGCACCCTGCATTATACAAACCATAGTAAGAAAATATATAACCAAGTCAATAAAATTATGGCAACTTAAAAGATACAAAATATATTAATTACCTTCACACATCCAAAAAACACTCACCTTAATCTGTTCCAACCTTGGCCTCTGGAATCTGAGATCAAAGCAGTAGTTTGCCAACGATCGGATTTTAGGATGATTCCGGTCATTACACATACAGATGATAGGTATCTTGGAATTTTTTATCAAACCAATTAACTCCTGCGTTGAAGGGAAGACAAAATGGAAAATGCCTCTTAAGAGCCACCAGCACTCTCCTAAGGTATTTTCAGTAAAGTAGCACTCATAGAAACATAGAGAGATAGAATGTGACAGCAGATAAGAACCATTTGTCCCATCTAGTCTGCCCAATTTTCTAAATACTTTCATTAGTCACTGGCCTTATCTTATACTTAGGACAGCCTTATACCTATCCCACGCATGCCTAAACTCTTTCCCTGTGTTAACCTCAACACATTATAATCACTAGAGTTTATTGTAGCTCCTTGAAGCCTATCAAAACCCTTTGATTAACTGCTTGCTTACAACATTGTGATGTTGGAGCCAAAGGAGGAGTATTTTTGTTGCTGAATGAACTGTTATCATAGCCTCAATGCACCATAACCACTACAGTCAGCTGTAGTGCTTAGAGAGAGTCCCATTAATTAAAAATAAGCACATAAATCAGGGCTGCCCAACAGGTAGATCCCCAGATGTTGTAGAACTACAACTCCCATGAAGCTTTTTAAATTGTAAATGCATTCTAAAGGCATGCAAAGCATCATGGGAGTTGTAGTTCTAGGGCTCTACCTGTTTTGCAGCCCTGACATAAATATTATGTGAATCAGGGTACAGATTTATGCGGCAAACGACATTGTCAGAAAGCAGATGCCATCTCTTTTTTTGGCCATTGCTAGTGTATTTGGTGCTAGTAACACATTAATAGTTTACCTGTACTCCTCCTCGGTCTTCATTTCCTGACATTCCGTCTACTTCATCCATGATCAAGGCATGTTTTACGCTTACAGATTTGGATGCACCTACGAAGACCATAAAATCATTAAGCAAACATTGGCTCAATATGTACCTTTGGTCCAATTCATGCAAGTAAAATCATTTTACAATGCGGGCAACCTGGTCACAAAGGTGAATCCAGGTCAGTTTGCTTAAATAACACCTCCCTCCTCCCCCCCACACCACCCCCCGCCCCCCCCCAAAAAAAAACACTGCATACTAGAATAAAATCCTTTGATGCTGGTGTTATTCAACGACTCTGCAACCATCTCTTTCATGCTGTTTTTACTACGAGAGTCACTGGCGTTCAGTTCCACATAGCTGTAGCCCAGCTCCTGAGAAAAAAAGATGCAGTTATTTTTCTAATACTAAAGCTTATCGTCATGCTCTGCTAAGTGTATCTAATGATCAATTAAACCCAAATGATGTTCCACAGCGAGCAACTGCTGCGGCGGAGTGTGACTTATTAACAAATGAAGATGGCGTGACAAAAGAGCAAGTGTGGGGGTTTAATCACTAAACAGTGATATTGTGTAAGGGTTACTAGTTCCAGAATTTAAATGCAGTAACATCTAATGACTTCAGTAACAGCAGCCCAGGGACATACATCAACATATTTACTGTGGAATATAAAACTTACATCATGCACACCTTACAGATTCACTGGACAGCTGTGAGGGTCATTGATATTGTATTTTCAAAAAATACCCATCCTTTGTCTGGCTATACATGATAGGAGTTTTTCCAAACAATAGCTATCCAAGGAAAGGATTTTCATTCCCAAACTTTCAGATCAGCGAATGTGTGTAAATCAGACCTGTCACAGTTCACAATCTGCTACTGTCCAAATTTAACATCAAATCTGTCTGATTTATAACAGCAGCTGCCACAAACTGCTGGTCAGCAATGGAGATCACTCTGAAACAGTCACGAGCAGGATACTGTATGCTCAGACTGAACACGGCATAGCAGATACCATTACCGCCTGATTGACCTGGCAGGGTATCACATAGTAAAAGACCATCAAAGTAAAACAGAGCAATGCAATAATGGTCACAGAGCATCCAGGATAAATATCCTGGCATACAAATACCAAGAAAACGGGCTGAACATAATGAGCCCACCAGGAGTGTAAATGGAGGTGTCGGAAAAAGAATAAGCAAGGGAAATGTGGGGACCAAGTACCAACACAGGTCTCTGCAATGACAACTGTGAAAGAAGTTAGATGCAAAGCTAAATAAAAGGTGTGCTAAGGGAGGTAGTGAGGGACCTTTGGTGATATCTATCACCAGTGTAGCAGTAAAAGAGACACTATAGTCATAAGTACAACTCCAGCTTAATGTTGGGGTTCTGGTGTCTATAGCCGGTCCCTGCTGGCTGAGCAATGTAAACCATGCCTTTTCAATGCTTCCGAAGGTATCAAAAAGTGTGCTTTAATTCCATAATAAAAAGAAAGAAAAAAAGAAAGAAAAAAGAAAGAAAAAGAGCAAACAAATCTTCCAGTGGTGATTAGTATAAATGAACATACCATTAATTGGTAATATGGAAAAAAATAAAAAAAACTATTGATCTGTTGGACCTAGAACAGAGCAAACATATCCCTTGGCCTAAGGCATTCACTGAAGTGGAAATTGCTAAAGTCTATGCAACTACTTACCTCACAGACAAGGACGGCTGTAGTCGTTTTGCCTACACCTGGTGGACCAGACAGCAAGGCTGCTTTAAAAGAAGAGCCATCATCTTTACCTCCAAATTTGTTAAATTTAGCTGGAAAAAAGAAAAAAAAAAAAAAAAGGGAAAATTGTTTTAAAGGAAACAAAAATGGGAAAAATGAGAGCAAAAAGAATTTACAGCACTAGAACATAACTGACTACATTCATTGTTCATCTGCAACAGGTTTTAAAATATGTACTACATTATGAATAAAATGTTTTGTTTTTAACCCCTTCAGGACGGAGTCAATAGTGCACGTTCTGATCAAAACAAAATGTAAACAAAAACTGGAATTTGCGCTATATGTCTGCTCAACCGTAATTCACCTCTTTCATATTAAGTGCACCCACACTTATTATATATCATTTTGTTCAGGAGAAACAGGGCTTTCATTTCTCATAAACTATTCATATTTGAAACATAATTTATTATTAATACAATTTAAAAGACTTTGAGAAATTAAGATTTAAAAAAAAAAAATTGTAGATATTTTAGCTGTAAATGTCATAATACCGTTAGCTTTAACTGCAAAAAAACAAACACATATTTGGATTCAGCAAAGTCTTATGAGTACAACAATACCCAAAGTATTGCAAATGGGGTATGTTAAGTCTTTTATAGTAGCCAGTCACAAACACTGGCCAAAGTTAGCGTTCATATTTGTTTTTGTGTGAAAAAAAATAATAATAATAATATTTGGCCAGTATTTGTGACTAAGTGGCTACTAAAAATGACTGGACATACCCCATTTGCAATACCTTGGGTTGTCTACTTTTTCAAATGGTATGCCATCATGGGGGTAATTCTCATTCCTGGGCTACCATTCGGTCTCAAATGCAACATAACCAATCTGGCCAATTTCAATGTGAAAAAAATGAAATGCAAGCCTTATATTTGACTCTCTAACTTTCCAAAACACCATAAAACCTGTACATGGGGGGTACTGTTATACTTGGTAGACTTCACTGAACACAAACACAAGTATTTCAAAACAGTAAAACATATTACAACAATAATATCATCAGTAAAAGTGCCTTTCGTGTGTGAAAAATGCAAAAAAACTTCACTTTTACTAAATATATCATCGTTGTAATACAATTTATCATTTTGAAACACTAATATTTGTGTTCAGCGAAGTCTCCCGAGTAAAAGAGTACCCCTCATATACAGGTTTTATGGTGTCTTGGAAAGTTACAGGGTTAAATATAGTGTGTGCAAATTTAATTCTCTGCACTTGCTGCCTGGGTTGTCAGACACGTCAATCAAATTTTAATTAATTAAATTACATAATTATGTTAAAATATTACTTAAGCATACATGTATAATTTTTATATATATACACACACATATATATATATATATATATTTAAATTCTACGTTTACACTTATGTAGTTATTTATGTAATTATATATATTTATCTATATATAAATATTTGCAGTTATTTGTAATATATATATATATATATATATATATATATATATATATATATATATATATATAATGTCATTCTAAATGTATTGTTACCAATATATATGTATTAATAACAAAATATAGTTAGAATGAGATTACATATGTATATATAATTTATTTAAATTTTTTTTAAATAATTTATTTTATTTTATTGATTAACTATTGTAATTATAATTATATATATATATATATATATAATATATATATATATATATATATATATATATATATATATATATATATATCATATATATGTAACATTATTCTAAGTGTATTTTACGATTAATATATGTACTTATATTAACATTAAAATACATTACGTATCACGTTACATACATATATATACACACACACACACTTATTTTAGAACATGTTTAATTATTATTTTTTTACTTTCCCACCAGCAGGGGGAATGTCATGACATTTCAGACAGTCCCCATGCTGGCAGATCCACAGCCAGCTATAGGGGGCCATGTGATTGCTCTTTGAGAGCGATCACATGGCCCCCGGGGGCCTCATTTGCCTGGGGAGGGCTGCCTGGGCTGTCAGGCAGCCCTCCAGAAGAGGATTGCAGCGGAGGTGAGTACCGCGGGCCTCCAGGGGCTCAAAGCCGTTACGGCGTTCTATGCCGCTGCAGCGGCTTTAAAGCCCATTTAATGCGGGACGGCATAGAACGTCGTAACGGCGTTAAGGGGTTAAACTATATGGAGCAAATTACAGCAATTCATCAGAAGACATTCATTTAGCTAATAAATTGTTTAATTAAAAGAAAATTCTGAGCCCCTAAACCACTAGTTCTCAGTGCAATGGTTAAGGCACCAGAAGGCTGTGGGTGCAGTTCCACCATTTTTTGTCAGTGGTTTGACCTAATCTAGCAGCCAAATCCCTCTGCCACAGACGTGACAAAAAGGGATTTAATTTCCTCATAATCAGTACATTGGCCATGGTTTACTTTACAGGGATATCTGGCTTGTCCTTATCTTACCGTGGGGTGGTGCCAGGGCACTCGCAGCACCATAATCACTACAACAGTTGTGCTGCTTGAAGTGTTTCTTCAAAGGTCTTTGTACGTGTTCCAGAAAAATATATGTACTTTTCACACCCTCACCAGCTTGAACCTGTGACACAAGGCTGGGCGATCTTATGTGGATTACACCAAATTCTGACAAATCGCATGACCCAGCAAAATCAAGATTTGTCAGAACAGGCAATGTTTTTCCGGTCCACTACTGCTCAGTTGTGGTGCTTCTATTCCCATTACCTTTATAGTTTCCTGTTTTTAGCAGAAAGGAGCAGAACCCAGTATGGACTTCTGCTGCTGTAGCTCATCCACTTCAGGGTTTGACGTGCTGTGCTTTCAGAGATGCACTTCTGCTTAAGTATGTGTAGGTCAGGTTTTATTTTGCACCACTCTCATTGTTCATGAAAATCCCAGTTTTCGGTCTGAAATACTCAAATCACCACTTGTAGCACCAATAACCATTTCATGATCAGTCACTTAGAACATACTTCTTCCCCATTATGGTGCTTGGTGTGAACAGCAACAATACCTGTTGACCATGTCTGCATGCTTATAGAGTTACTGGCACACGGTTGTCTACGTATGTGAATTAACAGACCAATGCCAATGAAGAGGTTTAAACATCTATCAACTGAATGTAGAATCTACTCTCAGTGTGTTAGAAAAACAAAACTTACCAGTTTGTACTGAAAACGGTTAAACAGAGAATCAAACTCAATGAATTCCATATGGCTAATGGATTACTAGATATTCTCCAAGCACCATGAGGCATGAGAGCAAGGGTTGGTTTCTAAATAAATCGTATAAACCTGTTGCTAGCTAAAAAGATCTGGTTAAACAAAAAGCATGGGTTTTCCCTTGAAACCATTGGTTCCATAATTACCAGCAGGTTTCTTTTCCTCGCCAGAATGGTGCTGATGCCATGATTTCAGCCATTTGAGGAGTTTGTTGGCACAGCTCATATCTCCTTGCTGCCCAATGATTGCTTTAATGGACACGGGCTTGTATTTATCCACCCAGAGCAAGCTCTCACACTTGCTAGTGTTTAAATCCAGTTTCTTTGGAGGAGATTTCCGTTCATCTTTCAACGTTAAGTTCTTTTTTGAGTCGTTTGTTTCTCTCTTGAGTGGTGACACCTTCTTTCCTGGAGTAGATTTTTTGGTGCTTGGACTTGGTTTCTTCATGACTTTATCTGTTCGTTCAGGTGTTTGCATTTGCTTTGCCTTAAGTGAATAAAAAGTAGAAAAAGTTAGAATTCAATCCGTGGAATTGTAAAGCAAATGCCACATGATGCACTTTTGTCATTATAAATCACACAGGATACTGGGTGCAGAGATGATGATTTTTGCACAATTTATTGTTGAGCTTCTCCCCCCCCTCCCCTCCCCCTCCCCCCATATTTCTTTGGACTTTTGGAAACTAGTAGTTCTAGAGCTGCACTTAATAAATAATGGACAAATCACAGAGATTGTGTGTAATGCCAAAACATTCATCTAAATACTTTAGACTTGCTAGGGACCATGAACTCAGGTGGAAATGCATTACATAACTGCTTTTAAAAATTAACATTCATTCATAATAAAAAAAAAAAAAAGTTAAAACTTAAAGATCACTAAAAGGAATGCAGACCTCTTCACCTCAATGAAGTGGCCTGGGTGCATTGGTCCGTGTGTTCAAACCCCGGAATATAAAACATATTTACATTGCAGAGTTAAATCCACCTTAATAGTTGTCCTCCTAACAACCACTCTGTCCTGGATTCAAACACAGCTAAGAGCAGCATCTAATTGGAGGAGAGCAGAGTTTGGCTGTGCATGCCTTGTTCTAATCCATTGGTTCTCTACGAGAAGCAATGGATTGCAGGAGATTGTGTGTTGTGTCAGCTTTAATGCTGAAATCACCAGAGGAGGAGCTAGATGCTGCAGCAGGGGAGTACTGGAGCTGCAAACACCTTTATTTCACTTAAGTTCACTGAGCAAAGGGGAAGAACAGCGATCACTTTGCTATAAGGAAACATATACTCCTGAAATAATGATTATCTTTGTGACTAAGTTCCCTTTAAGGAATTGCAAAAACAGAATCACACCACTCTAAATGATATGATAATCTCCACTTTCAGTCCATGTATCTCAAAGTAACACAAATAATCCATTTATTTTGAATAGAGGGGAAGACAGACTGACTAAGTTGCAGTACTTCCACAAGAATCAGAAGTATGCACTAACCTCTGCTTCTGCCTTTATCACATATTTTGATTTCTTTCCAGGTAAAGTTCGAATTAAACTAAAGAGTCCATCTTCATCAAGAATCTTCGTCCCAAAACTCTCTGCCTAGATGGATAACACACACAAATACATTAATATTTACACATAGCACCACACTGCCTGACATTAAATACACAATAGACCATAGCAAAATGTATGATTTCATCCAATTGATCATTATTGCATCATGGACTACAAGAAATTGAAGTTGCAAAGAGGAAAATAAGTTAACTCTGCTGATCCATAGAACTGTACTATTCATTAAACCCCCAACTTCCAGAATACAGTTTAAAGATTTGTTATTCTCATGTACTTTGCAGAATAAAATGTAGTCCATAAAGCCTCATTTACACTCCAGGAATAGTTATCCTGTAGAAGAATGAATCTACATGTCAGAAGCCATTAGTCACTCAGTTACTGAGTGCTGAAAACATCAGCTTGGCCTCTCCTTCCAAACAGTAAAGGAAGTTTGAATTGGTGAAATCATTCCTACAGTCAAAATTCAAAACTCAAATGCAGACATTCTTTCTACATTCTGTTGCCAATTTTAGTAGGCTGTACTGGTGTAAGCGCCACATGTTATCACTGGTAGTAAGGTTTTGAGGTCCTTACCAATACCTACATTGGACCACTCTTATTTATCTATTTTTGTCACACCTACCATATGTGAGAACATTTTTATTTTTGCTTTTACACTACCTTTTTCACACCAAGTGTGAAATATCTCTAAAAAAGAATAAATAAGTAAAAAATTCTAGTTTGCCTGAAAAGCAAAGTGTATTATGCTATATTATTAAAAAAAAACATTATGTACTAGCTATACATCATTTGTTTCAATTAACCGTTAAGACTATTCCCCCCCTCCCTCCCCCTCCCCAAACACAAAGTCCTTGGTAGTGAGCTTAAAGGACCACTATAGTGCCAGGAAAACATACTCGTTTTCCTGGCACTATAGTGCCCTGAGGGTGCCCCCACCCTCAGGAACCCCCTCCCGCCGGGCTCTGGAGAGAGGAAGGGGTTAAACACTTACCTTTCTCCAGCGCCGGGCGGGGAGCTGTACTCCTCCTCTCCTCCTTGCTCGCGACATCATCAGCTGAATGCACATGTGCGGCAGGAGCCGCGCGCACATTCAGCCGGTCGCATAGGAAAGCATTTACAATGCTTTCCTATGGACGCTTGCGTGCTCTCACTGTGATTTTCACAGTGAGAAGCACGCAAGCGCCTCTAGTGGCTGTCAATGAGACAGCCACTAGAGGCTGGATTAACCCTCAGTATAAACATAGCAGTTTCTCTGAAACTGCTATGTTTATAAAAAAAAAGGTTAATCCTAGAGGGACCAGGCACCAAGACCACTTCATTAAGCTGAAGTGGTCTGGGTGCCTAGAGTGGTCCTTTAAAAGTGTTAGGGTAATGCTTTGCCCAGTACTCTGCTATTACTATTGCCACAGTGTAATCAACAGTGCTCTGTTAAAAGGCTTGGTTCAGAGTCAAGAAGCAAACTTTACGATTAGGAGTGTTAAAATCGAAACCAGAAAGACGACAAAACCACAAAAATTCGAGTCTATGATATACCTTCTCTCGTTTAGATTCGCCTCCATCACGACCCAAAACAAGATAGTTGGTCTTCTTGCTGACATTTCCAGTTACCTTTCCTCCATACCGTTCTATTAATGATTTGGTCTCATCTCGTTCTATAGACTCCAGGACTCCAGTGATAACAAAAGTCATACCCTCCATACAGTTATCAGCACCCTTACAGACAAAACATGAAAATAAATAAATAAAATAGTCCATATAAACAAAAAAATAAAAAGAGAAGAGAAGGAACAAGATGGCATTTTGCTCCTCAATATCTACTTAAATTTTCCAGCTTTCCCCTCGATGTTCTATTAATACGTTATGCCGGTTATCGGTTTTGTCTATTTACTGATTATTTCCCTAAATGACCAATTTCTCTTTTACTTTATATGACGCTAATTTATTGGTTGTAATGAACATTAAAAAAAAAAAAAATAAAATAAATAAATTACAAAAACACTCCACTAGTTCATCGTTGGATGATGGGCTGCAGGGTGCCGAGTATCTCTGCTAAATGATAAGTAAATTATTTAGCAATTATGTGAGACTTGATGCCCCCATGGACGCCAGGCACCATAACGACTTCACTCACTTGTAGTTATGGCAACTACTGTGTCCACTAGAAATTGTTCAGCTCATTGACCATGGGGACTTGGATTACATACTTTCTTCCTATCAATATATCAATTGACATTTTGAATATTGTAATCAGTGTAGACGTTTGGCTCTCGCCAAGAGGAGTCACTTACCTCTGGAATTTCCTTAGATCCCAATGCTTTTGGACCTTCTCGGTTAAGAAAATTCCGGTAGGCTTTGTAATTGCTTTGTTTCTTCTCGGAGTCCTCAGGACTTGACTTTGAAATAAGAAGCAATAAATAAATAAAAGTTAAGATAACATAGTAAAATTACTACACTCAGTCTCTGTCTAATAAACTACAATTATTATAAGCTGGTGTGCAATTGTGGCCTTTGAGCGGTTTATCTACAATTCCCATTTTTTTCTGTCAGTAAATCTGTATAAATGTATAAAGTTAGTCCACAAATAGCTGATTGTTGGTTTTTAAATCTCATTTTCAGGCAACCATAATCCAGACTTGGTGAAGGTTACATTAATATAATGTACCTCTCCCTGTTGGGAGGTACTTCCACTATGACGCCAACATACTGGCTTTACTGCATCGGCATTAGAACAAAGTAACATTTGTCCCACTCCTTTTCTGTATTTCTCTACATTTGCTAGAGGAGTTATCACAGCAACTTCAGCACAGGCACTGTAGTTGCCATGACAGAAAGCAACTCTCCTGTTATTAAATTCGACACAGATGGCTATGGCAACTTTATGTAGAAAACCGATTAACAGGTGAGAGAAGTAAATAATCTTAAAGGAACACTTCAGTATTATTTATAAACACACCGAAAAATAAAGGGTTCACTCTCCTCAAATCCAGAGGCGAGAAGGTTCCTGACTGCGGCTCCACTATGCTTCCTTCACCCATTTTGCAAGTTCCAACTGAACCCTACTCAACTTCAGTAATCATAAAACTCCATGTAGTGGGATTTCTTGAGTGTCACTTTTTAATATTGAATTTTTTTGCTGCTGCTTACCTCTGACTTTTGAGATATTTTTGTAGGTGTTGTCTGCTCTTTCTTTGGTGAAATAGTCTTTTCTATCCTCGTAGGTGTAGACAGCTCTTTATCTTTTTTATGGCCATCATCTCTTTGTTTCATCATTGCCAGCTTAGAGCTGGCCTTCACAGGAGATATCTTATTAGAGGAAGTCTTCCCAATAGGTACAAACGACGATTCGGAATGTAGGCGCGAAGGCGCTGCATTCTCAGGTTTTATTCCTTTAACATGCGAGTCTTCAGAAACGCTCGCCGTTCGAACTGAGAACACAAAATACATTTTATTGCATGAAGTGGTGATCCAATAGTATTCTACTAGACCAGGGGTTCTCAACCCAGTCCTCAGGACCCCCTACCAGTCCAGGATTTGGGGATTACCTGGGTGTGTCTCAGGTGTTTAGAAAAAGGGGGGAAAACACCTTAGACTCTAAGGTGTTTTTTTTTTTTTCTTTTTCTAAACACCTTAGACACACCCAGGTAATCCCTAAACCCTGGACTGGCAGGGGATCCTGAGGACTAACGTTGAGAACCCCTGTACTAGACCCTTTAGTGACTGAGGTTTTTCTGAGATTCCATACGTTTGTGCCTATGCCATTATTGCCTCTACATCGGAGTTTGTTTTATCGTAATTTCGTGCTCCCTCATGAAGTGCATCCACATATATCATAATATTTAACCACTTAAGGACACAATTTCAGAAATAAAAGGGAATCATGACGGAATATTTCTGTCATGTGTCCTTAAGGGGTTAAAGGACAAATAGGGCTTTATTCTGATGCCCTGTTTAAATATGCAACATAATATTAGGCTTGAATAAAATATTTGAGAAAATAAATAAATAAAAAAAACACCACTAGGCCAGCTAAAAATAATACAAATAAAAACACCCACAAACTTCAATAATTGCTTCTGAATTCTATAAGAAATTCTATAAAGCATATATAGAGTAAAACCTTTATTCTGAGGAAGACATCCAAAGTCGAAACATATGAAAAACATTTTTTTTTTGCTTATTGCTATAATTTAAAAAAAGGTCATCCCCCACCCAATAAAAAAATGGTACACAAAAGACTATATTTAGAGAATAAACCTCCCCCTGGGGTACTTAAGAGCATTTTCACATTTAACCATTCTATCAATAATCTCTGTGTTAGTAGCATTTGATTGTTTTGTTTTTTTATTTTTTTTCCCTGAAATCACAATTTGTGTTTTGGAAAATGGTAAAAAGAAGAACTACTGTCAGACTTTGTCACTTCCCAGTATCTGTTCCTAGAAACGTCTGCATGAAATTCATTTCCCTGCGTATTGCGCAGAAAGTCGCCTGAGGATCCTACACAGGATCTGCCAAAATTCTTAAACATATGCATTGCAGAAAACTGCAACAAAAGTGCAGGCTCCTGGTGGTTTGTGATTGATCCCAGGAATCTGCTAGTAAAATGTATAGATGGAATGAATTCATTAATTTTATTTAAACGTTTATGTACTATGAAATGCACAATGCAACAAACATACCCAGACGAAAGCACTAAAAGGGTCAGTTGTGTTTTATCATAAATTATTTCAATATGACAATTCTTTAATGAAATAAAATATTACTTCAGTGAGGAAGGGGCTTTGTCCATAAAAATATCTTTTGTAGTACACTCATGGAGAAAAAAAAAAATTAAAGGGGGTCTAACTAGCAAAACTACGTTTCCCTTTTGGATTTACAGCATTTTAGCAATGAGCAAGGACACGAACACGTGGTAGTAGCAACTAATGGGCTATTTTGTTTATATTTTAGCTAAAAACAGTTAAAGGGAAACTAGAGTGCTTTGTTTTTCCTGACACTACAGCTCCCCTATTGTGTTGAAGAGGTTTAAAATAACCTTCTGCCACTTACCAAACTCCAGCGCCAATGTCCCGGCAGGGGGACCTAATGTGCATGCATTGCATTCGCAGCACTCGCATTAGGGCTTCCCATATAGGAAAGCATTGTATAATGCTTTCCTATGGAGTTTAGGTGACACTGGATGTCCTCATGCAGAGTGTGAGGATGTCTAGTGTCGGTTAGGTGACCAAAAGGCGTCTATTGACGCGGACGTCCCTCTTCTCACTGTGTGGGAGATAGCCACTTGAAATGCAGTTAACCCTCTGATTAAAATGATTGCAGTTTATCAAAAATTGCAATAATTACAATTGCAGAGTTAGGGGACCAATGAGCTGAATTGGTCTGGATGCCTATAATGTCCCTTTGAAGTATAAATAGCTTGATGCATCTAAAACCAATTCTATAATCTGCTTGGCTGAGAAGTCTAAGAAACCAGTCAAAATACACAGCGAATTAAGGACAGTCTTCTGGTTGCTACACAATGCAGAAATCATTTAGCAGTAAAAACTAAATTAAATTTAAGACAAAACATTATTCCATTAAAATTCAAGCAAACAGAAGATGCAACCAAAGCTAACCGTCTTTCCTCTGATAATAGGCTACCTGAGGGCTGCACTGCAGACGCGCTTCTCTTTGTTGGGCTAGATTTGCTCACTGGAGACTTTTGCTTCTCACTACTTGTCTTTCGGACCTAATTAAAGAAGGATCAAATGTCTGTTACAGATTTCACAAAGCAAACAGATTCTATTACAAAAACAGTGAGAGGAAGTGCATTCATATTCAAATTATACTTCTTATAACTATTGAGCTCTATATATTATTCTATGTTATCACCATCAAGAGATACAATGGTTTGTGGGTATTCTATTTGTTTAAAATAGTATTCCTTGTATACAGCAAAATGCTTTAGCTATCTTTGGTTTATTTCTATATTACTTATTGCCTTTACAGCATTCATTGTAACTGCATTAAATAAGACGACGAGAGGAAGGATGAGCCCGCAGAAGGCATACTCTAAAATAAAATAAATTTTTAATAAAAACTTTCCTGGCAAATCCTTCTGAATATTAAACTGCAATGGTCTCACCTTGCTCCTCGGTGCTTCATCCAACATTGAGAGAGTTCGAGCAAATTCCTCATCCTCATGGAGCTGTTTTTCCAGCTAATGGAAGAAAACAGTGTGAATTATTTACAAATGCTAGCACAAATGTAACTCCTAAATTATATTCACAATATATATATTATAATATAATGTGCACAACTACTACATGTTGAGGTAACATTCCTGGGCAAATGGGGATTTGTATTGCCATTTCAGCAAATCCGGGGCCAGGTGCAGTGAGACTGGTGCAACGCTGGGATAAAAATAGGTGAGTAAAAATCACCTTTTTTAAAGGGAGGTAAGGGGGGGGCAAAGACCAAGATAGTGATTTTACCACTATAGTGTCAGGAATACAGGTTACTATTCCTGATACAATAGAGTTCCTTTAGCCTATCTGCACCTTGTGGCTCCATTAGTAACAAACCGTTTTAAGTCGCAAATTTAGTTTATTATTTACTGAATATGCTCTTTTATTTCAAGCATAATGTTTTATACACATTGAATTTTATGTCCCTGTCCTATCTCATTTGTTTTGCCCGTATTTTCCCTTGATTTTCCTGAACGTTTTCCCCTTTTATACTACTGAACACCGACCACCCCCTGGCTCATTAACTTCAAAAGAACCCATTAAATCAAGTGTTCTCTCTGGGTAGCCGCCATTCGTATGACCGAACACACGTGTTTTATGGAATGGCGACCATTTTATCTCCCAAACACAGGCAGCTGGTACCGGGTCGCCTGGAACTAATTTTGGATACCATGGACCCCTGGAGAAACTGTACCGCTGCCTGCTCCGCTCACAGACAAGCCAGGAGAGCGCTTTTCAGGGAAAGGAATCGTTTGTCTGAGGAGGGCATTTGCTTCCTGAGAGCCAGTGGGAGCATTCAGTAGTATTCGTACAGGAACTCCCAAATGTTGATCGGCCGCTGCCTCTTTTTCCCTGGAACTATTTTGGGCTAATACCTCGTGGCCGGTCCGTCAGAAAATTCTGTTACACTGAATGGATCAGAGCGCTATTAGGACAACTTGGGCACTCAGATCCGGGCTATTCGGAATATAAGACAGGTGGGGTTCCTGTATAGTTTGAAAGTAGTTTTGGGCTGTTTTGTGTATTTTATGTATGGTTTCCTGTAACTAAGAGATAATTGAGTTGCCGGTCTTTAACTCAATTATCTCCCAGACACAGGGCCGCCTGGGAGGGGTTTGTGTTATTTTGTATGGAGACCCCATGCTAAGGATCTGTGCATAAAAGGCCAAGTGTGGCACCTCAGTTGTACTCCCAGAACTGTGTGTCATCCAGTTACTGGGGGAATGGGCTATATTCACAAAGCAGCGCTTTGTTCCAGCTTGAGAAGACTTCAGTGAAGATATTGCCTGACTATGGTCTGTGAGGAAAGCACTTAAAGGGACACTATAGTCACATGAACAACTTCAGCTTAAAGAGGTTGTTCAGGTGAGTGCTACAGTTCCTTGCAGCCTTTTTCTTCTAAGCACTGTATTTTCATAGAAAATACAGTGTTTACATTGGAAGCTTGGAACATCTCCAGTTGCAGTCAGACAGCCACCAGAGGGACTTCCGAGTTCAGAAGCCCTAAAAACGCTTCATTCACGTCTGATGTATTGACGCATTGGTGAATACTTCAGACGTGCTATCAGCACACAAAGCACTGTGAACACGCTTTGTGTGCTGAGGCTGTCAGCGCTGCGTGGGAGTGGCTTGAGCTGACAGGCTGAAGACCGAAGAGGAGGAGGGGAGGATTCAAATTGTAAGTAAACTTATTTAGTGAGTGTGGGCGGGTGACTGAAGGGGAGTGGGTGAGGATGGATATGGATGATGGAGTGGATGGATATGGATGATGGGAATGGATATGGATGATGGGAATGGATATGGATGGAGAAAGTGTGTATGTCTAATTTTTTACTACTTGTGTGTTTGCATTGAAACACTATGTATAGAGAGATCTCTATATATAGTGTTTATATACAAACACAGTTTGGCTGAGGAGGGGGGCGGGTACAGAAAGCGAGCTGAGCTGTCAGACAGCTCAGCTCGCGAACGCACATTCCGCGCACATGCGCTGAGTTTCTTCATAGGGCGGCATTCAATGTCGCTCTATGAAGAATGCGATTGGTGCCACGCGAAACCGTGGAGGCTTCAAGGAGAAGCGTCCTATTGGGCCCTGCGATTTTGTCATTTTGACCAAAAAGGGGGGCGTGGCCTAGTGGGGAGCTCGGCGCTGGAACGGAGGTAAGTTTTATTATTAAAACTTACTCGGGTTTATTTTTTTATTTTTTTATAACAAGTTCTTCTAAAAGCAAGAAAGAAGGCAGGGGGACCTGTCTTTCTTGCTTTTATATGTTGACTATAGTGTCCCTTTAAGCTAAAAGGCCAATTCATACATGAAGAAATCTGCGCACGATGCTGTGTGTGCAGGAGCATAGATCCAAGTCAGTTTGTAAAACATCTACAATGTTAATAGAGAGAGAGAAAAAAAAAGGAGAAAGAAAACATACAAATATATAAATATTGATTGAACATATTCCAGTTCACAAAATATTGACCTGCCCTCTCATTTGCCCTCTCCGTGCTAAATACATTTGAAAAGAAAGGGGAAAAAAAAGGACAACGCTAAGCTAACCTTTGCCCAGGGGCACCCTTGAATTATCAGCGTAAGAGGAATAATGACAATGTCCCATCAAGAGCTAAGCAGCTTATTTGTATTTTATAAGTGTGACAGATCTTATCCTTAAGAGTGCAGAGTAAAGGAAACATATGAGTGTGGACACAGCTAACCCGTTTATGGTTATTAGACTGTAACTTTCTGTTACAAATCACACTGTGTCAGAGCACGTTACATGGCTTCTTACGGCGTATTTGTTTCACAAGACGATAGCAAATTATTGCCGCAGGCGTTGTTTGAATAGGACAGCACTGACCACCCAGCAGCGGGGGCAAAATTTATAGAAGAAAACAAATGTAGCACTAACGCCCCTTATTATCGCACAAGTAATCACATTTTTTTTGCTCCACCATTATTTGGAAATTTGGATTGTGTTCTATAGATTACGTTAACAAATCTATTGAACATTAACTTGGGAGAATTATTTTGCCAAAGTGCTTCCTAATTGCGTTACTGTAATCACATTATTTCTAGGTTAGGAGTCCCAAACATATACTGTGACTGCAATGTAACAGAACCATTTAAATACCTCAATACATTGTATTTTGTTATTTAACATGCTAAACAGTAATTATCTCCTATACAACTTAGAAACTATGTGTCAAATAATAATTTCTACGGCAAAAAGAAAAAAAAAATGGGTCTGATACTGGTGGTAGGAGGCAGGAGCAGGTAAACAAGAACTCTTTGGTCAACCAGCCTACAGCATACAAATCCTACTAGCCACAAGAAGCCTGTTATATTTAGCTAAGAAATGAGAAAATGGTGTGCCTAAAGTATACAAGAAGGCTGGTAGGCAGATTTCCCCCAATACTATTCCCATTATATTTACTATCTTGGAATTATTACCTATTCATTAGAGTACACCGTCGCATGATTGAAGTCACCACCCATGTAGTACTTAATTATAAATCCTGATTTGCCATTTGAAGCAAACCTGACAAATCTGATTTGTTCAATGGCACATGTGCCACAATCACCACGAATAGACTACTTCTCCGAGTACAATTTAATTCTATGCTTTTCTACGATAATGCTAGGAGAATTTTTCCAATGCAGCCATTTTGGCATACATTATTCAATCAATTTATTAAATAACCCCTTCCATAATAGGGCTCAAAAGTTTCAATCACCCACTAGCAATATGCAAGTAATAAATTTGCTCTTGGTGAAAGGTACAAGCCAAGCACCAAATTGGCTGAAACCAACAATATTCATAATCTCAGCTGGCCGCAGAAAGGCTGGAGCACCGAGGGAAAGAAGGTAGAGTTAAATTTCTTTATTTAACTATTCATGGGGGAGCCAGACAATATAAATAGCCCTTCTATCGCTCTAACTCATGTTTGTATTCCTAAGGTTAGTGCTCTTTCAATGTGCTATGGACCCACAAGGCATGCAGTTGCGAGTAACGTGTGAGCCTACATAGCAGCAAGGGACTTGTATAATATTTAGTCCTGCTTACAGCTAAATTCCTACGAAAGATATACTCACAGATGCATCTTCCTCAAGCTGCAACTCTTTAGCAATAGCTTCATCGTCCAGTGTTGAGTCATCTGTGCTCCCACATGGCTGTGAAATAATGTGGGGGGGGGGGGACAAAATATATGATCAATATATTCATAATGCACTATACAATCCAGCAGATCTATCCAACGCTAGGCTCCAAGTTAAATAAATACGGTTTTGGTTTTTTTTCTTGTTCATTTCTTCTATCCAAACAGATGCCATGCATGTAACCGAGCTAGTGTATGTACATGGATTCAGACTCCATACAAAAGCGTTGCCAATCTTACAAATATTCTCTGACAAGCTTTTAGCCATTCAAATTGCTAATCGAGTTCAATCAAGTAACTTGTGCTTTTGACCAAAGAGCACAACATTTGATATTGCAACAGAGAACAAAACATGACAAATTGACATCTTACAAGTAAAGGCAAAAAGTTAGTACACCCGACATCAGCAAAATAAGATGGGATCCAGATATTATGGGTAAAGGGCAAAGTTATTGACAGAACTCTTGCTCTTTCTCTAAAGGTTAGTTTATTTTGTAAACTACTCACGCAAAACAAATATCTCACTGCACATTTATGGTGTATAAAGCAAACACTTTTCTATGGGAATTCATAAAAACAATCTATTAATGCATGCACCCATACAGCAAGGGAGAAGATAAAGTTTCCTTCAATGAAATTCATTTTTTGCTGCATTACAGAGGCTGTACTTCTATCCTTACTTCTTTTCGTTTGCTTGCTACTAGCTTCTTGTCTGATCGTTTAACGCTGCCAATGCCAAAGTAATCTTCCACTGACGTTTTGACCAGCTTCTCCTGAGGTGCCGGTTTAGGGGGGGTTTGTACTTTAGATGGTTGCAGCTTTCCATGGTGGGAGTTTGATGCTGTTCCATTTTCCTTGGGTTTTGGTAGCGGCTTCTTCCGAATGAAATCTTCTTCATCTGGAAATGAAGGACAATCAATCACATAACAAAGTATTCACACAGGAAAGGTACACTGTGCTTTTTACTAATTTACAAGTACATATTGGGGCCTTGATGTTGTGATCACACAGCTCAATGCTATTTTTTTTTTTTTTTTTTATCAGAGATGAAAGGCTATGCTGGTCTTGCTGGGAACAATTCCAGTGATTAAGATCGTGCAGGTGTTGCAATATGCATATGGCTATCAATGTAAACTTCACACACATCTCCGTTTAGTAAATAACCAAAGTGTTGCTTTTTTAACCTTTAATGTAGTATTGTTTGCTAGTTTTACATTCAAGTCTAAAATGTGTCAATACTTGATCAGAGTTTTTGCATATAAACCATTACACACGTTTAACATTGTGAGAATGTGTACCTTTATGCACGTTTTACAAGACAATGGATTTATTAGTGGTGGTGATGGTTTTGTGCCTTTTTTTTTTTTTAGCACAAATTTTTTATTCTGTTGATTTTCTTCATACACTTCTATTGTACCCCAACCATTGTTGAATTGACAAAAAAAAAAAAAAAAAAATTTATGAAACTTTCCAATACTTCTTTCACCAATATAGTATTCGGTTTCATGTCTTTTTTTTTCCCCACAACCCTAAATTCGGTGGTCTTTTCTGAAAAACTTTTCTGCGAAAGCTGGTGGAATATGGACAGAGTAAGTTAAGACTTTATTTCTGTTCTATAATCTGTATGAAAGTATTACATTGTTTAATGATTGTATAATAAACACTTTTTTCAGAACACTTTGTTAAATCTCCCCTAGAATGTATACTGTTAAGATTACTGAGGGAGATTTATCCAAGTGTTCTAATGTACTAAAAGTGGAGCAATCGCCATGGAAACCAGTGGAGTCGGCAGGCACATCCCATAGGTTACGTCTCACCTTTTATATTATTGGATTACTTTTCAGCGCACAAAACTTTGATAAATGTCTTAGTGAGAAAAGTAGTGTGATATTAACACACACTGAGGGACAATCTGAATAGTGTCCTTTTTTTATTCTGTGGGTATTTATTATTAATTATTTATATAGCACCAGATTCCGTAGCGCTGTACAATTTATTAAACAGCATTAAAAAATGACTTGCACTAATCATCGACACCCAAGCCAATCTTTCCTGATCAGTATGGCGGGCAGCAGGAAGAAGATAAAGCCAGTATAGACGGATTTTTATTTCTCCCAGGACAACATGGCAATTAAAACAGACACACAGCGCTATGGGCACATAGAATTTAATATAAAAATAATAAGATCTATATTTAACCAAACCAATGTGCAACGTTCTACAGAAAGATGTGCCGTGCGATATATCATATCTGCAAACAGCCTTTTAATTGTAATTAATGTGGTTACATAAGTTCTCCAACTCCCAAAAAACAACACATACAACATAACCGAATTATACAGGCTGGAATAACAATGTAATTTAGCCGCGTTGCTGAAAAACAAGCTGATATTTCCAAGCACTTTGTGTACTTTTATGGTGTTCTCTGTGTGTTTGCACTGCTTTTAAATCAATTTATTTCAAGTGGCGCAGGAAATCTGATTTAACCAATGAGAAAAACAATCATTTTGGCAACACAAAAGACATTTCGGACGCAATAAAAAGGTATAAATGCCAATAAAAAGACAAATTACCCCTTTTAAGTTTACCATTTTACATATTAATGAATGACTGGAATGCTCCCTGAATCTTTAGGCCATTCAGGGAAATAGTAACTCCGTAAGGGCTGTATTCTTTGTGCTAAAAATGTGCCTGCCTTGCCTGAGAGCAATGGTTATGGGATATGGATATTATAATACGATGCAAAAACTTTTTTAGCCACTTAACTGTCATACGATGTCTAAGTAACATTTAGCTGCCTTTTTGCTTTTTAGAATTTATTTAGAATTTATAGTAAAATGCCTTGCCTACTACGAGAAACACCTACTAAAAAATAAGTCTTTCCACGCCTGTCAATCAATTCCTCGCCTGTCAATCAATTCCTCAGCATTGACTTCTATGCTGAAGAATAGACTGACAAAGTGCTGCTCCAGGAGATAGTTGCATGTGCTGTGATTGCTATTATTACTTCCTTTGTAACATCTCTCTATTCATAAGCTGCCATATAGGGGAGGATTGCCCTACTTGGATCAGTGTCTCCAAACAGAGTCATGCCATTTACACCACAGGTGATAGGTGTTACGGTAATGGAACACCCACTGAGCTGTGTTTATGGCAGCGCAGGATCCCAGGTAAGGAAGGCTTATAACTCTAAACTGTATATTGAATACATTATTTACCTCTATGATGCATACAATACAAACAATTACTGCACACAAACTTATACTTATTTGATATGGACTGGGTTAAACCTTGTTAAAGTACTTGAATGAAAAATAAAATTTGCAAACATATTAACACATTAGATATTACAACCCAAAAGCAGATTTAGTTCAGTTTTCATTTATTGTTCTGTTGAACAATATTCATATGTTTTCTTTTGTTAATATCATGTAAGACAAAGTCAGAGCTTCACAAAATTAGCTTTGAATCCAGGAGCCAGGTGTTTTGTTTTTTTAAACTAACAACAAGAATACAATTTTTAAAGGGACAATACTTACAGTATGGTGCAACACTCATGCTCTGCATGGAGCCACTGAATGTTCTAGATAGAGATGCATTGATATAAACAATGCTTTTTTAGGGGAAAACATTGGATTGGCTGAGTTCATCAAGCTTGATTATCTTAGTCATGGAGGCAGGACCAACTGCAGTGAGACTGGCAAGGCGTGGGAAAAAAAAGTGAATAAACACCATTCACATGGGGCATCGGTCAGCTACATTCACTGACACACACACACAAATGATTTGTTTTAATTCAGTAGAAGTCCACTCGGTCTCACTACCTTTAGGGAGAGCTGGAGTGGATCCCTTCCCCGGGGTCCAATGTGACTGCTGCCTTCTACCTGCTCTTCTGGCTCTGCTGTTTAGTGATGCCGGAGATGGAGTTAAGTCATATTCCGTCTCTCGGCATCACTGCAGGGTGCTGCTTCTTCAGCATAGCAAGAAGATTATAGCTCCCTCACCACATCCTTGATTTTTATCTGTTTTGGGGACTGGGGCAGAGATTTTTCTGCAACACTAACTGGCCTGTGTAAAGTACCCACCTTAATGTTGT